GTCTTTCTGGGTGCCAGCCCACCAACCAAGGGATAGACTACATAAACTACATTATATGTAGTTAATGTAGTTTATGTAGAGGGTGTAGTTTATTTAACATATGTACCTATGTAACTTTCAAATATCAAAGATTTGAGGTTATAATAAGTTGAAGCTTTAGAAAACACATAATGTATTTAAGAAATCAGAAGAAATATGGCTTTAAATATAACCATTCACATCATATATTATTTAGACTCCTCATTCAAAGCAAAATTATTCACAATGTCAATAGGTAGTTTATTAGCATTAACGTAGTTTTCATGTAGCTAATGAACGGGAAAAGACGTGGTTTTTTAAGATAAACTACACGTAGTTAATCAGGTAAATTACGTCTTAATTAACTACTTCCGAACCCTGATGATGAGTTATAACTCAGGGAAGCTTTAAGAAAGAAGAAGCTTTTTAAAATATGTGAATCCATTTCGTTTCCACCAGGATATCATTATTTTTAATCAATTTATTCGCTAACATCATATAGAATTATTTAAAATTAATAGGTAATTAACTGACTACAGACATGCTCGTTTCTTACCCTTACAATCTACTAGAACCTTTATACACATAAAAACTTCCAAAACCATTCATCAAACAGCGTGAAAAATTAATGCAATTTTTCCCAGTCAAACAGTACATCTTCTGAAAATTTCCGACCTCTTCAGCGCTTCGCTTTTTATATTCCTCTCCTCTCAATTAATTCATCATTAATAACCATCTTCATTACGAAGTCGTTCCCGAGGCATATTTTCCGGATTTAATAAGAAGGACCAACGCTGCAGGCTCCATCTGCTCACCGGAAACCCTCTTAGTGATTAAAAAAAGAGCGAGCCGCTTTGTTTGCTCAGTTCTTTTAACCAAATAGAGGGAATAATGTATCTATGGTCCCAGTACAATAATCCTCATTAATATTTTGTAAATTTTGACTCAAAATAAGTGAGAAATTATTCAAATCACTATATGTATTATAGCTTCAAATATTTGCTCATTTATTAATTATTATACTGATTAATAACTCTAGTAAATAAAACAATAATAGTTTTTTAGACAATAACAAATAATGCAAAGGATTACTTTATTCAACTAGTTTTTATTCTCGGATTTCTTTATTCTTCTAGTTTTATATACTTTTTTTAATGGCATGTAGACTCTATTAGAATAAAGACAATAAAGGGGTGAAATAAAATCTTATTTTATGTTCTACTTTTATGACAAGATTTTATGGAACATGTTTAAAAATATTCTTAAAACTACTGAACCTGGATGCTCAGTGACTGATTGAATAAAAAATTTATAAAAATATGTTATAATAATGTTATAAATTAATAAATGCCAAATGACATTCTTTTTCAACATGCCATTTCATATCTTCTATTTCAACTTTGATTCGAATCTATTGACTAATAATTTGCAACAACTAGCTAGTAACACCTGAAATAAGTTTAGTCGTTCCAGGACGCATAACTGCCGCTGAACAGTTTCGCATCTTAATCGAGAAGACTAATCGGGATAACCTCTCTGATCCCAAGAGGGAAGTATCTAAGACCTCTAGTAACTTACAAGTACCAACTTGAAGTCAAGGTGTCATAGGAGGTTTACTACACCAACGTAACGGTGCAATATAATCCATCGACAACTCAAAAGTCATATCACCACAAAACCACCCCCAAAAATTCCCCGATGGTGGCAGCACCGGCGAAGAATGCACAAAGCCTATAACATACCACATGAATAACTAAGTAGAATTTATTACATTGACATATGTTTTCTCAAGTCTTTTTATTGATACTTTCTCCGCATTTTTTTCTAAACGAGTGAAACTCGTGCAGACTATTTCGCAATAAAACATCCGACGCAGACACGTAGTCGGTCTAGGCGTCCTTTTCATCTCTGCCCCCACCCGAGCAACTTTGCGGAACGAGGCTTTTCCATCCCTTGGGGACTCTCAGGGAGAGGGGAGCGATAAAAGGGGGCAGCTCGACCTCCAGTCCTACCTCGACATATTGGCCCCATCCTGGTTGTCCCCACGCTTTAAAGTGTTTATTGCCGAGCTAATTGCTTGGAACCGGTTCAAGTTCTGCTCTTGCTTTTCCTTTATTTTTAACGGTTAGTGGATAACTGATATCTGGGATATATTTAACCACTCTTTTAATTGGATTTTGGTTAAATCGTTCGAAATATTGGACTTGGTTTTTGTCTTAGATATCAAGGATACATAAATATACAGGGTGTCCCACTATTCAGTGGACATAGAACCATAGTATAAGGAAACTAGTAGCTTTACTCCGTGTCAAATCTTTTTTTCTTTTTCTGCCCTTGAATGACCTTGTTCTCGCGTCCCGTGACCACTGACGTAGCTGTATAGTCGTGGTCTATAACTAGGCAAAGTATAGTCGTGGCACTCGCCATAGTTTCACAGAGATGTATTTAGGAAAATATGAGTCACAATAAAATAAAATAAAAAAAAAATGATCTTCGAGTAAAAATTTGCTTGAAAACAGAATATTTTCACATTTTGTGTAAATAACAATTTTTCTGTATCTGAAAATCTTCTGATGGGAAGAAATGCGGAAAAATATATGATGACAAATTTTTATATTATTATCTGTTTTAAAGATTTTCTACAACTTTTTTTTAATTTAAAACACATTAATGTGTTTGTTTTGTAGTAATATATTGGTTAGGTGATTTTCATTGGATAACTAATACATTGAACAACACATGTACTAAATAATAAAATAACATATTTAAACTTCAATAATTGCTAATAAACATTACAGAAATTTCAAACGAGAAAATAAGCAAGAAAAATGAGAAATAGCATCACTACTTTCTCACTTAATAAAATAATAAATTTTTAATTATTGTTACCGAGTCCCGAAGGTACCGAAAGAACCGGGAATTAATCATTTCGAGCCCCGGTTCTTTGATATCTCAAAAGAACCCGGAATTTTCGATTCTGAACCCTAGTTACCATATTATTGAGAAATTATGTTTTTTAACTAAAAACTAAAAAAAATTCCAGATTTTTTTTTTAGTTTATACTACCCCTTAAAATATTTGTACTTATTTAAGACTCACCCTGTATAGGACGATCCACGGTTATGGTACGTTATAACGTTTCCGGAACCGGAGCTGTTTTTCGGAACCGGTAATTTCGGTACCATGCCTATAAGGAACCGGGATTTCCAGTTTTTGTTTTGGTTTGATTCTTGGTACTTTCGGTACTAGCAAATTTTTGTGCAATGATGGTGCAGTTCGTTAAACAGCAAGCAAGGGATGGTTGTCAAAAGTAAAATCGATAAAAAAATTGTGGTTTAAATGAAAAGAATATCAAATTATTAAGTAGTAATCAGTCATATAAGGTCATGTGGCGAGAACATCTAAAGACAGGTGGACTAGAAGATTGTTAGAATGGCGACCTCGAGCAGATAAACGTAGCAGAGGCAGTCCACCGACACGCTGGACCGATGATGTAAAGAGGATTGCTGGAAATTGGATGATGACGGCCCAAAATCGAGAGACATGGAGAAATATGGAGGAGGCCTACGTTCAGCAGTGGACAACGATGGCTACATGATGATGATGATGATGAATCAGTCATGAGAAAATTAATCTGAACACAAACATGATCACAAATGACACTCAAAAAAAACTCAAAGCGCAATTTTTTGAATTATTACTATAACCTATAGCAGCACTCATTTTTTGTCAATCCGTCTCTGAGCAGGGACGCAACGCTCGAACCTCGCAGGTCGACGGACGGAACTCATCTGAAACGCTCTACAATCTGCCGATATTCGACAGATTGTAAAAACTGACAGAAATATTTGGGAGAGTGTAACTACTCTTTTCTTTCTACTATGGTAATATCGTATTATTTTTATCCTCGCTTACTGGCCTAAAATACTGTATCCCCTCTAATGCACGAAAGAAATTGAAGAAATGCTGATTCAATATAATATATTAAAAAATAACAAAATTTGCCTGACAAGTATTATAATAAGACTTGCAAGACTTTTGCGCAAGACCCAAATTACTTATTAACTGCAAGAACCAAGACGCCATTGGTATTGGTCTTGTATTTGCTTATCATTAGCCTATTAGAACGATAGAAAAAAAACATAAAAGGGAAATAGCAGGAACACTAGCTCGGCGTCCATGCACAACCCAAAGAAGTATTGTTTGAAGCATTGTTGAAGATATTTTATTTTATAATTAATTATTTTCTATCAGTTTCAAACAAAAAACTTTAAATTATATTTATTTTTTATGCTTTTTAATAATATTTTTCAGAGGGAGCGATAGTTCTTAACAGATGGTTATTTTCTTTTATCCATAGATAAACGAAACAAGTTTAGATTGGAAAGTGGCCATAAGGACAATGTAAACACTATTTGGCGCTATTCTTGCAACGGTCGCGACCCAAAGCTTTTGATAATTTCGGATCGGTTCGGCTTTTTCCGGAATTATGTCGCCAAAAAATATTATTTATTCAAATTTATTATTATTTTCTTTTAATTTTATAAATAAAATACAGTGTGTTGCATACAAGAAACTTTATTTTTTATAAGAACATGTATTATGTGAAATACCTATGAAACATTGGAAACCAACGTTATGCCACGATCCATGATGGTTTTTGCAGTTCACAGTTCACAACACAGTTTTTTAGTTTTTAATGCCACTTTTTCGCAATTATCACGGGTTTGAGTAAGTAAAATTTAAATTAAACTTACAAGATAGCAATAATTACTTTTGGAATGGACGCTTTAAACACTTTTCGGTATTGTTTCAATGACGGCGGTTTAAATTTTGAAAGATTTTATAATTTTTGAAGATTCTGACTTTGACAAGAGAAAATTATTTCTGTTATTGTTTGCGATCTTTTTGCCTTTATCTATGCTTTTATCTATGACGATAGTTTAGAGAGAAACGTCAATAGATTTCTGATACATGTCAAAACTGTCAAAATTACTTAAAGATTAGTTCATTAGTTCGTATTTTATTTTGCTAATTTGAGATTCATATCAATGTCCTTACATATAGAGTATCTGACCATCGAAAATGACGAAATAAAATGTTCAGATAGCATAGATTCGGACGACCATTCGCGTGGCAGTAAAAGTGCAGAATGTAGTATTGCTTCTGTTCTTTCCAAAGATAATCCAACCGAAAATGATAAAGATTCAACTGTAAGAAATGAAAAAGAATTATTTTTGCACGAACTAAATTTATTTCAAGTTAGTATTAGTTATTTTATTCTATATTATATCGATCCCTTTTATTATTACTTTTTTTTCTTAATTTTCAGGATAGTCTGTTTGATAATCGTGTAAGTATTATTAAATTTACTAGTAAGAATATTTTTATGAGAATTTTAGAATCATAAAGTTTATTAAAGTCTGTCTAAAGAGCCGGGGAAGTTTTCGACACACGACATTCGATGAATGACAGAAAATACAATTTTCCTGTGAGTTAGAATGAGAGATAACAACTGTTACTGTCGAGTATCGTCTTGTTGGGCAGACTATATATTATTTAAAAAATGTCTATACCTATGTGGCGGATTCATCTTTCCAAAAAAATCCTTTATGGGTATTTTGCCACTGCACTGCATGAAAATCTACAAAATAAAACTTATTAACTTTATTTTTAACAGAACGTCAACGGTTTCTTGTAGACGTATCTGTTTAAAAAAAGTAAAGAGTTCTCGAATAGTTGAATTGAAATATTTTAAATAGTTTTTTTTTCTCTATTCTTTGTATTTTTTTTGCTTCCGACGACGGAAAGAGATAACTTTCCGAAACGTTAAGCATTTTTTTTTCTTTGTTAGGCAAATTTGTATTACTATAAACATAACTTCTGACAAGCAGCGTCCGTTTAGGTTTAACGCAGAAGTGTTTACAAAAAAAATAATTATTTTATTTTGTAGATTTTCTTGCAGTGCAGTGGCGAAATACCCATAAAAGATTTTTTTGGAAAAATATATATTATTTGCTGTATAATAAATTTCTAGTGTTCTTCCAAGAACAGTTAACCTAATAGGACCGCTCATTCAGCCAGGTGCATGCGAAAACTACTTGCTTTGTGACGTCATTGTAGTCCTTGTCATGGTTATTAGTCCTTATTCGGCAACCAATAATACACACACGTGCATTATTAGTTGCCGAATGCAAAACGTTCATTATTTAGTTTATTTATTTAAACACTTTATATGTATGCAGTATAGAAAATTAACTGTATAAATCGTATTTAATACTCGCATTTTTAAGAACAACAGTTCCCAACATCACTTTTGCAAGCATTCTTTTTAGAGTACTTCCATATTTGGCTTTAAAATAATTAATAAACAATATCGTAGGCACTTAGTAAGCACTTTGTTACAATCCACAACACAAAATGAACGTATTTATACACTCTATAGCTCTAAAAACTTTAAAGACACCCTTTTCACATTTAAAATTGACAAAATAATTAACTCAAAATTTCTCAGCTGTTATTTTTATAAGTTTGCCATAGGCAACTAAAAATACACACTATCATGACAAGGACTACAATGACGTCATGACTGTCAGCTGAAGCGCGGGAAGAGGCGAACGTACGTCTTATGAGGATGAGCAATCCTATTAGTTCACCGTTCTTGGTGTTCTTCTATAGATACAAGGTGGTCCAATAATAGGGAATATCGATTATAAGTTCGATAATCCTTAATAGAACTTAAAAAAATATATATTTATGTGTATACCATTAGGGTGGGTCAAAAAAATCGACTATTTTTAATAGGAAATTCTTAATTTTAATTAGAAAGAAAAAATCATATCTGGGTATCTACTATTTGAAAAAAATTATTTTATATCATTTACACAAAGATATTTTTTTTGTAGAGAATTTAATTTCCTACTATATGTATATGAGACATAACAATATATGTATATATCTATTAATAGTAGATATCGAGATATAAATTTTTCTTTCTAATAATAAGGAAAAAATAGAAAAATGAAAGGCGAGGGACCTTCCTATTAAAATTAAGAGCTCATACTTGGAGAGAATTATTTTGAGGTGTCTACCAACCTTTTTTCAGAGTGTAAAGCAGAGGTGTAAAGTGAAAAAAAAATAGTCGATTTTTTGACCCACCCCAATACCCATATACAGGGTAGCGCACGTCATTCGCCTCGGTTGATTATACGAAAACGTAAAGATGTGGAAACAAAATATTTTATGGGTATATGTGGGAAGACAATGTGCATAATTTAAAATTATTTTGAAATATACAGGGTGTTTCAGAACTAAGATCAATACCAAAGTTATATTTTTTCTTATGGAACATCCGGTATTTTATTTCATTTTTGGATCCTTGGGTCCAAAAAAGGCATGTATTATAAGAGTTAAATATGTTTAAAATCATCCTAACCTGAAAATTTATACAGGTTGAGACAAAATTAATATGGAACATTAGTCGCTTTTAGAAGCAAGTTACTCCTTTATTTTAAAGGGAACACACAGTGTATTATTCCGGTGTTCAATGGGGAATTTATGCACCTTCAAAATATTATTAAGGTTGCCTACCCCTCAGACAAAGATTTTCTTAGATATTTTAATTTTTATGATTTTGCGTGAGTAGATCTTTATTAATTGAAAAAATCTAGGGGTGACATATCTTTTATCTTTTGTTAATTTAACAAAAATTAACGAATGTAGGGTACTCAAAGGTAATAAAAAGATACACATTTAAGACATATTTTAATTATTATAGAATAAAAACTAGATATAAACCTATAATTATGTGACAGAAATTAGCTAGATGAAATCAAATGCTCAAAATACTTCTTTTCCTGTTAACTGCATAAAATGATTTTCTTTTCAATAGGATCTTTTAATTTTAAAAGGCATATGTGGAGTTCTACCTCAAAAAGCTACAATAATTTCTCTCATGTTGTCGACAATAGTTGGTCGAGTTTTGTAAACACTGTTTTTAACATATCCCCATAAAAAAATCCAGACTAAATAAAATCAGGAGTATTTAAGTATTCTATTAATTGATGCACACTGCATTCACCAACTAATAGAATCATATCAATTCTCTCTGATGTAGAATAAGTTTGCATTTTCGGCGATTTTTTTTCTGAGATTTCTGAGATTTTTTTTTTATTTTAATTGGCGCAAAATGACTAGTTGTTAAACTTGGACTAATTAGACAGCTATCTTAAAGCATATACATAAAGCAAATCAAATCATGTAAATGAAAATATCTAGGAAAATCTTTGTTTGAGAGGGTTAGGCAACCTTAATAGTATTTTGAAGACACATGTTTTCTCCATTGAATATCGCAATAATATACTGGGTGTTCTATTTAAAATAAATGAGTAAAACGCTTTTAAAGGCGACCAATGTTCAATATTAATTTTGTCTCACCCTGTATAACTTTTTGCGACAAGTTTTAATTTGATTTAAAGTACAATAGTTAGTTTAACTACATATTAGGCTAAACCGGGTAAATTCCAATTTAGGTAGCTTTTATTATAATTTAAAAATTGTTCTTTATTTTTCGAAAATGTTGAATATGTCAAACCAAACCAAAAACCTTACATTTTAGTCATATACTTCTCTTATAAAACTCAACTTTATTTTTCTCCCAGAATCCGAAAATCAATTAATATATAGTGTGTTCCATTACAAAAAACACAACTTTGATATGTAACTTTTTTGGGGACACCCTGTTCATTTTCATTTCAATACAAACTGTCGTTCTCCTTGGAGCCTCCGCGGCGTATGAGAGGCGCCACCCTGTACACACATGTAGTTGTAATTTTGAAAATTTTGAAGGATCTAACTTTGATGAAGAATGGAGACAGGCCTGAAATAAGCGAAGATATTAAAATAGATCCTCCTAGTATGATATTTACAGGAGCATACGACGGAAAGGCATTCCATCAAGATTTAACCATTTCGAACTGCGGCAAAAAATCAGTTTTTATTAAAATTATGCCACCGAGTTCTCCGGTAATTTAAAAATAGATGTGATTTCATGGGCTGGATAAAAATGTTATTTTTAGGCTATAAAAATTCAACCGATTCTTATAGCACGCCGGTTGTCTCCGGGGCTGAATGTGGTCAAGAAAGTGAAATATTTGCACACTAAACCGATGGCCATTCCTCAAGTTACGATGGATATTTATATCAATAATCAAAGGATACAATATGAATTTTCAATGTAAGACAGGGTTCGGAAATAGTGCATCGACCACTTGTAACTCCTATAATAAAAAAAATAAGAATTTTGTATAAGTGTCAACCTAAAGTATGTGTTGGGATGTATTTCAGGAAAATATATATTATACAGGATGCTAAAATTCGACGTACGAGCATTGACATCTCGGTAACCGTAATAAATACAAACATAGCTCTGTTTTTTTTTTAATATTTAATCTATTATTTGTTTTTTTTAATGGAACACCCTGTATATTATTTGTTTGTTAGATGGAGAAATGAAAAATATTTTTTTTGCATTTATAGTATTTTAAAATTTTTAGCGGTTTTGAGGATATTCATGGTATTGTTTGTGGTATTATACAGGGTTGTTCACCACATACGACACGGAGTACTGTAGCTAAACGATTAGATTTTTACAAATTGTAAGTTTTGGGTTCGTTGAAGGACTATTAGAGCTACAATTTAAAAATATTTGTACAAGATACTGAGTGTCCCAAATAAATAAAAAATATCAAAGTTGTATTTTTTTAAATGGAACACCCTGTATATTATTGCATTTTTAGTTTCTACGATTAAAATAAAGGTAAATGTGATTAAGGTTTATTACACTTAAACCTTACCGTTTTTGAAATATTTTCAATTTTACGAAATTGCAGTATAAATTTTAAGGCTTCATTTCTCCGAGGATATCAAAGTTTTTAATACTAAATATTTACTGAAGTTTATTTATTGATCAGTTATTGTGTTGCAATAATAAAAATTATACTACCTTATACACAGTGTCTAAAAATTTATTTTAAATAATTACTAGCTTTAAACGGCAATAACTTATTTACTTTAAATAGAACACCCTGTATATTTTATGAGAATCAAATGCACAATTTAATTGTCTATCAAATTGTATTATACCATTTCGTACCTATACCTTCAAGTTTTCGTAGAAAATGCATTTTCTTATAATTTAGACCTCATTTATCAATATACCCATGGAATATTGACATTTTAGATTGTTTTTATAACAACAAATGTACAAAATGTACAGACTAGTAATATTATCGTTTTTACTAAAACGATAATATTACTAGCCCATTTGTATGCTAAAAGAAAACTATTTAAATCATTATAAAAGAGTATACCATTAATTAAATATACCACCAGTATTTCCACCCAAATACTAATTAACTACATACTAAATTGTGTTTGTTAATAAATTATTCTAAATAAATGTGGATTTGAATCAGAAATCAATATAATAATAAGTTATGAAAATGAACGTCTCTGTTGTTATAAATAAGCATGTGTCAAAAAATTAAATATCATTTTTAAAGTGTTACTTTTTACCACACTGTCTAATACACATACATAATTCAGTTTTTTAGTATTTGGAGCAATTATGATTTATCAACGCAAACAGTCAATTAATGTAGTTTGAATACTGGAATCATATTAATTGGTCCTCTTTAACAAATATTTAAACAGTTTTTTTATTTTTTAATGAAATAAACGAACTATATCGACAATATTAGTATCTGTACTCTTTAAAAATTTGGTACATGTTTAAAATAATCTAAAATGTCAGTATTCCATGGGTATATTGATAAATGAGTTCTAAATTACAAGTAAATGCATTTTCTACGGAAACTTGAAGAGATAGGTAAAAATGGTATAATACAATTTGATAGACAATTAAATTGTGCATCTGATTCGCATAAAATATACAGGGTGTTCCATTTAAATTAAACAAGTTATTGCCGTTTAAAGCTAGTAATTATTTAAAATAAATTTTTAGACACTCTGTATAAGGTAATAAAGTTTTTATTATTGCAATACAATAACTGATCAATAAATAAATTTCAGTAAATAATTAGTATTAAAAACTTTGATACCCTCGGAGAAATGAAGCCTTAAAACAGTTACTGCAATTTCACAAAATTGAAGATATTTAAAAAACGGTAAGGTTTAAGTGTAATAAACCTTAATCAAATTTAGCTTTATTTTAATCGTAGAAACTAAAAATGTAATAATATATAGGGTGTTCCATTTAAAAAAATACAACTTTGATATTTTTTATTTATTTGGGACACTCTGTATCTTGTAAAAATATTTTTAAATTGTAGCTCTAATAGTCCTTCAACGAACCCAAAACTTACAATTTGTAAAAATCTAGCCGTTTAGCTACAATACTCCGTGTCGTATATGGTGAACAACCCTGTATAACATAAAAAAAATTTTGAAGTACTTAAAAAAATGTTTATTTTGTAATTCTCCATCTAACAAAGAAGTAAAGTATAGGGCGTTACATTTAAAAAAAAGAAGAAAAATTATTTTATATTTTAGAAAGCTTTGAATAGAATTTTGAACACCCTGTGTGGTTTAAGATTACTATATTTATAGCAAAGTAAGTACAGATCAACTACAGTAAATACCTGATATAGTTTTGATTTCAGTACATTTCATGTATTTTTAATATTTTTTTTTAAGAAAAGCTGACACCACTTTATTTTTTTATTTATTTATTAATATTTTTGAAACTATCAATACATATTTAATAATATCTTAGGATTAAAGTTATCAAAAAGGAACCAAAATTGCAATAATATACAGTATGTTCCATTTAAAAAAAATCATTCGGATCCACTCACACTTTTTTGAGTAACTCTGTAGAAGCTAAAATATTTTCCTGAAATAGATCCTAATACATACTTTAGGATTTTGTATATAAACAAAATTTCTAACTTTTTATTATAGGAGCTACAGATGCCTGACGCACTATTTCCGAACCCTGCATAACTTAATGATACTTAATCTCTTTTTTCAATCTTGCAATGGTTAGATTGGAATAGACTTTAAGAGGTGTAGTCATTTCCGGTGAAACAGGAAGTGACCAAAAACAATTAAATACGACAATCAAGCCTAATTTATGTCATATACTAAGATTCCAATTCTCATTTGTTTATCTGAAAAAATAAAAAAGTTATAAGGGTGTGCCAGTTTTGAGACGCACCCGGTACAGTATATATACAACAGATGACAATAGATACAATAGAAAGGATAATTCAATAATAATCCGTTGTAGACATCAGTTGTTGCTATTAACTACTAATTTTCCTCTAAACAACATTAATGTTTAAGAGATCCCTTACATTATTTAATTATTATATTGTACTTTTAGTTTTAGTTTATTTTTTAGTTTTACCCTGTACCCTAAGGTAGAAATCTCTCCTAAAATATTGAATTTGGGCGAAATTGATGTTGGAAGTGTATCGGCAATGAAAAAAGTGTTCATTAAAAATGTCGGGACGAAGCAATCCAAATTTATGGTCGATCTTGGAAAAGACGAATTGGAACTAATTGTACAACCTACAAAAGGAATAGTTTCAGTATGTGTAGAATAGGGTGGAACCAAAAAAACAATTTTTCCAAAATATTTTTACACAAGCCTCAAAATGTGCCTGTAGATAAGTAATTTTTTTTCTCAAAAGCTGAGCGCCCTGCCTTTGTATCTTCAGGTTCCTCACGGGCGTTCAAAAGCTGAGATATTTTGAAAAATATTTTTTTTGCCGGTCAACATATTTGATAATTATTTATCTTTTACCTTTAACATACTGCTTAATATGACTATAAAATATAACCCAATAATGTTATCTAAATCACTTAAATTATTGTTTTCCGGTTCCTCAATATATTTGAAACTTGTCCACCTGCATGATAAACTACCATCTGTGGCACTTACCTGTCACAAACCTTGAGTTTCAGATTTATATCACTGATGTACAGTTCTTCAGCAAATTACTCTAAAAAATAATGGTATTTAAGATAATTACAAAAGGCCTATTTTTTGAAAGTTTTAACATCCTGTAATTTTAATAGTATGCGTTTCCGCACCCATGTTTATATGAAATATTTTTATATTTTTTGATGAGGATTCAATGAATACTTATTTAGTGTTTTGGCGAGTTAATGACATTAAATTTTTTGATGATGTGAAATGGATTAAGGCAAATTCATAGATCAAAAAATCACAGATCGTATTATAATCTATGATTCTACATACAGGGTGGCCCATTAGTACGAGGAAGTTCAATATCGTCGTTGTTGTCGAAGATATGAAAAAAAGTTTTATACAGATGTTGCACGGTTTATAATAGTGCATATTCCAAAAATATTTTATCACAAAAAAAGTTATGTTAAGGTTTTATTTTTTTTTAAATTACACCTCTCATTTTTTGTCCAGAATTGGATTCAGCAGTAAATTCTGCATATAGTACACTAATTTTATTTGAAGCACTATGCGGTGTTGCAGTTTTATTTCTTATTTACTAAAATTTTGGTTAAAAATACTATATCCGATAAGTGGTTAAAAACTGGAGTGAATATAACTTTATTAATACTTAGCTATATTTTCCTGAACACCAAAGATAACAGAATAAATCCACGAAGAAAAATTTAAATTATCCTATACAGGGTATTTCTTATGGCGTCACCACAATCGGAATATTTAAAATAATATATCTCTATTTTTTTAAATGCAACACCCTGTATATTATAAATCGTTTAGATGCAGACTTGAAAATTTTAGCGGTTTTTCATATGGGGTTTCCAACAGTAAAATACCAGACAAAGATCATATTGGGTGACTTTGCTAAAAAGTTATTGTTAGAACAGCCATATGTAACATAATACCGCAAATCTCTGCGAAACCGTTAAACATTTAGGAACACTGTAAATACAAGAAATGCTCGCTTTTTAATTTTGCATCTAAAAGAAAAATAATATACAGGGTGTCGTGTTTAAAAAAAAATGAAATATACTATTTTAAATATTGCGATGTAGGCGACACCATAAAAATTACCTTTTAAACCATGCAACCTTGCATCCTTTATAAACCATGCAACATCTATATAAATATATTTTACATATATTTGACAACAACGACGATATTGGACTTCCTCGCACTAATTGACCACCCTATATATGTATATAATCATAGATCCATACAGGGTAGTCCGAAAGTAAAAATATGTTGGTGGCGCCCTCTACAAGTCTTCTTTTTTTTCTTTTTCGTATCCGGACCATATAGGTACATAATGTACAATTATAATTTAAAATTCTTTAGCCCAGTACCGGGCGACGTCTAAAGCATTTTCATCGGCGTTCCATAAATTTTCAAGGGTACATGTATGAGGGCATCTTATGCATGACAGCAGATGCTCCATATTTTGGATTTCGCCGCATTCATTTTTTTGTGTCTTCATCCGTGATAAGTCCCCATTTCGCTTTGTTGGTTTTAACAGGCGCTACTCCTGTTCTGATGCGGTTTAGGGACTTCCACGTGACCCAATCAAGATGTTGGCCTGCAGAATCTTCTTCTCTAAGAGGATAATCAAGCGGTGGATCTTCTTGAACAGTTTTTAAAAAGTTTTTCCGAGATCGGAGTCTGCTTGATCCTTGGAACTCGCCAAAAAGCGGATGGCGCTCGTCGAACATCTGTTTAAACTTTTCAGTGTGTTCAGCCGCTTTGCGCCGCTGTGAGGGAGCTGCAAATCCGGAGGCTCTGTAAAGTTGAAATAAGCTTGTTGCTTTCATACACCCTGTTGTTATTCGGCACGTTTCATTTAAAGCAACATCAACTTGTTTGGCATGGCTCGATCTATTCCATACAGGACAGGCATATTCTCCCGTTGAAAAACATAAAGCCCGTGCAGTTGTTTTTAAGACAGATGGATTTGCGCCCCACTTGCTTCCAGTTAGCCTTCTCAAAATGTTATTTCTAGCGCTGACTTTCTGGCGAGTTTTCTGACAGTGGTACCTATATGTCAAGGTCCTGTCTAGTATCACTCCGAGATACTTCGGCTTTTCTGTATGCTCCAGCAAACTACCTCTCCACAAGATATTAAGCTTTGTTGCAGCGTCTCTATTGCGTAGGTGGAAAGCGGAAACCTGCGTCTTGGAAGGGTTGGGTTTAAGTGAGTTCCGGTCGTAGTAACTAGCCATTGTGTTAAGTGCACCTTCCAGTTTTTGTTCGACGCTGTGAAAGCTGGTATCTTGTACAGCTATTGCCAGGTCGTCAGCATAAAGAAAATGTTTTGAGTAGGCAGGGAGAGGTTGATCGTTGGTATATATATTAAATAGCATTGGCGCCAGGACGCTTCCTTGGGGCAGCCCATTCCTTTGAGTTCTCCATCTGCTCTTACTATTGTTCAGAGTGACACAAAAGCGTCGGTTCTGCATCATTGTCTCGATCACTTTTACCAGGTTATAATCCTTAATTGTAGCATATATTTTAGTTAGGAGGTGTTTATGAATGATGGTATCATATGCGGCGGTTAAATCGACAAGAGCGACTCCAGTGATCAGCTTCTCCTCGTATCCCCTCTCGATATGCTCTGTAAGAGCCAAGACCTGCCCAGTGCATGATTTTCCCGGCCTAAAGCCCGCTTGCTGAGGAATAAGTTTCGATTCTACGATTTTCTCCATGCGTCTGAGAATCATTCGCTCGTAAACTTTGTACAAATGACACAACAGGGAGATCGGTCTGTAGCTACTGGCCAGTCCTGGATCTTTAGCCGGTTTCAGCAGTGCTACAACTTTAGATTTTCGCCAAGATTTCGGGATTTTGTGGCTGTCGGTACATTCTTGAAAAAATTTCAAAACCCACATTTTTGTTGCTGGGCCGAAGTTTTTAATCTGCTCGGTACACAAATCGTCTACGCCTGCTGCCTTTCCGTTTTTCATATTGTTTAAAGCGTAATTGAGTTCTTTTAAACTGTAGGGATTCTCCAGGATGTTAATCTCGTTTGCTCGATCTCTCTCTAATCTTGGTATTCTAGTTCTCTTTTCGGGCTTTCCATTCTTCAGCAGCTGGTGGGCAATCTGGTCAGGTTTGATGTTACCGATTTGTTTCCTTTCAATTGGGTCGCCATCAAGTTTTTTTAGGAAATTCCATGCGATCTTACTACTGTGAGTCATATCAATTTGCTCTATCTTGTCTATCCATCTTTGCTGTCTGGAATTACTCAGTTCTTGCATTAACATTGAGCCACATTCTAGCGTGTCTTCACTAAAAGGATCCTTCTCAAAGAGTTCTTTGTACCTGGTTAACAGTTCTCTAGAATCGTTAGAAAGACCAGGAATATATTGTTCTCTGCAACCCCTTGGTATTGTATGTCTTGAGACTAGCCTCACTAGATCAATAAATCGTTCGTAGTTCTTTGGTATGGGCTCCAGTTCACTAATAGCTGAATCCAATTCACTAGAGAAATTCTGCCAGTTGGCTTTTTTGAAATTAAACCGACGCCTAAATGGAATATTTGGTGATCTGACGGCTGCGTATACGTCAATTCCTATTGGTTTGTGCTGAGTTTTAGGCACGGGATGGTATACTCTTTTAATACACTGCCCTTCCAATGCGAGGCTAGTGAAACATATATCGGGGTTATATCCACGTTTCCAGATGTTGCTGTGGAAAGAATGTGGAAGTTTATTATCGTGTATAAGGGTAAGATCACATGATTCTGCCCATTCTTCGACCAGGCTTCCGTTCGTGTCGGAATCTGTATATCCCCAGGCTGGGCTATGGCTATTAAAGTCACCCAAGACGAATTTAACCTTCTGAGAATCGAAATTCAATGGTGGTGTAAAGATAAAGGTTTCTGCCGGGGGCTTGTAGACGGAAGTGACAGTGTAATTTCCAATTTCCACTGTTAATATTTCGATGTTATTTGTGTTTGATGACCCAACTGATGTAATTACTTTGTCAGGTTTGACAAAGATTGCACTCCCATGTTTGTTATGAGGTAGTTCAATGGCCAATCGCATGCCAGGGATATTAGGTTGTTTTTGTGTGTGGTCCCTGTGTGTCTCCTGAATACACAGAACATCGCATTTATTAATTCTGCAAAAATCGGATAATAATTCCTGTTTGCTATTCGTAATACCCTCTATATTTTGGACGCCATCGTCAAGGTCGGTTCTGAGAAGAACCCTTGATGATTATTTCTCATGTTGGTTCGTACACTTCGGTCCGGTGGTGGAAGGATTGGCCGTCTAAAAGAAGACGTTTCCAGGGGACGCCAACAATAGTATTTTTTGTTTACTAATTTTGATACACTATTGCAATCGTGGAGGCTCCTTCCATGCCCCCCCCTCTACAAGTAGGAGTCATATTGACACCAAAATCAAATTTCACATGTCAAAAAATTCCCAGGTACCAATTTTCATCTAAATATTGACGTTACGTCAGAATTTATTTGGAAAAAATCGAAATAAAATGAAACTTCAATACCCTCTATCTCCGAAACTAAGCGTTTTAGGACATATATTTATACGAACTTTTCTACTAATTATTATCTGCAGGATATGCTGCCGAAGTTTCCGAAATACAGTTTTGACCACCCTGTAGGTCATATTATGATCTATGATTCTTATACCTAATGTATATTGTAACAAAGTTGAAGATTACAGTTGGGGGTTGGAACCTTTGGTGTTAAACAGCAAAATTAAACACTAAATCACCACAATACACCAAAAGACTTTTACTTTTACACTGGACGCACGTTTCGCTAACCATCATCGATGATTAAAAACTGAAAACTTAGTTAAAGACTTGTAGTTAAAGCAATGTAAAAGTAAAAGTGTTTTGTTATATTGTGGTGATTTAGTGTTTTATTTTAGAAAGTTGAACTTAAATATTTGTGTCTCGTCTTCTATAGCCGGGCGAAACTAAAGAAATAACGGTTGAGGTATTCCGTGATGTCCCCGGAGAGTTTTGCCAGGAGTTCTGGATCAAGACGGACCCGCTGCAAAGTATCAAAGTGCTGGGAAAATTTATAGAGCCGATGCTGACAGTGGTCTATCCTTTTTCGGGAAACGATCTCGCCATCCTCGTCTATCCCTCCACGTTCTTGGGCACTACAAGGCATCGCAACTTAATTATACGGAATCACAGTTCCTTTCCGGCCGTATTTTGTATCTCGAAAAAGATAAACGGGACAACATTCGAGAAAGTGGTAAGTTACTTTATTACAGGTCTTTTTTCATAATAAATTAAAGAGTGCATTAAGAAATGCACTCTTCTGCGTGCCTCCTCTGTATTTATCCACTGAGTATACAGGGTGTCCCAGACTGAGCGTGTATTAGAAGTTTCTAAAGAACCACAATATCTAGATCGGAGATTTTTTTGCACATCATCAGATCTATCGATTAAACATATTTTCAATATGGCGGCACTTCCGGAAATATTGGCAGTTGATAACAACTTTCTTATTTTAAATGGTTGCCCCCGTTTTTATTACGTACTTAGATTGTCTGTAAAATTCTATGAATTTTGATGTTAAACACTTTATATCTAACATTAACCGTTTTTGAAAAAAAAATATTTAAAATTTTTGGACGAAAAAAACTACCGGCAAAAAAAAATTGTATAGCCTAAAAGTCAAACGAGGGATTACCACAGTCACTGTGACATAAAGAGAAGACATGTGGCTATCTATTTCAAAAATTAAATTGTTCAAATGTCATATAATAATGGCGGTAGCTGTCATGTGTCATAGAATTGAGCGATTAAAAATTATCATAAATTATTTTTTTCAAATGAAAACCCACTTTTTTTTTATCCTACAAAGTTTTCCAATTCATTACTTTTTGAGTATACATGTTCCTGTACCTAAAATAAATTGTTTTTAAGTTATTTAAGATTTAGTTTCAAAACGTATATTTTTCTTGATTTTATCTAGCTTCCTTTGACATTAAGTGTCAAACAGTCACACAATTTATCCATCTGTCAGAAACTTTGAATAAGAAGACTAAGGAAGGAGCATATCAAAAATCTTAGGTACACCGCGATGGGCCTCAAATATGGCCGACTTAAATTCCGGTTTATCAGTGTCGTTCTAATTTTATTTAAAAAATGTAAAACTATGATGTAGGGTAGATGTGGGGTAGACTCAATAATTTGTTGTTTTATTTTACTTTGTGAATAAATGTTGGTAGTTATTAAAATTGTTATAAAAATATATAATTCTAAAAAAATAGATAAGTTATAATAAGTATTTATTAACACAAACATCCGATATACGCTACTGAAGCAGATAAGTCAAATTAACGTATCTAAATTCTTTGACATCTAATCTTTGACAAGTAATAAATAAAAGCTAAAATGCAAGAAAAATATATAATTTAGTTAATTTAAGTGAATTTCATAAATGATCGGTTTACTACACGTATGTATATTATATAGTCACTTATTAGCGAAAAGTTGTTCCATTATTTCACTCAATTTTTGCCGAGATCTACCGCACGCTACACAACCAACTATTTTAGAGTCTTTTTCGATAAATCGCGATAGTGTCACTGTTAATTTAAACAACTATTTCTAAGTCAAATAAATTTTATATGGAAATAAAATAAAGATTTCTATTATATTTCTTTTTTTTCTAGCCTTTTGATACAAACAGGGAAAGTGAAGAAAATTACAAACATTTCGAGATCTATCCTTTGGAAGCAAAGCTCAGTTCCGATGAGAGATGCTTAATAGAAATAAAGTAACAAACTCGGTGAACATTTTATAAGTATTTCTACTAAGACAGAATTATTTTCCTTAAGATATTCACCAAAAATGTCTAGCGGTCCTGCATCTTACCATATGGGAATGGTGTTTATTGATTTTATCAAATGTCAAACTATTTCGGAGCATAAGACGGAGAGTGAGTCGTAATAACCAATAAAAATACATTTTTAATTATCTATTATCAGTTAGTTTTGCAGAGGACAAAGAAGGAGAAGATAATATGTCTGGTATGGTATAATTTAATTTCTATCTATTTTTTGATTATACAGGGTGGCGCCTCTCATACGCCGCGGACGCTCCAAGGAGAACGACAGTTTGTATTGAAATGAAATTCTGTGAGCATATGTAGGTTAATTCAGAGCACATTTTAAAAATATAGAGAATTCTACAGGGTGTCCCCAAAAAAAGTTACATATCAAAGTTGTGTTTTTTGTAATGGAATACCCTATATATTAATTGCTTTTCGGATTCTGGGCGAAAAATAAAGGTGAGTTTTATAAGAGCAATATTAGACTAAAATGTAAGGTTTTTGACATGTTTAATATTTTCTAGAAATAAAGAACAATTTTTACAATAAAAGCTGCCTAAATTAGAATTTACCCGGTATAGCCTAATATGTAGTTAAATTAACTATAGTCTGTCCAACGAGAAGATCCTTGACAGTGATAGATGTGTCTGTCATTTTAATTTCAAAGTAGTTTATTTTATTTTACAAAGAAATAAGTTGGTACAACTGGAACGCATAGCAGGATATATTTAAAATTTGATTGACAAGATGACAAGTGATTACTTCAAAATATTGTGAAAAAAACTGTATAAAACTGAAAAAATGTAATCGAGTTATTTTATTTAATAAAAACGGTATGTGTTAATACAAAACAAACAAGAACAAGACACTACATACCAAAAAAAATATGAAAAAGAACTATTATTTACTTTCAAGCTTTATGAAACTACCCGCATTTATGATTATATTTATCAATATAACTTATGTACAAATACAAATTTGTAATATTCCACAGGAATAAATAAAACAACATAGATAAATAAAACAAACTATTTTATTAATAATAACACCTACCAAATAATATACCTTAAAGGTTGATTAATTAACTTTAATCTTAATTTTTTAAACCAGTACCTTTTGACATTATTTTTCTGCAGTACTAAAATCCATTATTTACCTATCGTGTGATGTCGATATTTTACAGCTACTCCAGTTTTTAGTATGTCTTTAGTTTGATCCTTCTACCATATACGAGATGCACTTATCTACGACGAAATGGTATACAAACTTTATCGATGGCAACTTCATTGGTGTATAAAACTTTCTGCCTGGGCAGCGAGTATAAACCATAAACTGTGCTCTGTGTCTACAGTTAATTTTCACTCGATTTTTCCTCCACTTGACTTCAAAAGACACAAAATACACGTAATAATACGAATCAAAATGCATCATCTTCCAAAACGCAGGGTATTTAACAAAAGTTGACACAAAATTCTAACCTATAATTTGGCAAGACTTTGACAAGCGTCAAAAATGACAAAATCTAAAAGGCGAGTTCATACGCATCGGCGTCCGTTTGTCGTTCATCGTTCCGTCAAACCAATAAAATTGAAATACGATCTGTCATTTTTTAAATAAACCAATAAAACTGGTTAAAAACAACAAGACACGACGTATGACGGATTTATATTTAAACCCATCCATAGATAACTTAAAAATTATTAGAAACTTTTTTTAGTAAAATAAATAGATTGGTATGGGACGTCATCTGCTTTTCTTCTGTCATCGTCTGTCGAAATCTTACCTGAGAAAAAAAACAGAGTATATAGTACTTTAAATCAAATTAAAACTTGATCCAGAAAGTCATACAGGGTGAGACAAAATTAATATTGAACATTGGTCACATTTAAAAGCATGTTACTCTCTTATTTTAAATGGAACACCCAGTATATTATTCCGATATTCAATGGAGAATTTATGTCTCTTCAAAATACTATTAAGGTTGCCTACCCCTCAAACAAAGATTTTCCTAGATATTTTCATTTACATGATTTGATCTGAGTAGATCTTTATTATTTGATAAAATCTAGGTGGCTGTGATATATCTGACGTTACTTCAACATTTTGTGTCAGTTAAAACAAAAAAAATTCTCAGAAATTTGCTGAAATTGCAAACTTATCTTACATCAGAGAGAATTGATATGATTCTGTTAGTTGGTGAATGCAGTGTGCATTCACCAATTAAGAGAATACTTAAATGCTTCTGCTTTTATCTAGTCTGTGTTTTTTTATGGGGATATGTTAAAGATAGTGAGTAGATAGTTTGATGTGTAACTTTTTTTGGGGACACCCTGTATAATTCTATATATTTTTATAAAATGCTTTCAGTGAATCTACATATATGCTGCCAAAATTTCATTTCGATATAAACTACCGTTCTCCTTGGAGCTTCCGCGGCCTATGAAAGGCGCCACCCTGTACAGGGTGGTCCGAAGTGTATTCCGGAAACTTCGGCAGCATATTCTGCAGATAAAAATAAGTAAAAAAGTTTGTATAAATGTATGTCCTAAAATGCTTAGTTTCAGAGATACAGGGTGTAGAAGTTTCATTTTTATTTCGATTTTTTCTAAATAATTTCTGAAGTAACCTCAATATTTGGATGAAAATTGGTGTCTGGGAGTTTTTTGACATGAGAAATTTGATTTTCATTCAATATGACTCCTACTAGTAGAGGGCGCCACCTACATGTGTTTAACTGTTTTGAAGCTTAATAACTTTTTGTCCGGACCTGTATAAAACTACCGAGTGAAAAAATATACATCTTTGTAACTTTCTACGTAAAAAATATCTCTTGGTAAAAATCGCTATGAGCAACCGTTCTTAAGATATTTAGAATGGAAATAGTCAAATACGTGTCATTATTAACGAAAAATAAACAAGTTGAGTAGATAGTTGATACACTGTGAGTAGATACACTGAAATAATAAATTTGGGAAATGTTTATTTTTTTGAATTAATCATAAATTTATCTACAAAAAATTATGATAAAACCCTGGATAAAACAGTTTCTGTTGAACTTTTGGCACAAAAACATTTCGAATTTTTGATTTCAGTCTAATAACTATTTAGTCAACATGTTTAATTTATGTCAATGATGACGGGTATTGATAATTTCGATTCCAAATATCTCGAACTCGTAGTGGTTTTTACCAAGAATTTTTTTTCACGTAAATATACGTCGTAAATGTATATTTTTTTTTACCCAGTAGTTTTATACAGGTACCGACGAAAAGTTATTACTCTTCAAACCAGTTAAAAAATATGTAGGTGGCGCCCTCTACTACTATGAGTCACATTGACATCAAAATCAAATTTTTTATGTCAAAAAACTCCCAAACACCAATTTCCATCCAAATATTGACGCTACTTCATAAACTATTTGGAAAAAATCGAAATACAAATGAAATTTCTACACCCTGTATTTCCGAAACTAAGCATTTTAGGACATACATTTATACGAACTTTATCTGTAGAATATTCTGCTGAAGTTTCCGGAATACAGTTCGGACCACCATGTATAGCTTATAGTAACAAAAACAAAATTCTGATTTGACATCCCTAATTCGTGGTACGTAAATTGTTTTTTATGACGATGTGCAAACGAGTAAAATTTCCTGTGCGCAAAAATAAACTCGCGTAAAATAACAATAAACAGCGTAATAGAGAGATATCGCTAAACCAAATAGCGTGCATGGACGTTAATAAGGCCAGGTGTTATTTCCTTTACGTCAGGTGGTATTAACTCTCTTCATTTATTGTTATCGGATCGGAAATAATTCTGTTCGCGTCGCGTCCGCTATTTAAACTTAACCTAACTTTGAATTTAAAACGTTGAAATTGTTTTGTTTACTAGGTATTTTAAAACTAGGTATTTTAAAACTAAAGGGCTAAAGTGCTTATTTCCAGTGCTTTATTATTCAGCGTCTGCCAGTGGGTTTAGGGCAACAAGCAACAAATTCTCTTAAAAGGGCTAAGTTGTCATCTGCTGTAAACCTAAGCCTCTTTATAGGTTCTTTAATATTGGAAGAGGTGGAATCCATATTTTGGGCCATATTTATTTAATTAAAAATAAACCCAGCTACTTAAATATCAAATTACCTAATAAAACTAAAGTAATAATTCAAAACAATTCAAACATAACCTAAAATAAAACATCTCGTCGGCCGGCCCCGGTTGTCAAATACCCGCACATGCCCATTTAAGCAATTTTTAAACGTTTTTTAGTAATAGCGCTTGGTGTAATTGATCCGCAAATTGCGTCAGGCGGTAACGTTATTAGCGGGTGTTGCGTTAAAAATTGACTCGCGCATATCGTAACCATGATAAGGTACGCGTAAATACTGCATGACGCTATTCGGTTTTCCGATATCTCTCTGTCAGGCGCTGTGCACAATTTTAGAGGCCATAAGTGGGCGTGCTATGTGCGCAAACTAGTAACCTAACTAGTGCCCGATTCCGAAAATTGGACCCACGAAATCTCTGATATTATCATGTAACATATTTTCATAGCATATATCTAAATATTTTTTTTGTATTGGATAAATTGATTCTGTGTACTTTTCTTTGGTCAGGCTACGTTCGAAATTACGAACTGCTGCAAATTTCTTTGAAAGTCTCAGTAGTTTTAATTTCTAGCGGTGTTTATCAGAAAGGAAACTTAATAATTTTTTAGACATATCAATTTTGTCAATGGATGAAAAAGATGTGCCAGAACTAGAGATTAATACCAAAGTAAATCGCAGCATATCAATGTATCTTTATGGAGAAACTGAAGTGCCTAACGTAATTTTGATACCACACAAGATCTATTTGGAGCGACTTACCATTAAGAATACCTATACCCAGCCTGTTCAAGTTACTAACGATTCAGAAAAAATGTCTCTTATTTTCAGATATAAAAAGGTAGGTATACACATATAGGTAACACTGCTTTTTTTTACAAACTTAAGTGCGTCATTAGACCTAAACCATAGTAGAATACATACTGTGCCTAAACTATGTAGTTAGACGTATTTCAGAAAACTATGCTCACTAGTGTAGGTTGATCCAAACAAGTGTGAGTTTTAAACGGAATACTTTGTATATATTATTAAATTTTTGGTTTGCTTCTTGATCAGTATTATATTCTTCCATCCTTTATTGTTCATGCATCTTTTTCCATCCTTTATTATACTGGCAAAGGAATCTGAAACAGTAATAGGAATAAGGAATAAAAACAACAACTTTAAGAAGTGTTCAAGAAGAGTTGAACGAATAATCCCACACGTTTTTCTTCATTTGAAAAATTCATATTTACAATTTAGTTCCGTCTCGATAAAATATTTTTTTTGCATCTCTGAGAGCCACAACAATAATTGTTCAATTATTTAACTTGTTTCCATGGCTAACTAAGTGAAATTGTTTAAAAAAGATTGGCTATAACTCTGTAATATTTCGTAAAAAAACATATTATGGCTTATATCGCTGGAATGTTTAAAAAATGGCGCTTTTAGTGAAGTCATAGACAACTTTGGTTTCCATTAAAAAAAAAAAACATAGGTTTGTGTCTCATGTAAAAAATGACAAGCTTTAGAAGAAAAAAACTGAGGACACAGTCTCATTAAGGATGCGATTCTCTACAACTTTCATCTGAAACCTTTTTGTCTAAAATAGATATAATATAGTAAATATTAGTGTAGTATATACAGGGTGAGATTCCTACAATGTTCTCTATGGGTATCTCGGAAACTATTGGAGATAGAGAGTCGGTTAAATAGGGAAAAAATTGCAGTTTTGTGGGGTCATAAATATGCGCCTCCTTGTTTTTTTTAGAAATATCTAGTAAGCCTATAAACTTTTTCTAAAATCCGAAAGACGCATAATATGTTTACCCTAACAAAACTACATTTCTTTCCCCATTTCGCCCACTCTCTAGCTCCGGTAATTTCTAAGATTATAGAAAACTCATCCTGTAAAGATTACAAAAGCATCTCAGATTATAGAGAATTAAGGCTTTCAATTCTTTGATCAATCTGATGAAGCGATAATTAATTTTATTGCATTTTCAATAATTAATCAGTAATTTTCTTCTCATTACCCTCAATTTTATCTATTTTTTAGTCTGCCTGTATAGAATTTGAACCTGAAGAACTTTTGTTACCGCCGAAAGAACCACAGCATCTTACTTTGAAAGTGAGACCGACAAAGTTAGGACATGAAACGTCGCAGGTTAAATTCGATTTGTTATATCGCGAAAGCAGCGGACTTAAACATGTGGGGCAAGTTTCCATGAACGTGTCTTATTACGCTGAAAATTCTCCAAATGACAAATTTTCACGGAAACGCAAAGAGTATTTCTTGTCCGGTATAACTCCAGAAATTACCAACGAAGTTGGCTATCTAACTGACGATGTGAGGTTCAACACAAAAATTGATAAGCCTGTTCAAGCCATCGTGGATAAAAGATATTTGGAGTCAGAAAAGGATAACGATGCTCTGATTGCATTACCCAATGACAGGCAGAGAACTTTAAGACCGTGGAGAAATAAGATACCGTGAGTACCATGTTATAGTGCATCCACATATTGTTTAAGTGTCATTAGTCATTCGGCTCTTTTGTCAATAGACTATCTTTTTCTCTATACAGGGTGTTTCAAAAAACATGTGCCATCTCTCGTGGGGAGATTCCTCACGTAAAAATATGATTTATGTTTCATATCAACATAGGTCTGATTCTGCTTTGTTTCGTAGCTACAGTGTGTTAAGGTCTTAATAGTTTTTCGATTTGTTATAATTTTCTTCCAAGTACTTTTAGCGTTTCATATGAAATTTTGAGGGTAAAAGTTACTATAAATGCGACATATTTTAAAGCCAAAAAAGTGCCGACATATTCACCAGTGACGTGCATATGGGTTATCACTGGAACATTTTTCTAAAAAAAAACATGTACACCCCTGACATTTTTTTCTCTTGTTAACGAAATAGTGTAGTCTTTTACTCGTTGAGAGATGCATATAAACTCCTCTTAAATTAACACTTCTGTCAATTTTTGGATGTTATCTGTACATATCTTGTACCTATAATTTCTTCTTCCGTTGAACAAATGAGTAACCTGAGTAATGAGACCTCTGTAGTGTATAATGTAATTATAGTATTTCTCTTAATCTAATTGCAGGTGCAAAACAATATTTACAAAACTGCCTCGCTTAATAACAACCTTTGATAAAGATTATGACCTCCATCCAAACCGAAAAATACTTAAAGACACAACCCAGTCATATTACAACAGTTACATCCATGCGATGTGTCTGAAAAGGAGCCATGGAAAAACTTTAGACGAAGAATGTTCTGACTACGATACTTCCAATCCAAATTTGGCTTTGATGGAAGGGACTAAATTCAAGGGGCTAAAACCGTTTGATATTTACGATGGGCACAAGAAGGCTCTATTTGTACCATTGACTCCTTATGAGATTTACAACATCGTCGTTACACCCACTTTTATTCAGCTTGGATTGGTAATATTTATTGTCCATAATTACGATACTTTTTATCCTATGATCATTTTTTACGACTTGTCCCCGTCTGAAAAAACATGTAGTACGACCCTGTGAAAGAACATGTAACTATGATTTTTCTGATCAATTTCTACCAGAGTCGATGTTGTATGTGCTTAGGAATGGTACTATTCTAAAACACTGCCAATCATCTAAAATTAAAACCTTAACATATTCTTGTTGGAATTTTTGGTTTACGAATAGTTCTACCATAATCTAACCAACCAATCGGTTGGTAAAAAATTAACTGTTTTTTTTGCTATCTACATAGACGTACTTACTGCTGGCTGAACTATTACAATTGTCTACAGATGATATAAGGTGATGATTTGAAAACTAGCAATCACCAATATTTCTTAGAAAAAATCAGGAAGATCATAAATAAATATACAGGGTGTCTCAGAAATAAGTGCAGATATTTTAACTGGTAGTATATTTCGACCCCAGAAACACGCCTATGAGTTTTTTTTTTGCAATTTGACATTTTCCGGGAAATTTTAAAAAACTTTTTAGTGCCACTTGTTTATTTACCTAAGATTTCCCTACCGTGTATCTAAACCTTGCAGTGTTGCCATCTTTTACGTTGTCCACATTCTACATATTTCTATATTTTTTATAAATTCACAGCAATTTTAAATTTCTTCACAAAAAATTAGGAATGTTAATTTTAATCTCTTATCAGTGCCTATTACTAATAGTTCTAGAAAAAAACATTAATTATTTTTAGTATAGTGTTTCCAAAGTCAATTGAAAGTACTAGGGTTTCACGAGATTCTCTAAATTCGAGATTTCTCGCCTCGTCTCGTCTCGTTGGTAAGGGGGTATGGGAGGGGGTTAAAAATTTAAAAAAATCGTAACTCCAAAATTACAGTAGCTAGCTAAACGCGGTTTTCAATTTAAGATTAGGAATAATATTTGCAACAAAATCAGTCAAAGTCGCAGTTTTTGAGATAAAAAAAATTGAAAAAAATTCCTTTACTTTGAAACTAAAAGAACTGCTTACCAACTTTTTGTTAACATATTTTAGTATGGGCGGCTATACGTGCCTCCGGGCGCCAATTTTTAATAATAATAAATCAGTTATTTATTTTCCAGACTCTCGAAATTTCGAGAATTTCGAATCGAGATCGAGAAATTGTCTTTGAATTGACGAAAAAGATTTCTCGTCTCGATGAAACCCTAGAAAGTACTGAGACTCGTAATTCCTATGTCGAGACGATGTCGACAAAGGCGCCGACAAAGACTGTGCCGAAATTAATTCCAACTAGTCCAACGAGTCCCAATCTATTCCAACTGACTTCGATAAACTATACATACCCTTTCAATGAAAACCTAACGGTAATCATTGAATATTAACTAAAACATTACTTTTATGAGGTTAGTTAATTAAAAAATAAATTTTAAAGAACTAGTTGGCACGTGGCATTCGTGGCGGACGGTTGTGCTGTAGCCATTATCGATGGCAAAAAAACAAAATATGTATTTTAAATTGTTGAGTTTTTTCTTTTAATTTATTTTGTGTAATAATAACACCATCTTAAAAATATAATGCATCTCTGCCAAACTCCTCAGGTGGTGTTATTTTCTGAATTATTTTTGAGCATGTACTTTTTTGGCCATGTGGCAACACAAGGCGTGGAATTACCTGAAATCCGGGTAATTGCAAGGTAGTTGCATGGTGATATCTGCCGGCGGTTCTCAAAATGTTGTCATTATTTTTTTAATTTTCAAAGTTAAATTACTCGGCTATTTTCAACTTATTTTAAAAATGGTAAAGAGAAAATATGTTTCTTTTGACCAGATACCAGATCTAACACCCCTTAAAATATCTGCACTTATTTCTGAGACACCCTGTATATCGGGTGATTAAGGGGAGATAAGGTATTTTTTACTTACTCTGTCGTCTCCAGATTTTTTTAATATAAACTTATCTTGTCTAATTGTTGAAAAGATCATTACTTTCTCTTTTAAAGTTTTATATCAAGATATTAAATCGTAAAATTAGTTGAGATATCGTTTAAAATTAAGCAACATATTATATACAGCAGCCTATCGGTTCCATTACATATTATTAAGGTATCTTCAACATATCTAAACCAGTTTATTAATTGTATTAGTAGTATTCACAAGTATACATATAGTCAATAGTATTGACACGTTTGTTTTGTAAAATATTGCTTCAAACATTTGCTAAAACAATTTTTGCATATTATCTCGAAACAACGTTTTTGGGATAAGGCAGGTTTTGCAACTTGACGCCTCATTTCCAATTACTCACTTCCAAATTGTCCCATTGTATAGTCTATGAAATGAATAACTTTGAATTTTGACCGTTATTTTTTACCAACATGGTAAATATAAAATTCCTCTGTCAAAAAAGTTACTGATATTCTTTAAATTGAGTGCCTGAACGAATCAGATAGGCAACTCTTTTTACTTTCGTGAAATAGAAAAGGAAAATAATAAAACAAGTGACAGTTCTTCCTCTTCTTACAAAAATCAACACAATTGTCAAAAGTAAAATGTCATCAGCTTTTGACATTTCTAAATATCAGACCAATGCCGTCTCTAATAGAACAGCCTCGGAGCGAGATTTATGACGTCACGCTAGTTAGATACTACTGATTAATAAATATGTTGTAGAATACATGGAAAACATAATAATTCCTCGTATTTTTGGTTTGTATTTTAAAAATGATATAGTTTACATGAAATATACATAATATACAGTTAATAAATACAATAGATATACCTATAGTAATAAATAACTTTGGCAAATAAATTATGAACTATACAAATGCAGCAAATGTTTTACAATATACAAATAATGAATTGATACATCAGATAATGGGTAAAATGTAAAATATATTTTAAATTTTGGGGTTTGAAAATCGATCTAATTTAACAAAAAACATTCAATATCTACTAATAGTGATGTATTATTATTTGCATTCACAAAATGTATATGTATATTTTGCAAGTATCAATGTTCGAAAAATTATATTTGCAAATAATACAATATCATAGAAAAAAGGCTGCAGCAATGGCTATGAAATAAAGATCGCTGTCATTTTATATGTAAAATTATTCTAAAATTTTTTATTTTCTTGGGATTTAGGTTCGGGAAAAACGCTGATTAAGTTTTCATTTGTTTTTTCATTATTTTTTTTGGTTAAAAAAACGTTTCGGCTAACATCATAGCCTTCATCAGTGTTGTGTCATATGAAAAAAATAGTGTCGAATATAATACAAAAAATTACATATAAAATATTCACACCACATAATGTTTACTGCAATTAATAAACTAATATAAACTTGTCAAAAGATGACCACGTATTTTTTTAAATTATTATTCATAACACTAAAACTATCTACATTGACTATGGAATACGATTTCAGCCATAGTAAGTAGTAGATATTGAATGTTGTTTGTTAAATTAGATCGATTTTCAAACCCCAAAATTTAAAATATATATTATTTATTACTATAAATAGGTATATATATTGTATTTATTAACTGTATATTATGTATATTTCATGTAAACTATATCATTTTTAAAATACAAACCAAAAATACGAGGAATTATTATGTTTTCCATATATTCTACAACATATTTATTAATCCGTAGTATTTAACTAGCGTGACGTCATAAATCTCGCTTCGAGGCTGTTCTATTAGAGACGGCATTGCGTCAGAATGGCCGCAAGTTGCTAACCTAATAAAATTAAACTATAAAAGCCCGCGGGAACTGTCAAATTCAAAGTTATTCGTTTCACAGGCTATATGTATATCGCGTTTAAGGAGTATGTAGAACATAATTTTTTTTATTTATATTTAGATGATATATAATCTCTATTTGTTTTTTTAGCTAGGTGCTAACACGACCTGTTCCGACCACTTCATGCTGGAAAACAGAAACAGATTCCCGATACACGTATCCGTCAGCGCGTTGTACCCGTCAATCGAGATCATCGAAAAGGAGTTTGTCCTAAAACCAGCATCCACCGAGACCGTCAATTTTATGTATCACACCCCGTCGGGCGGCAAACATCACAACCGCCTCTCCATTAACCTGAATTTCTTCTACTGCTTCGACGTGACGGTTCTGGCTAAGATCGCAGCGAACACGGTCAGGTGCCTGACCAAGGAAATCTCCATTATTCCCGCTGACAAAGTGGCTTTTCTGGAACTGAGAAATCCCATCAATAACGACGTGAAGTTTGAAATCGACACGGATTTTTACCATCTGGAGACTTTTCCTAGTAAAGGCGTCATACCGGCCAAAAGGAATCTGGCCTGCGCCATAACGTTGAATCCGGAGATGGGCTTTGTGGCAATGAAAGAGATCGTTTTAATTTCGGAAAGCGGAGCAAAGGAATTTATCGAAGTATGCTTAACCTATAGTGGTTGATTGAAGGAAAAAATGAGATGCGCATTGTTAGGGTGGGTTTACATCCATCCGTTATGCGTCGTCCGGCATCCCGTGTCTACAATCATATCTAAGGCGCGTTCTCACGAGTCAAGTTTAGTTGAACAACTTTAGTTGACCAACAAAAATTGAATAAAGACTTGATCAAGTAAAGTTCACATGTGCAGCAGAAATTTATAGTCCCGGTTCAGTTTAAAAATGGTGTCGATCGAAATTGTTTGTGAATGTGTACAGGTGATTACATTTTTGTGACAAGACGAATTAAAAAAAATATGCGATGGAATCAAATATCGTAAAATACGTCGTTTTTGTCTCATTGTTAACACTATTTTTTTATTTTCAATAATATTTCTTGCCAAAAACTATCAAAACCGTGGCCAGTTGATTGACTGCCAAGTTCACACGTTTCAAGACTTGTTTCAACTTGAAAGCGATTGGGGACTTGAACGACAAAAGTTTGAATGGATCAAACTTTTGTTGAACAACTAAAAAGTTGATCAAGTCCATTGTAACAGTAGTTCTCACTATAGTTTTTATTCAATTTTTGTTGATCAACTAAAGTTGTTCAGCTAAACTTGACTCGTGAGAACGCGCCTTAGTATGAGTTATCATTTTTGAACTAAACCAATTAAATTGCATAAAATAAACACAGACACATGAAGGACGCATGTAAACTTACACTTATTAGCAAATTTCTGTTTTTGCAACGAATGCGATTCAAAACTTTTGATGCTTACTTTAAAGTTATAAAGCGGGCCTCACACGATCATTATTATCGACATTATTTCTAAACACTGTGAGTAATATTGACTGTGCGAGAGCAAAAATAAAAATACCGATGGGACTCTCAGTATACTGATATACTTTGGCAATCCTGAAAGTATTTTGGGATATTGGCAGTCTCCAACAATTCTGACTGTATCAATACAAAACTGACAACTATCAATAATACTGATTGTGTGAGGCCTGCTCTAGGAAAATTTACACACGAAATTATTGCACAAGGTGTTTTAAAGTTAGGATAAAAAACAACCCCTCGATTAATTCTTTATAAAATGCCAAATACTAAAGTTTATAAAAAAAACTTTGTTTTGGAATTAAAGTTGATATATAGTTTGCTAAAAAAATCATGAAAAATGATATGCTGTGTATTTTTTATGTATTTGTCGTTAAATTACTATTAATGAATTAATTATAAATGTATAATAATTGAAAAATTGCCGAGTATTCAATTATATTAACTTTTAGGTGCATTTTGAAAAGAAAAAAGTCGAAATAGGTTTAAGCGCTGACAAGATCGTTTTCGACGACATCCCTTTAAATACAAAAGTAACAAAATTTTTGGCCGTTCAGAACAACAGTGAACAGCTGGTATCGGCTTCATTTTCTTTGGAGAATAGCGATATGTATCCAGAAATTGTCATTGAACCAACAACAGCTGTGATATGGCAGAAAAGCTTTATCGTGTTAACTATTAAGGCGACATTTACAGAGGTATGTATATGTAATACGTTAAAAGTTCAAAGCGTTAAACAGCCTCTACAGTATGCGGAAAACTCTTCGATACCAAGGTCGCGTTTCATGAGGCTGTTTCGACGACCGTTTTCAGTGATTTATCCCCATCACATATTTGTGATCTCTATCATCATTCCGGCTTTAGTAGATCTCTATCATAGGCATGATAATGGTATACTTTGAGCAAAATTTATAGACTTGCAGGTGTTAAAGCAATTATTTCTACAGGGTGAGTTTTCTACGATGTTCTCTATGGGTATCTCGGAAACTATTGGAGATAGAGAGTCGGTTAAATGGGGAAAGAATTGCAGTTTTGTGGGGTCATAAATATGCGTCTTTCAGATTTTTGAAAAATTTCATGGCTTACTAGATATTTCGAAAAAAACAAATTTCAGCTATTTTAAAAATTGTCCCTAATTCCATTATAATCTATTTTAGACAAAAAGTTTTCAGATAAAAGTTGTAGATAATCACATCCCTAATGAGTTTGTATTCTCCGATTTTTTCTAAAGTCTGTCATTTTTGACATATACCACAAACATATATTTTTTAAAATGGAAACCATAGTTGGCCATTACTTCATAAAAAGCGCCATTTTTTAAGCTTTTCAGCGATATAAGCTAAAATATGTTTTTTTTTAAATTACCGAGTTATAGCCAATTCTTATCATTTTTAAACAGTTTCACTTAGTTAGCCATGGAAACAAGTTCAATCGTCGTTGCTCTCAGAAATGTGAAACTGTCACATCCAAAGTTTGTATATTAAAATAAACAAAAATTGTAAATATGAATTTCGCAAATAAAGAAAACTGTGTAGGATTATTGGTTCAACTTTTATTGACCATAGGTACATTTTCGAGGATACGTTGACCGGTGAACGTTACTTTAGAACGTTTTTCAGAGAACGGTTTTCAACACATGTTAGAAAACTTAAATTTAGATACTCGCGCATCATTAGAGTGGTTCCAACATGACTTTCATTATGATGGTGCTTTTTATGAAGTCATGGCCAACTATGGTTTTTATTTAAAATAACATGTGTTTGTTTCATATGTCAAAAATGACAGGCTTTAGAAAAAATCGGAGAACACAAACTCATTAGGGATGTGATTATCTACAACTTTTATCTTAAAATTTTTTATCTAAAATAGATTATAATGGAATTAGGGATAATTTTTAAAACAGCCAAAGTTTTTTTTACGAAATATCTAGGCTCGCGGCTCTCTATCTCCAGTAGTTTCCGAGATACCCATAGAGAACATCGTAGGAAACTCACCCTGTATATATTTATTTTAGTCGTGCGTTCTAGTGTATTAATCATGCTTTTCCTTCAACTCCATCTACCGTTATGCAGATAAAGCAAGAATATGTTAATTGCAATTTAATTTTATTTTAGATGGTCAAATTTAACGCAACTTTAAGCGTAGTGTTTCAAGATGATGTTAGTAGGAAAGTATCGATAACAGGGAATGTGGCGTTTCCCGAGATACACTTTAGTACCAGCTTCATCAAATTGTCCAAGATTCCCTCTGGAGCTCTTTTGCGATCGCCTTTCAGAATACAAAATAAATCTCAAGTTGAGAATTATGTCACTTTCTTTCTACAGGATTATCCAGAATTTACAGTGAAAATGAAGCATGGCAAAGAAATAAAAACGGTACAATATGATACTATTTATTTTTGTGTATTAAATTTAGGGACTAAGGTGTGTCAACCGAGGCAAGTGATGATTGTCTAAGAGTGGGTTTACATGCATCCGTTATGCGTCATCCGTCGATGTTTTTATTCAAAAAGATGTTCGTTGGATCATTTCAAAAATGACATTTCATATTTAAATATAATTGGGGTGTCGACTGACAAAGCATTACTGATTTATTAATACTATAATACGTATTAATACTATAAAATGGATATAAATATGGCCCGAGAAGCATATAACAAATCTGTAAGATTTTTTTCATATTTAGATACTATTAGATTTATCAGTTTAAAAAAAAATATATAAAACTGCTTTAAGAATCCATGTAAACGATCAGATCATATAAAAAACTACAAATCTAATACATAGATCTATAAAATCGCGATTATTAACTTCGTCCCTCTCCTACAATCTACATCCACAGCTACATCTATAAGCAATACTAGATAAACTTTCAGTTACGTCATCAAGGGCGCCATTATTAAATTCATTGTTGCCAACCATGGACATAATCGGTGCCGGGCTGACTAACCGGAATTTAAATTTCCCGCTGGCGATTCAGGTGCCAGTTCTGCTAGAAAAATGTCAAGTTGCCACATTTATTTATTTATTTTGCTGACATTTTGATTAATGTGGACACTTTAGTTTTGTATTTCGAGTTTGTGTTTATGTGAATTGTATTACGATACTTTAAGCTTCATTTTTTACTAGCAGACCTTGCAGTCGAATAAATAGTTTCTTTTTAGAACCGTTTTAAGTGCGCAGTGTACAATATGCAGTTTAACAGCCGCTGCAAAAAAATTTATCGCAACCTTATTAGAATATTTTGAACGGGAAAACGGTAGTAATCGCCCTTTAGTGCTGTTAAGGAGGTGAGTTTTGTAGATGTAAACAATAACTGTTTATGTATTTATAATTAATTCATTTTTGCTTTCTAAAATATTTTGATTAAAAGAAAATATGTAAAACTGGGCAACGCTGTGACTAAAAGTTTATTTGGTATCATCTATATATCTACAATAACGGTCAAAGCCTCATATAAGCGCAAATATATTCTGTGTTGGGTTATAAATCGGGTGCGTCTCAAAAGTGGCTCACCCCTATAACTTTTTTATTTTTTCAGATAAAACAACGAGATTTGGTATGTTAGAATATAACATAAATTGGGATTGATTGACATATTCAATTGTTTTCTGTCACTTCCGGTTTCACCGGAAATGACTACAACTTTTGATTTTAAATGGCACCCTCGGTATTTTTTTACTTTATTCGATAGAAAATGAGATTCTGAATAGAATAACATATCTGGGGTCGAAATAAAAAAAAAATATTTGTTTTTAATTTGTTTTTTACTCCTAAAAATATTTGAACTTAATTATGAATCGAAAAAATAATAATTCTATACAAAAATGCAGTTGTTTGTACGTTATATCTAAAATTCCTAAGATTCCTTAATTATATAATTAATATAAAATAGTATAAAATATAAAAATAAAATCTGTGCAATAATTATTCTTGAAAACAAAGCTAATTGCAATATGTTAAACATATTTATGTTGTATAAATTATGAGAGGTTATTCCAATATTATCTGTCTAAATCATATCATTTCTGCTTATAAAAATTAAATTATTTGCAATATGCCACATATTTTGTGTGCTAATTGACATTAATCTGAAAGATTTACAAAACATTATCCACTAATGTTAGTTCCTACTGCAGTATTTTCTGTAAGTTATACTGAAAGCGTGAAAATATAAATTATAAAACTAAGTAGAATAAGTTCTAGGATAATTGAGGTTTTGTTGTATAAAATACATTTTTACGGATATACAGGAAAATCCATTATTGCTGTGGAAAAACTAATGTATGATATCTAAAATGTTTGTAAAAAATGTAAAATTTTCTACATTTTTTTGTAAAATGACTCATAGGCGTGTTTTTTGAGTTGAAACATACAACTAGTTAAAACACTTGTACTTATTTAAAGCCTGTATAAAGGCACTTATGCTATCCCTGTAGTTGCTATGATTTATAATTAAATTACATTCCTTTAAACTATCACCTATAGATCATACCAAATAAATTTTAGTCACGGTATTAAGTCTGACCGGCACAGCGTTGCCAACTTTTACATATTTTCTTTTAATTTCAATATTTTAGGAAACAAAAATAAATTAATTATAAATATATAAACAGTTATGATTTACATCAACAAAACTCACCTCCTTGATAGCATTTAAGGGACATAAAGGGTCCATTACTACCGCTTTCCCGTTCAAAATATTCTAATAGGGTTGCGATGAGTTTTTTACGGCTATTAAGCTATCTTGTACACTTCATACTAAAAGAGGTTCTAAAAAGAACAATGTTTGACTGCAAGGTCTGCTGGTAACAAGTTTTAAGCTTAAAGTATCACAACCAGTGCCGGACTTAGACATCCAGGGCCCCTAGCTACTTGACATTTGGGGCCCCCCCATGTCATAGTCAAATTTGGAAATTTACCGAAATAAATACACTAGTACAGAACATATAATTATTAATCGAGTTTAATGACTTTAATAAACATAAGTTTTGATAAGCCAGGCTTTTGAGCTTATATATAAAAGTGCCACTCATCGCATGGGGCCCCTAGGCTGGCTGGGACTCTAGGCCCGGGCCTTGCAGGCCTAGGCGGATATCCGGCCCTGATCACAACAAAATTCGTTTAAACCAAAAACACGTAATACAAAAGCAAAGTGTCAAAACGAATGACAATGTCAAGAAATAAAGAAATAAATGTGTCAATTTGACATTTTTGACAGCAGAGCTACCACCTGAATCCCCAGCGGGAAATTTAAATTCCAGTAAGTTAGCCCGCCGCTGAATATATCCATGGTTGGCAAGAATGAATTTAAAAATCTCACCCTCGATTACGCAACTAATAGTTTAATTAGTATCTCTTATATTGCAAAATAAAAACACTAAATCACCACAATATTAATTTATTCTTCCAGTTGTATTTGAAGGCTAACGAAAAGAGAGATCTTGTCTTGGAATTCTACCCAAAAGAACCAGTGGCCTACTGCATCTACCTGCCTTACGTCCTGAATGGTATCCTCGGGCCTGCTGAACTAAACAGACCTACTTCTATAAAGTGTTCTGAATACTTGAGAACTTCGAATACCAGCAGCTTACGAATCGGTATTCCCGCGCCTTCCAAGTTGAATACGGTGAAACTGCTGTGTGCCGCTGGAAGAAACTGGCTTAGTTTTAATACGTTGTCGATGACATTTTCAAATTTCGAAGAGTTATCGAATATTTTCAAGATCACTAACAATACAAGCGAGATACTAGAGGTTAGATTCTTTTTTTTGCACACTGGTAAAAATATATTCTTGACAAAAGAGTATACTTGGGTTCCAAGACTACATGACTGTCATATATGTCGATGTTTTGATATGTTCGTTTAAGTAACTACTTTCTCTAACTGAAATAATGCTAATTATTATATATACAGTATACAGGGTGCTACAAAGTCGAGGTACGAGCATTAGTATCTCGGTAACCATAAGATATACGAACATGGTTAAATTGGGACAAAGTTGCCGGTTTGGGATGTTCACAAAGATGCTATCAAAAAAGTTTTAAAAAGTTCAAGGATTGCTGAGTTTTTTGGAAAAAACGGATTTTTTTGAAAATCAATTTTATTTTTTCCTGTCGTTACTTTTTAGAAAATCAAAAAACTAGTTGCACATTATCATAGCCACTTTATTAGAGCTATCTGATAGTATTTTTAGATTTTCAAATTTGCTGATAATTTGTGAGTTACAGAAACTGACTTAATTTTTTTAAATACGGACCTGCACTTTTTATTTCAGTTTTTGAAAGAACTCGGTCTCCTGAGTACAATGACATGCCACACTTTATTTTTTTTCGTACATTTGAACACAATTTATTTAAACTCATTTTAAGTCCGGCTCTGTTTTTTTAAATATTTAATCTATTCATCGTTACAATATGGATACGCCTTCAAACTTAGTAAAACATTGAATACGGAAAATCAAATACAATAAAAAAATAAAAAATCTGTATCTCACAAGTTATCAGCTAATTTGAAAATCTAAAAATACTATCAGATAGCCCTAGTAAAGTAGCTTTGAGAATATGCAATTAGTTTTTTGTTTTTGTAAAAAATAACGACAGGAAAAAATAAAATTGATTTTCAAAAAATCGTGTTTTTCCAATGTCTCTCAAAAAAAACTCAAAGCACAAATTTTTGAATTATTCCTAGAAACAATAGCAGCACACAGTAAGGCACTCATTTTTTGTCAATCCGTCTCTGTGCTGGGACGCAACGCTCGAACCCCGCAGGTCGACGGACTGAACTCAAGTGAAAAGCTCTGCAATCTGTTTCTGTACTGACTGTGTAAAACTGACTGAAAATATTTAGGAGAGTGCAACTACTCTTTTCCTTCTACTATGATTATATGTCACTTTTATTGTTTCACTTCAAATATGCGCACGTAGTGCACTCACAATTTTTTTTTTATTTTATGTGTCTGTGTGCTCATCTCCTTTTAAGAAATGCATTAACCATATTATCTATTTGATAGATTTTCTTTAAAATTAAACAAACCGAAGCTTTTGTAATAACACCTGAAGCTCCTGAAGACTTTGAATCAATCGAACATATAGAAGTACCTATAGAACCAGAACAAACAGTGTCATTCAAAGTGAAGTTTATTTCGGATGCTGTTGGAAACTTTGTTGAAGAAATTCCAATTTATGTTTCAACTTATTCCGCTGTTACACCCTATAATTACTTGAAGTTAACTGGCAACTACCAGAAAGCATCAATTTCTATAGATAAAAAAATAATATATCTTCCTCCAGTCAATTTGAGTATTGCTCTTTCAAAGACGATTGAACTGAAATTGATCGGTCACAAATGTGAAGCGAACATTAACTATGTTTGCGAAGCAGAGTCAATTTCTGTGTCTTTCAAAAAATGTGAAAATATTTCCCCAATCGAAATAGATGCCTATTATAAGATTTCGTTTTGCTCTGCAGAAAGTAAGTATAGATAAGTGACCCAGTGTTACGAAAATTACTTTATAAGATGCGCAACCTTATGGGCGATTTCGTGGCACAAACTGTCCGAGATGTAGCTGGCGATACGGTCGCCGCTGGTCAACCTGTCCGAGATTTAGTTTAGCTCTGCGCCGCTGCGCGCTGATAGTCGTTTATAGCGCAGCGGGTAAAGAATACTGTACCGTAGTTCTGCTTTCAGTCGGCAGAGTGAGTGGTTGTTGGAGGCAGTTTTGCCAGAACTACGGATTAATCCGCAGATTTACGGATTTAGGGTACAGTATTAAAGAAAGAACGGCAGCAGAGTTGGCTTGGAAATGAAGATCGCTGTTATTTCATATAATAAATAATTTGCAGATCATCGCGATTTAAGCTAAAAACATAGACTTAATTCATAAAAACGACTTAAATAACGTTATATTGATTTAAGTCTTTACAAAAATGACTTGACTTAAGTGAAAGACTTAAGACTTAAATCATTTGAACTTTATGTTGAATTTGACTTAAGACTTGAGTCTTTTAGGCTGACTTGTTGCAGCTCTGTCCATTAGGTTGCGTATCTTCCCAATTTTATCAATCAACGGTAATATTGAATCGGCCAGATTGCTTCAGTGATACTGACAGATGAGGACCCGTCTTAAAGCTAATTTATTTAATGCAGATTGCCAGGTGGAAGCTACGATATCCTTTACTTGTCCTTGTGAAGCCAGTGCAGAATTAGTGGTAAACGCACGCGCAGACAATTCCTTACTGATCAATTACATGTCAAATTCCACATATTTGAAACAGTCCACGTACCCATATTTCCCCAATAACAGTGACCAATCTGCTTACGGAACTCTGATGCATTCAACTGTGCAAGTAATAGAACGGTGGTTGTTTAGCCAGGGATTTTACTATCGGCAGTACTATACCATTCCGGATGGTATATCCAGATATCCAGTGGACACACATGCAGGAGGGAAGAAATCTTTTGGAGGAAAGAAAAATCGCCAACCGTTGCCATTAGTCCAACTGTTGGTTAATTTAATTGATTCTTCTGTCATAAAATATATAGACAATGGGTAAACTATTTGTTTTACGTAATATGTAACATATTTTTTTTTAATGCAACTATGACACATTGAATATCAAGTTGGTTTACAAGTTAAATTAGAATAGGAAGTGTGTTTTATCAATCATAAAACATATAATGTACAGAGTGATTCAGCGTTCAGAAAAAGCTCTACAATATATTATTTTTTTTCAGAAATAGGCAATCCACCTGCGATGACTGGTTATATGACTAATAGACTAAACATCTGATATAGAGTTGTTTCATAACGCTGGGTCACCCTGTATATTCTGACTTATGACTATAATTATTTCTTCGGATTATATATTTTAAAAATCATATTCATTTTATTTTTAAATTTCTGATTAATAACAGAAATATACTCGGGAAATTAAAATAACTTTGGTTGCACATCATAATACGACCACCAGCAAACTCCATAAGACGACGCATAATGTCATTGATGACGTGCAACGAAAGTTGTTTTAATTACCCTTATACAGGGTGTTTCAAAAAACATGTGCCATCTTTCGTGGGGGATTCCTCACGTAAAATATTAAAAGTACTACTTGGAAGAAAATTATAATAAATTGAATTTTTAACTCCCTGTAGTTACGAAATAAAGCAGGATAGGACCTATATTGATATAAAAATCCCCGCACAAGTTATGGCACATGTTTTTTAAAACACCCTGTATATTAATGTTATATTTTTTAGTATCGCTCCATCGGAGGATCCTGTAAAGCTAGCAACATATAATTATACGACTTATCGCAACACAATATCCTTCTTAAAAAGTCAAAACATCTTTGTTCCTGGTCTTAGACCAGAACATCTTATGCAGTATTCAGAATATTTGATATTTAAGGAGGAATTAATTGACAAGGAACGAGGAGTTATTGAAGAGTCATTTAGCGAACTGCAATTTTATGCTTTTAGCAAGCAGAAATGGTTAGACTTGACACTTGTTATCATTAAAGTACGTATGAATTACACTTACAGCTAGTATATTTGTGTTAGAATCTCTCAGAGGTATTGTCAAAAATTCTAACTAGTAAATTATAAATAATTATATTTATACTGTTTAAAGAAAATTGTCCAATTTTGACTCGTAAATAATAGTGATTAATGGATATTGCAGTTATAACAACAGATAAAATATAAAATATATTATATAAACACGGTTATACAGGGTGAGTCTTATGGTACGTATACATCGGTGCGCTGCGCCGCGAACGAGCAGCGCGCGCCGAGCGTTGTCCGCGCGTTACTTTTATTGTTTTAACCAAGTTTTAACGAACAGCCCGCGATCCATAGAAATCCCGCGAGCATTCGTCTAGTCGTTAATAATATCTCTATCGTCCGAGAAGAACTACGCAATTTTAGCCGAGCCCGAATAAAAATTAGTGATTTACCAGTATTTTACTAAAATTTTTACTACAGGTATTGGTGTTAGAACGAATGATATCTGTAAGTAGCTGTCTAGAGAAAAACTTAATCCAAAACGAATATATCCTCAAAGAAAACGAAAATATTCTCAATTACTATAACAAACACTGTCAAAGATTTCCCAAAAAGTTCGAATGTGAAAGCAAATTGCTTCTATGGACAGAATATCACTACTACCAACAAAGATATATTTTGTGGCCTGACCAGAAATTCAAAAAATATCAAAGCGTCACCAGTTTTAAAGACTTTTATGACAGGTTTGGAAATTATGTTACTGTATGATCGAAAAAAAGGCGTCGAATACGGCTAAAGAATGACCAGATTTCCAGACACAAATCTATTTCCAAAACAACATTTTTTTTCGAAGTATCATAAGTATTGCCAAAATTTCCAAAACAACATTTTTTTTCGAAGTATCATAAGTATTGCAATATTCTTCTTCTTCTTCTTCTTCTTCTTCTTCTTCTTCTTCTTCTTCTTCTTCTTCTTCTTCTTCTTCTTCTTCTTCTTCTTCTTCTTCTTCTTCTTCTTCTTCTTCTTCTTCTTCTTCTTCTTCTTCTTCTTCTTCTTCTTCTTCTTCTTCTTCTTCTTCTTCTTCTTCTTCTTCTACTTCTTCTTCTTCTTCTTCTTCTTCTTCTTCTTCTTCTTCTTCTTCTTCTTCTTCTTCTTCTTCTTCTTCTTCTTCTTCTTCTTCTTCTTCTTCTTCTTCTTCTTCTTCTTCTTCTTCTTCTTCTTCTTCTTCTTCTTCTTCTTCTTCTTCTTCTTCTTCTTCTTCTTCTTCTTCTTCTTCTTCTTCTTCTTCTTCTTCTTCTTCTTCTTCTTCTTCTTCTTCTTCTTCTTCTTCTTCTTCTTCTTCTTCTTCTTCTTCTTCTTCTTCTTCTTCTTCTTCTTCTTCTTCTTCTTCTTCTTCTTCTTCTTCTTCTTCTTCTTCTTCTTCTTCTTCTTCTTCTTCTTCTTCTTCTTCTTCTTCTTCTTCTTCTTCTTCTTCTTCTTCTTCTTCTTCTTCTTCTTCTTCTTCTTCTTCTTCTTCTTCTTCTTCTTCTTCTTCTTCTTCTTCTTCTTCTTCTTCTTCTTCTTCTTCTTCTTCTTCTTCTTCTTCTTCTTCTTCTTCTTCTTCTTCTTCTTCTTCTTCTTCTTCTTCTTCTTCTTCTTCTTCTTCTTCTTCTTCTTCTTCTTCTTCTTCTTCTTCTTCTTCTTCTTCTTCTTCTTCTTCTTCTTCTTCTTCTTCTTCTTCTTCTTCTTCTTCTTCTTCTTCTTCTTCTTCTTCTTCTTCTTCTTCTTCTTCTTCTTCTTCTTCTTCTTCTTCTTCTTCTTCTACAATAAAACAAACTGATACGGAACGGAAGCATACGTATAGCGTTAAAAAATCAAAAATACAGAACGGATATGGAAACGGAAGGTATAGTGAGAATCAATCTTTAGGCATAAAAACCATATACAGGATGAGGAATTCACAAAATAAATTATAAATTATAACCTTATTAAGGGCAACTGGGAGTAAGTACCATTAAAATATAAAAAAAGAATAGTAGTAGGACCAAGTAGTTGAGATCTAGGGCTTGTCCTCACCAAAATTATCATCGATTGTCATTCCCCAGCCGTCTTCGATGTCGTTTTTTTCGATCGTATGGTATTTAAATTCATATTCTTCTCATTGTATTTGAATCTAGTTTTTTATTCGTAACTCTTACTGCTGCCTATTGTCCTTACGTGAAGAGCAAGCTGCAGGATATCTACGCAGTCCCGAAAAGTGAGGAGCATCTTATCCACAACGCCTGCAGACTGGTACAAACTTGGAGGAGCTTAAAGTTTAGTATAGATGTTTTTCCTCAATCTATTGTCTCTGGAAATGAAGTTAAAATTTTACTTATAGGTAAGAATATTTTTTAAAATGAAAACTGAGTTTCACTAACTATGTTAGCATCATCAGCAGATGATTAAAACTAAACTAAACTAGTCAGTTTAGTTTTAATCATTTGCTGATGATGCTTATATGGTATTTTCCAATATTCAAAGGCTCTTGGGATATTTATTATCACCTTCCGTGCATATGAATTCGAGACAACAGGCACTTTTTTAGATAGTTTATTTTGAATATAGCGGAATGACAAGATGACAAGATGACCAGAAGAAAAATGATTGGACATGGTTAATTATTAATTTTACTTTTTATAATTGTAGTTATGTACCTTTACACTGTCCTACCAAGTTACTACCCGACAAGTGAAGTTACAATAGAAACTCCTCTATCAGAACACGGCAAATGCACGTTGGATGTGCAAAATTGTGGTAATTCGCCTATTCAATATAAAGCAGCATTTTTTGGAAACGAATCTAACTTGTTTGACTTGGATAACTACGAAATCACTATTCAAAATGGTAAAAGTAAGAAGCTTGGTCTGAGGTATTTTGCCAGAAGTGTTTTTCAGGTAAAATTTTTTAATATCCATACACTACTATGTATTGTTTGTTCAGTGTGAAAATACGGGGTCCGGCAAGTGTGCGTCGGGCATTTGGGAATTTTGTTGTGCAAACCTAAAGTATGTTCTAGGATGTATTTCAGGAAAATATTTTAACTTCTACGGGATAGCTACTGAATTGGGACGATTTTTTTAATGGAACACTCTGTATGTTATTGCATTTTTGACTTCCTTTCAGATCACTTTACATAATTCCAAGATATGAGTAAATATATTCCTATAGTTTCAGAGATATTAATAAATAAAAATATATATTTTCAGCTTTTCTTAAAAATACAAGTACTGTCCTGAAATCAAAACTATATTTAGAATTTACTTTAGATGGTTTGTACTTAATTTGATATAAATATCGTAATCTTAAATCATACAAGGTCTTTAAAAATGCTCGCCAAACTTTCTAAAATATAAAATCATATTTCTTCCTTTTCTTAATTGTCCCTCCCATATGACTGGTGCGGGTCGTATAGAATAATTGGTTTTAACCTCAATATTATCTTATAGTGACCTAAGCCCCCCCAAAGGGCTTAAGCCCCTCTAGAAGTCTATGTCTCGTTGTGTAATTAAGACAGTTTACTATAGGCTTGGTGCATTCTCCGCTGGTGCTGCCACCATCAGAGAATATTGTAAACAATTGATATATACAAATACACAGGTTTGAATAGCGAGTATACGAAAAATGTATTATTTCATTATTCTAAAAGTGTTAGGAGGTATAATTTGTGATAATCCTAAAAATAAAAATAAAAAAGTAAATACATACATACATATATACACCTGCTACTCGCTGACGAGTATTCGACACACATAAAGAAAATGGTCACGCAAGGCGTTTTCTTTCATGAGCTTTTCTGTGACTGAAAAGCCCGATACGTGATGTTATCTGCCTACCGCACTCCGGACATTCAAAAATCTCATTGCTTTGTTGCCTCTTTACTTTTTGGTTGTCGCTGTTAACTGAGTTTACAACTCTTCTCCATTGAGTTCTATTATGAACTGCTTTTTCCCGCTCATTCTGCATGTTAAGCCCCTTTAAGTTTTCGTGGAAAATATCCTTGTACCTTTTCAGTTGTCCACCTGGCCTCCTCTTACCGTCTACAAGCTCACCGTAAAGCAGAGATTTTGGTATGCGGTTTTCTTGCATTCTGCATACGTGACCAGCCCATCTTCAGCGGGATTTTGTAACCATGACTTCGATACTCTCGCAGTTAGCTTTTTCAAGAGACATGGTGGAACCACCGGATTCTTAAGAGTTGTCTAAGGTGTCTCTGTTGCAACTTGTTTAATGCGTTCATGTGTCGGCGGTACGGCACCCAGGTTTCACTCCCATATAACAATGTGGGGATTATAATTGCTCGTATTTTTTACTATTTTATTTAAAAATCTGTAGGTATCCAGTATTTTGGTACTGTCTGGCGAGAGTTCAGGCCTCAACTACGCCAAGAGTCTCGTCTTTTCCGTAAACGGTGTTACCAATATTTCGGACTGTGATCTGATTAAAGTGCAAGTTCCGATTTATGAGAAAGTGAAGAAGAAGTTTCCCATCAAAACTCCTTACGGAAAAAATTACAAGGCCCAACTCTTTATGTGCTTCGGCAAAATAAATACCAAGGAAGATCTAATTTCGATTTCCGACTTAAAATCTAGACAGCTGCTCAGAGAATATACAATGGATCAGACTGAGTGCGAATTTCAAGATAAGGGTAATTATAAATACCGATTTAAAATGGTTGTTACATTGGATGCAAATTCGTATACAGGGAGGTAATAATTTCATTGCCAAACATTTAGCACAACAATCAAGTTCTTGTTTTCTTATAGCGACCATTTCGATTCTTTATAATATTAGACAGAGCAACAGAACTTTTAATAAAGCAACTTTTGTCTTATTTACCCGAAAAAAAATCTCTTGTAGATTCGAAAATACCAAAGTTGAGCATTGAAATTGTTACCACCCCACAGATATATTTGTATAACACCTTCGCTGCCTCGCCAAATTTGTCCAATCTATCTTTTCTGATTCTTTTTAATCAGTGTATACAGTGATGGGCAAACACCATAATATAATGAAATCTGGGTAAATACAGTGTATTTACCAGTAATAGTATAGGGTATATTGAATTTGGGTAAATTCTGTAAATAACAATATACCGGGTGTTGGCATCGTCGAGCGGGACATAGGAAATCCCATGTAAATTTTAATGGTGTCAATTATTGGCTTCCCTAATTATTTTAGAGAATAATTCTATTTAGGTTTATTGAAGAGCACTAAAACCCACATTCAAAAGAATAACTTTAGATATTTTTGATTAGCCCGTTTACGAGTTATCGCCGATTCCTTTTTAAATCTTTCTCCTTTCTTATGGCCCTGTATTTACTTATGAGCACCAGTCAAGGTAAAAGATAACTGTCTTGATAAGTTATTGAATATTGTAATAATACTATAATTAACCTTGTAATTGATTACTTTATTTTACTTTAATTCATATTAATTTGTATTTATAAATACATCTTTAAAATTTCCGATGTAGGAATGAGTTTTCAATAATAATAAAGCACTAAATAGGTAAATTTGTGAAATGACAACTTCATTTGACAGTTATCTTTTACCTTGACTGGTGCTCATAAGTAAATACAGGGCCATAAGAAAGAAGAAATATTTAAAAAGAAATCGGCGATAACTCGTAAACGAGCTCATCAAAAATATCTAAAGTTATTCTTTTGAATGTGGGTTTTAATAAACCTAAATAGAATTATTCTCTAAAATAATTAGGGAAGCCAATAATTGACCGCATTAAAATTTACATGGAATTTCCTATGTCCCGTCCGACGATGCAACACCCGGTATAATAATGTAAATATCTAAGAATAAATGGCCAGAAAACCACCAATTGGTTAAAGAATGCGTATCAAAAGGATGCACAGTAGCAATAATTTTATCATATACAGGGTGAGTCTTAAATAAGTGCAAATATTCTCATGGTTGGTAGATCTCGATAAAAAAAACATTTTCTTTCTGCCGTTTTTCAAATTAATCCAAAATAACCCAGTTATTTCATTATGAATATTTCCAAAACAAAGTGATTTTTTGTTAAAATTTTGAGAACAACTGGATCTTTTTCTGGACTTTGTTTCTTGTAAATTTAATCTACTACCTATATTGCCATATTATCAAGAAATTACGTTTTTTAACTAAAAACTAAACAAATTTCCAAAAAAAATTTCAAAAAATTCCCAATTTTCATTTTTTTTGAAAAAAAAAACTCAATCTTGTTTTTGGGGTCGAAATATATTAACCCTAAAGATATTTGCATTTATTTAAGACTCACCCTGATATACAGGGTGGTCCGAACTGTATTCCGGAAACTTCGGCAGCATATTCTGCATACAAAAATAAGTAAAAAAGTTCGTATAAATATGTATGTCCTAAAATGCCTAGTTTCGGAGATGCAGGGGTAGAAATTTCATTTTTTTTCAATTTCTGAAGTAATGTCAATATTTGGATGAGAATTGGTATCTGGGAGTTTTTTGACATAAGAAATTTGATTTTGATATAAATATAACTCCTACGTGTAGAGGGCGCCACCTACATATTTTTTAACTGGTGTGAAGGGTAGTAACTTTTCGTCCGTACCTTTCTCATGTCAAAAAACTCACAGACACCAATTTTCATCCAAATATTGACGTTACTTCAAAAATTATTTAGTAAAAAATCGAAATAAAAATGAAAATTCTACACCCTTTGGCCTTTATCTTCGAAACTAAGCATTTTAGGATATAAATGTATGAATTTTGTTACTTATTTTTATCTGCAGGATGTGTTGCCGAAGTTTCCGGAATACAGTTTGGACCACCTTGTCATACCAGGACCACCTTGTATAATAAATTCTATCAAAAACACGACAGCACAACGCCGATGATGCAATTTAAGTGTAAATACCCTTGTTTTATAAATACCCGTTATAATAGCAGGAATATATCCGCATATACCAGGAATATATCTACAATATTCCTCCATGGGTATATACCCGAGACCTTCTGGGTATATACCAGGTATATACACAAATTTTATTTGCCACCGCCCATCACTGAGTGAATATCATTTAGTTTTACTAAAGTATATATTTGTTTAATTTTAGGGGAAAGCTCCGTTGTCATTAACTTCTGTTTTCTTTCACAAGGTGAAAAGTCTTTTTACGTGTTCTTTTGCCATGAAGAAATAGGTGATTTTTGCGTGCTGTTTAAAACGTCGTCAACGTTGAAAACGAACAGTGTTGCTGATTCTATCCCGGTAGAGCTTTCCGAAAATTTTGCGAAACCTTGTATTTGCAAGACTTCCACTAATACCAAGTGCCCCAAAACCTTTAAGGTCGATATACCGTGCAGGAACGAGCGGTTTTGTAAAAGCATAAACACGATGATCCAGATGTGTTTCACCACAATTATTTTTAATCATTTAGAGACATTTTCAGGTAAGATTTGCGATTAAGAGTGGATAGAAAAATTTACATATTACATTGGTTATATTATTTTTATATTAAATAGTATACACCATTGATCATTTACAAAATAATTCATAATCTACTTGGACTGAATAATATGCTGGGCTTAATAATATACAGGGTGGTTCGAACTGTATTCCGGAAATTTCGTCAGCATATTCAGCAGATAAAAATAGGTAAAAAGTTCATATAAATGTATGTCTTAAAATGCTTAGTTTCGGAGATACAGGGTGTACAAGTTTCATATTTATTTTCAATTTTTTCTTAATAATTTATGAAGTAACGTCAATATTTGGATGAAAATTGGTGTCTGGAAGTTTTTTGACATGAGAAATTTTATTTTGATGTCAATATGACTACTACTTGTAGAGGGCGCCCCCTACATATTTTTTAACTGGTTTGAAGAGTAATAACTTTTCGTCCGTACCTGTATAAAATTAGTGGGCAAAAAAATGTAAATTAACGACGTTTTTTACGTAAAGAAGGTCTCTTGGTAAAAATCGCTACCAAGTAATGGTTCTCGAGATATTTGGAGTCGAAATTATCAACAACTGCAAACATAAATTAAACATGTTAACTAACAGTTATTAGACTGAAATCATAAACCTGAAATGTTTTCGTGCCAAAACTTCAACAGAAACTATTTTATCATCATTTTTCCGCAGAAAAAAATAAAAGTTTATAAAAAATTTCGAAAATTTTAGTCAATTAACTCTATCTACTCAGTGTGTTTATTTTTTGTCAATAATGACATGTATTGACTATTCCCATTTTAAATATCTTGAAAACGGTTGCTCGTAGAGATTTTTACTAAGAGACATTTTTTACGTAAAAAATCACGGAAATGTATAATTTTACACTCAGTAGTTTTATACAGGTGTGGACGAAAAGTTATTAGTCTTCAAAACAGTTAAAATATATGTAGGTGGCGCCCCCTACAAATAGGAGTCATATTGACATCAAAATCAAATTTTTCATGTCAAAAAAAACCCAGATACCAATTTTCATCCAAATATTGACGTTACATCAAAAATTATTTGAAAAAAATCGAAATAAAAATGAAAAATCTACACCCTGTATCTCCGAAACTAAGTATTTTAGGACATACATTTATACGAACTTTTTTACTTATTTTTAGCTGCAGAATATGATGCCGAAGCTTCCGGAATAAAGTTTAGACCACCCTGTATATTTAAAAATTTGAGAATGTACTAGGAGCCATTCAGTTACTTCAGTTATATCCAACTTGATATAAAATTTGCCCAAGGAGTCAGGGAAGATCATAGTACTAGGTACATCTTTTCTCTGATAGTTTGTTTTTTTATTCATCTCAATATCTTTATTTTTATTGGAGATATTCGCTTTTAAATAAGACAGTTACGATCTACAGATGATCTACAGCAATTTTAGCATTCATTTTGGGTCCTCATCAACACATTTATAAAATAGTATCTACTATTTTTGTAACGTTACTGTCATTGAAAAGTTATTGAGATGAATAAAAAAACAAACTATTGAGAAAAGATACACCTAGATGATAAAATGATTCTTAAATTCTTGCTAACGTTGTTATCCCTTATTAGTACGAGAGCTATAGTCTGTCCAACGAGAAACTAAGTATGAGAAGATCCTTGACAGTGATAGATGTGTCTGTCATTTTAATTTCAAACTAGTTTATTTTATTTTACAAAGAAATAAGTTGGTACAACTGGAACGCATAGCGGGAAATATTTAAAATTTGATTGACAAGATGACAAGTGATTACTTCAAAATATTGTGAAAAAAACTGTATAAAACTGAAAAAATGTAATCGAGTTATTTTATTTAATAAAAACGGTATGTGTTAATACAAAACAAACAAGAACAAGACACTACATACCAAAAAAATATAAAAAAGAACTATTATTTACTTTCAAGCTTTATGAAACTACCCGCATTTATGATTATATTTATCAATATAACTTATGTACAAATACAAATTTGTAATATTCCACAGGAATAAATAAAACAACATAGGTAAATAAAACAAACTATTTTATTAATAATAACACCTACCAAATTTTATACCTTAAAGGTTGATTAATTAACTTTAATCTTAATTTTTTTTAAACCAGTACCTTTTGACATTATTTTTCTGCAGTACTAAAATCCATTATTTACCTATCGTGTGATGTCGATATTTTACAGCTACTCCAGTTTTTAGTATGTGTTTAGTTTGATCCTTCTACCATATACGAGATGCACTTATCTACGACGAAATGGTATACAAACTTTATAAATGGCAACTTCATTGGTGTATAAGACTTTCTGCCTGGGCAGTGAGTATTAACCATAAACTGTGCTCTGGGTCTACAGTTAATTTTCACTCGATTTTTCCTCCACTTGACTTCAAAAGACACAAAACACACGTAATAATACGAATCAAAATGCATCATCTTCCAAAACGCAGGGTATTTAACAAAAGTTGACACAAAATTATAACCTATAATTTGGCAAGACTTTGACAAGCGTCAAAAATGACAAAAATCTAAAAGCGAGTTCATACGCATCGGCGTCCGTTTGTCGTTCATCGTTCCGTCAAACCAAGAAAATTGAAATACGATCTGTCATTTTTTAAATAAACCAATAAAACTGGTTAAAAACAACAAGACACGACGTATGACGGATTTATATTTAAACCCATCCATAGATAACTTAAAAATGATTAGAAACTTTTTTTAGTAAAATAAATAGATTGGTATGGGACGTCATCTGCTTTTCTTCTGTCATCGTCTGTCGAAATATTACCTGAGAAAAAAAAAACAGAGTATAGCAACGTCGGAAAAACATTTTTTTATGACGTCTGTGATATATCTTTTACTATGCTCTCTAAAACAGCATGCGGCCCGTCTGGCTGCCGGTAAATGTTGCGTTCCCTACTGCGCATTGAAAGAAGATGCTATATTTTTATTAGTCCTTTTAATTCTAGTATTGAATATAAATCGAACATGTCTCCATAGCGCAGTGCGTAGAGTTTCTAGTGAGTGACCACGAACCGATGATTCAGAGTTCGAATCCGGCTCAGGGCAAAGACTTTTTTATTTTATTTTCGTTTATATTCTGATAGTAAAGTACCTATTAAATATTTGTTTTTTTTTTAATTACCAGAATTATTTAATACTTTACTATCGGAATATAAACGAAAATAAAATAAAAAAGTCTGATCGGAAACTCTACTCACTGCGCTATGGAGACATGTTCGATTTATATTCAATAGATATTAGAATTTATAGGACTAAATTAACAAAAAAATATAGGATCTTCTTCCGATGCGCAGTAGTGAACGCAAGGGGTATCGGCAGCCAGACGGGGCGGATGCTGTTCCAGAGAGCATAGTAAAAGATATATCAAAGAGCCAGGCGTCTTAAAATACTTTCTCGAAAACGTTGCCAGCTCTTAGACTATATAGACTATAAGTAAAACAGCGAAATCTCTCTCGTTATGGAATTGAAATATAAAATGACACCAATCACAACAAAATCATATATCCGAAGAACGGAGGCATGAAAATGCAATAAATTTAAAAACTGCGTAATTTTCTAACCAATCGAAATCTTTAAATTCAACCAATAAAATTAATATCGTGAAAATGCTCGAAAATCAAGCTTTATTGTGTACCCTTTTATATTAACTCTTAATTTTGTTATTAAAAATTTTCTTTCAGATTCCGCCTTCATAGTGAGATTCCTCAAATATCACGCCGAGAATTCACCCAATGGCTCTTTACTACCGAGCGACGTGTTTGAAAGTTCAGCCGAGTTCGACATCACTCGATCCAAATCAATGTCTTCATCAACTAAAAGTATTTTTGTTAAGAATGTCATATCGAAAGACACAATATCTTTAGTATTTCACTGGGACGTACCGCAAAACCCGTCAGTTGAGAACCTGGAATTGAAAAAAACAAATGGCAAGGAAGTGCGATACTTCAAGTTGGTGTTTCCGAAACTAGAAGACGAAGTCAGTGGTAAAACTTATAGTATGAAAAGTAGCCAGGGTGGTATAAGTGGAGAGAGTAAGTTAAATAAAAACAAAAATGAGTCTGTTTAATGGAAGCGAAAAATTGAGACCCGTCCCAGTCGTGTAGAAAAATGGTTGTAACTTATATGGACCTATTATTTTTGACAAACTACTTAGTGTATTTTCTCCCTATTCGGTATAGTAGCGATAAAAACTTTTACAGGGGCGTGCTTATACAAAATTTTATGCTAAATGTATCATATTTTTTATAAATAATTTTGTACTAAAATTATGTATACAAATATAAACGTATAGAATACTAATTTTAAACTTTTCTTACTACCCTATTTCGCAAAACTGCACTTTGGTTATTTTTATACTTTTTGTAATTTTTTTTATAACCTATTATTAATAATACAGTACAGAGTCGTTTAGTACCATGCGGCGTCTTATGGAGTTTGCTGGTGGTCGTATTATGATGTGCAACCAAAGTTATTTTAATTTCCCTCTACATATGAGGCGGATTCATCTCTCTAAAAAATCCTATATGGGTATTTTACCGCAAGAAAATCTAAAAAATAAAATAGTTATTTTTTGTAAACACATATGCGTTAATCCAAACTGGTTAGGTTTACAGATATATAAATTTGCCTAACGAACAAAAAAATGCTTAACGTTTCGAAAAGTTTATCTCTTTCCGTCGTCGGAAGCAAAAAAAAATACAAAGAATAGAAAACTATTTAAAACATTTAAACTGAACTATTCGAGAACACTTTATTTTTGTTTAAAACAGATACGTCTACAAAAACCGTTGACGTTCTGTTAAAATGACATTATATCAAGTTAAACTTCAAAATTAACAATTACTACCTGATAACAACTACTTAATAAGGTAAAACCAGAAAATCACAAACTTTCTGTATGATTATTTTTAATTTTTACGTATGTTTATTTATGTTATGTTCTTTAAAATCAAAGAAGCGATTGCCATACATCATTAACATCTACAGATGCATGAACAATACATCTATTTTTATTAGATTGTATTAAAAAAGCATCTTTTACTTTTCTTTTAGAGGCTATCTCTTCTTTCATTATAATTTTGGCGCTATTAAAATTTATTCTGTGCCCTGTGTCCCATTAATGCTGACAAATCTTAGATTTGTGAAAATCTCCCTTTCTTAAATAATTTTTATGTTCTTTAATTCGAACATTTAAGGAACATTAATATTTCTCCAAACCTACGCCTATGAGCTCTGAGATGACGGAGTGCGACCATTGAACGGGAGCGTATAAAACGCTCTACCTCCCACCACCCGAACTTTTCCCACTCCAGAATTGAGCGAGAGTTGGAGGAGCCACCGCAATCAATCACCGGGTCCAGGGACCGTAGAATGTTCCCCCAGGAGCAAACGGGAACATTGCGGCATGATTAATGACACGGGACGCGGTACATGAGCCACCGAGTGGCGGAAAGACACTCCCTTTAAACACTTGTATTTTGCAGTAAAAACGGTTGGGGTTTGACAAAATAATGTCTTCCATCAAACAATAACTTTTAATACTGTAATTAAATATTAGGCTATACAAGGTCAACTAAAATTTGGGTAGCTGTTATCTAAATTTGAAATTTACTCTTCATTTTCACAAAGTGTGAAATATGTCAAAATCTTTAGATTTTAGGTATGTGCTTCTTCAATAAAACTCACTTTTATTTTTTTCCTAGAATCCGAAAATCAATTAATATATAGGGTGTTCCATTAGAAAAAACACAACTTTGATGTGTGACTTTTTTTGGGGACACCCTGTATAATTCTATATATTTTTATAAAATGCTTTCAGTGAATCTACATATATGCTGCCAAAATTTCATTTCGATATAAACTACCGTTCTCCTTGGAGCGTATGAAAGGCGCCACCCTGTACAGGGTGGTCCGAAGTGTATTCCGCAAACTTCGGCAGCATATTCTGCAGATAAAAATAAGTGAAAAAGTTTGTATAAATGTATGTCCTAAAATGCTTAGTTTCGGAGATACAGGGTGTAGAAGTTTCATTTTTATTTCGATTTTTTCCAAATAATTTCCGGAATAACGTCAATATTTTGATGAAAATTGGTATCTGGGAGTTTTTTGACAGGAGAAATTTGATTTTCATATCAATATGACTCCTATCTGCAGGGGGCGCCACCTACATGTGTTTTAACTGTTTTGAATAGTAATAACTTTTCGTCCGTGCCTGTATAAAACTATTCAGTGAAAAAATAAACATTTCCATGAGTTCTTAAGATATTTAGAATGGAAATAGTCAATACATGTCATTATTGACAAAAAAATAAACACGTTCAGTAGATAGTTATTTGACTGAAATAATAAATTTGGGAAATTTTTATTTTTTCAAATTAGTCATAAATTTTTCTGCGAAAAAATGATGAAAAGTTTCTGTTGAACTTTTTGCACAAAAACATTTCAAATTTATGATTTCAGTGTAATCAGGGCCGGGCCCAAGGGGGGGGGGTGGGTGCGATGGGGATCTACCCCCCCCCCCCCAAAGTCGAGCCAGTTGGTTCCAAATGCGGTTGGCAAAATCTACCTACCAAGCTACTAATCGTAATAAAAAAAATAGAATATAATTTTTAACTAACTAAAATTACTAAAAATCAAAAAATCAAATAAAAATTTCAATTCAGTACTCTTAATTAATGGGAAATGTCATCGATCGTCATTTCATAACCATCGCTGACGCCGTTTTTTTTCGATTGTAAAATCGGTTATTTTTGGGGCTTACTCAACCCGGTCTCACAATGCAAATTCACCTCAAATATCCATTTAGTTGGTCATCGGCGAGCACTCTCTCATTGTACATGAAAATAACAAAACAAACATTTACTGATCTGGATAAAATTGATAGTTAAATAGTAAGACTCACCCGGGGGTACTCCGCCCCCTAGCCACTGACATCACTGATATTCTATTCAATATATCACATTCCATATCTTCCATCTAATTCAAATATTATTCGGATCTATTGGTTAATAATCTTCAACAACTAGCTAGTGTCACCTGAAATAGTATAGGGGCTTCCCCCGGACGCAATTCTGCCGCTAAACAGATTAGCATCCCAATCGAATAAGCTATTTGGGTGGCTCACCATCCCAACGCCGCATCGTCAATCGAGAAGACATTATGGAGACCTCAAACTCTCAAGACCAACTCGAAGGCAAGACGTCACAAGAGGTTTTCTTACCGTGGTCAAACGACCCCGTTGGCTTACAGTCAAACGACTTGCAACTATATTAGTCAAAAGACTCGCAACCTCCATTTGTCAGCTCTGTGACAAAACACAACACTACACAGCCGGCGGGCCTATCAACGACTGACTGACCTGCCGCGCCCGTGCAAGCTAAGCCTCCTCTTACATCAAAATTTTACCTGATCACAAATATTTACATGGCTTGCCAATGAATCATACTATTTTCTCTAATCGACTTTCATATAGAGTGTTTTAGCATTACTAGATAAATAAATAGAGAGTTTCTGAAGGAAAGCATATTTTTATTAGAATAGTGAATAAATAAAAGCATTATTATAACAAACTTATTTTCCAAGTTTTACACGATCATACCGTATTTGGCATAAAAAAGGTCAAGTTGTTTTTTTTTACTTCCCCCCCCCCCCTATTACGGCCCTGAGTCTAATAACTATTTACTATTTAGTAGACTTGTTTAATTTATGTCAATGATGATGACAAGTAGGAGTCATAGTGACATCAAAATCAAATGTCTCATATCAAGAAACTCCTAGACACAACTTTTCATCGAAATATTGACGTTTATTATAAAAAATTATTTGGAAAAAATCGAAATAAAAATGAAATTTCTACACCCTGTATCTCCGAAACTAAGCATTTTAGGACATACATTTATATGAACTTTTCTACTTATTTTTATCTGCAGAATATGCTGCCAAAGTTTCCGATACAGTTCGGACCACCCTGTATTTTAGACTTTTCTTTTAGTGGCTAAATTCCCAAGCTTTTTTCAGGAAATAATTGTTTATGTTTAGTTAATGAGAGAAAGCTAATCTTAAGTTGGATAACCCTGTATATAAATTAGAATAACCTCATGTTTATTATTTTAATAAAAGAAAAATATTAATATGTATACTTTTGTATAGTTCTTATAGTCTAGTAAATAAGGATACAAAGCTGTGGAACATGATTTATCAAATTGTGTATGACAATGTTTCTGATATCTGGCACCCGCACAAAATTGTGATAAAACAAATACTTCTTGTTGGTTAAAGAGACTTTAAGAACAAAATGTCAAAAAAAGACTGTAAACAAATCTTGACAAATAAGCTATTATTAGTGAAAATATGAATAAGTTTGCAAAAATCTGAAAATTTTTGGGTCAAGAAATGTTTGGGCCAGGATTTTTATTATCATGAAATATGACAAAATTCAAACAAGTTTCAAAATGTACTAGCTGCTGATTCTACCTTTTAAATGAACTTTGAATCGTCAAAAAATATTAAATTTTAGTCGAATTATTAAACAAAAAATTGTAAATTGCATATTTTGGCAGATACTTGCAAAAAACTGATTTATCGGCCAAAGCTGACCGAGCACGGTGTTACAATTTCCCCCTTTTAAAATTACTGCCCAAAAGGAACACAATCCACCTCAAAAGTGTGTTTCAACCTTCATTCACTGGACTACTACAGAAACTGAGATCTATGAAAGCAAGAAAATTCAATATATCAGTATTATTCTATAGGGACAATGGATATTACAATTCATATTTGCATAATATTGAAATAGACAATGATTACATATCTTTCCTTTATTCAAGGTATAATTATAAATACTACATAGTAGTTGTGTTTCTGAATGTCTGAAACAATTATCAACGGAATGAACTTTAGAAGTGATGCTGACTATTTATACCCAATACTTCAAAAGTTACTTTTGTTTTATAACGAGATCTTGTAAAATAATAAAAAATCAATCAGGGTCGAATTTGTGTCTTGTTTCTGCAGATTCGGCCTTGACAATCGAATGCGTGAACCGGTCATGCGTGACGGAAATATTTTATAAATAAAAAAATATATTTAATCAATATTTTATAAGATTCATTTTCGTCAGGTTCAGTAGTTATGTAATATTAGTTTCTTATTATTCACTTCGGTATTATTCATGATATATTTTTTTGCAGACAGAGAAAACAAAGAAAATAATCTCATTGTGTCGGGTGGCCAACCTGAGAACAATAGAGAAGTGTCTAGCTCCAGCAGGCAACTATTCAGCTTGACCAATCAGGTTTTTTTTCACAACAAGGGGCCGTCCTCTGCTGGAAATACTGCGACCTGTGATGCCTATTGTGTTTCTATATCTGCACCTATTCTCCTATCCCTGTTCCCTGCACTAACTTATACAGGTTCTTGATAGGCTGGGAGCATAGTTCCTCCAGTTCTAGCCTAGCTTTCCCAAATAAAAAAGTATCGCTTGCGATCCAGAGCCTCGCAATGACATATTATGTGCTCCCCTGTTTCAGGATCTTTATCGCAGAGTCTGCAGCAAAGACTTCCTTGATACGGGTTGAGCTCGTTCAGGTAACACTTGACAACCATGTGTCCTGTCAAGAGGCCTGTTGTAATCCGCAATTTATTCCTGCTAAGCATTATCAGTTCTTTTGCGGTTTTAGAGCTAGGTCCATGGATAAAAGCCTTGCTGTGCCTGTGCCTTGTCTGTTTCTCCAGTGAACATTCTGCTTTTCCCCGATCCAGAGTTTTAGTGCACTACGGGCCATACATTTGGGTATTCCCAGTACTGGCTCTGGACCAATCAGGTTGGTTAGCGTGGTTATTTGAAGGGTGTTAATTCATTTGTGTTTGGGTCAAAAACTCTAACGTGATTGGTCTCTAACATGATTGACAAAGAACTTATAATCATAGAATAAACAACAAAAATAAAATTCTTTTATAGGTACTGAATATGTCGCATGATCAAAAAAATTCGTTTAGTTAATGACGATTATTGACATTTACCATAATATTTTACATATGAAATAACAACGATCTTCATTCCCAAGCCAACTTTGACGCCGTTCTTTGTTTAATCATATAATATTGTATTAAACTGTTTAATGATTCCTATTATTAACGTACTGGCAACACTGTCTCCGGCAGCCACTCACTCTGTCGAATGAAAGCAGAACTACGATACAGTATTCTTTATCTGCTGCGCTGTAAACGATCAGCGCGCAGCGGCGCAGACCTAAACTAAATCTCGGAATTCTCGGACAGGCTGACGGTAACGCCAGCTACATCTCGGACAGGTTTTGTACCACAAAATCGCCCATTAGGTTACGCATCTTCTTATTTCTTCAATCAACGATAGAACGGTTCCAGATACATAAATACTTAATTTTCAAAAAAAAATTGGAATTTTAAACTACACCATTTAAAAATCATTTTTGCTCAATATAAAAATAAATTTCAACTTTGGCAGCAAGCGCCATTAAAAAATAACGAAAAGTATAGGCTAACTAATTGACTTCTAGGGCTTGACCTCGCCAAAATTATCAACGGTTGTCATTTCCCAGCCGTTTTTGACGCCGTTTTTTTCCATTTTATGATATTATTAGAAAATTAGTATTTAAAAAATTAAAAATAAAAGAGATACGTAAACAAATAGTGCATTTTTATATTAGTTAGTAAATAAACTAAATTAATATGAACAAATTACGGTTACAAAATTACTTTGTACAGTACTTGCAAAAAAGATAGAAGTAAATTAGATAACTATAATAATTGTACTAAAAACTATTATTTTATGTACCTGACACGAAAGTCAAGGTTATATGCTTGAAAGATATTTCTCACTTACCTGTACATGAAGTTTGCCACTCACCAGATTTATAAAAATAAATATAGTATTTTAAACAATATAAATATGTTATTGAAATAATCGATCCTTAACATTTTTTAGTATAGTAGCTGATACAATATGATCGAAGAAAAAAATCGGCCTCAGTGGTGTCTATGAAATGAAGATCGCTGTCATTTTGTATGTAAAATTGTATGGGGAATGCTATCAATTGTTTCATTTCCAAGCCAACTGGATGCCGTTTTTTTATCGATCATACGGTATAATGATTGGCTATATCTAGACTATTATTTTATATTAATATGTCGATACTATTATAATTAATAAAATTAAACAAACAAATGTTATTAAATAAATTTGCAGAGGATAAACAAATTTCTATAATTAAAATTATTGGATATTAAATTATTTAACACGTTTAAAATGTGTTTATGTTTAAACAATATGTTGTAGAACATAATTTCCCAGTTATTAATGAAGTTTTTGAAAAATATAGTAGTATGTGTGTCCATGACAGTAACCTTCCTGAAATGAATGAAAATGTAAAATAACACTATGTGGTTACTGTAGTAACATTAAAATGATGCAATATTTACCTAGTTCATTTGAAACCAATGAACTCTCTTGAACTCAATTCATAATTATTGGGAAGTAGAATTGATTTAATTGTACTCATTTATTATTGATAGTCTTCAAAAATGCGTTTTTATAGGTATTCGTGCATACAGGGTGTCCCAAAATTTCGTGGACATAGTTTTGGAAACAAAATAAGTTCATTCGACACAATTTACTTCTATACAAAAGTACTTCGTTCGTCCGTTAAGGGGGTATGAAACTTTAAAAAACTAAAAACATTTTTTAAAGTATTTTAAAACCGTTATTCCGATTTGAATAAGATTTGGTGTAACTATGCTTTGCTTGGTTTTGCCAAGTGTTTAACATTTAACTTTCACAAAAATCAAGGGTAAAAAAGTAAAAAGTACGGGAAGGATGAAGTCCGTCTGTCTCTCTGTAACACGATAACTCAAAAACCGCTAACCGCAATTTTTTATTATAGGAGCTAAAGATGCCCGACGCACTGTTGCACGACCCTGTGCAGGATGAGTCTTAAATAAGTGCAAATATTTTCAGGGCTTGTAATTCTCGATAAAAGAATCATATTCTCTCATGTTTCAAATAAATCCAAAATAATCCGGTTATTTTACTTTGAAAATTTCCAAAAAGAAATGATTTTTTGCTAAAATTTTGAGGACCATTGGATTTTTTCTGGATTTTCTTTCTTGTAAATTTCAGCTACTACCTATGTTGCCATATTATCAGGAATTATGTTTTCTAACTAAAAACTAAAAAAATAGCCAAAAATAAAAAAAAATCGCGAAAAACTTCATAATCGTGTTTCTGGGGTCGAAATATACTATTTCTAAAAATATTTGCACTTATTTGAGACTCTGCATAAACCAAAACAAATATATGTACCTATTGAAAGAATCCCGAAATTATTGTGATCGAAAAGAAAATCATTATTTCATCAAAAATCACAAGATCGATCATATTTGTTGTACACTTTTTGGTACACAGTGTATAATATCTATTTCTGCTATCAAGAGTAGCATGCAGTTTAAAATTATAATTGGTATCTTAATTAAAAGACCACAAAACACCAAAAGCTACAAGAAACATATCAATAAAGAAATAACAGTTGTAGTTCCTGTATTTATTATTTTTGCAAATTTGAAATGATATAAATTTAAATTAAAATCCATTAAATTCCAAAATCTCGCTAAAACAATACAACAGCTACCCAATAACTGCGCAATTGTCGCAATCACGTGGCAAAATCTACACCAGAGACAATCATTTTTTCCTCGCGTCTATCTCTGTATATGTAAATGCCGTTCACCGTATATAAATACAATGCTCACCACCGGTCCACTTTTATTGTAAGCTCACAGCGTATCGCAAAGACACGGTACTCGTTCACGAAAGGAACCCGACCGTCGATCTAGGTGCCTGCTGTCAGTCAGCGAGCTTCAACTGTTCCAGCAGCGGCGGAAGAAGAAGCAGGAATCGCCGCGCGTCAAGATCAAGCGGTCCGTGAAAGTGAATCTTATTCATAATCGCAGGAGAAAGTTATTTCTTCGGCGGCAGGCTGAAGATTTTCGTTGATCGATTTCGTCGAATTAGGACTGAGTGAGTTCCAAGATGGACGCCGAACAGTTCAGGGAGTTCGGCAAGGCGGCCGTTGATTATATTGCTGATTATTTCGAGACTATCAGAGACAGGTGAGAGTAGAGACAATTTTCTTTGATTTTGTGTTAATTTGGTTCTTTTAATATTACTTAATTTTAAGTTTCAAAATGTAAATAAGTATTGTAGTATACAATTCTGAGAAATTTTTTATTAATCTGGTTTCCAATTTTTCATGGAGAAATAAATAGAAAAGAAAGAAAATATCTATAACGATTGTTATGAAAAAAAAAATATAAATTTGAGATATTCGATTTAATGAATTTTAAATTAAATATGGCTATACAGGGCGAGTCTTAAAAAAGTGCAAATATTTTTAGGGGTAGTATATTTCGACCCCTGAAACACGATTATGAGGTTTTTTCCCGATTTTTTTTTTAAATTTGGAATTTTTTGAAATTTATTTTAGTTTTTAGTTAAAAACAAAATTTATTGATAATATGACAATATAGGCAGTAGATTAAATTAACAAGAAAGAAAATCCAGAAAAGATTCAGTGGTTTTCAAAATTTTAGCAAAAAAGCATTTTTTAGGAATTCTGATTTTACATGACTGATAGTAAATTTAAGTATACAGGGACTCCCTGTATATTAATGTATATTTCAATTTTTCCTTAAATTTTCATCTATAATCGTAATACACATAGTGTACCTAAATTCAACAATTTCCGAATTACGAAGTTTTGATTTTGAAATATTAAACGAAAATTTTGTAATTTCCAGACTTAGATATAATCTCATTTTATACATCTATAAATGATAACTCGAAAACTAATGTAAAATATATCATTGTTAAATAAAACCAAACACATATCGAAATTAATTAAATCGAATTTTTTAAGTGATAAATTGAATGATTCAGTGTTGTGTCAGTGTTGTGAAAAACAAGTCAATAACTCGGAAACGGTTGGTTTGAGGTACATTGTGTGTACTCGAATTTTGCTTAGAATGGAAGGAAGAACCGAAATATGCAATAATATATTGGGGGTTCCATTTAAAAAAAAATTAAACTTTGATGTGCCACGACTTTATGACAAACCCTGTATACTTAAATTTATTACCCGCTAATAGATATCTAAAAACCCTATAACTTTTATATTTAACTTTTTGCGGTACCTCTTATATTTTACTTAATAATGGACCGTTCCCATACATATCAGCCACCCTGTATATACAGGGTGTCCCAGAAATAAGTGCAAGTATTTTAAGGGCTGGTAGATCTCGATAAAAGAAACGTATTTTCTCTTTATCGTTTTTCAAATAAGTCCAAAATAACGGAGTTATTTTACTTTGCAAATTTCCAAAAAAAAAATGATTTTTGCTAAAATATTGAGACCACTGGACCTTTTCTGGATTTTCTATCTTGTAAATTTAATCTAATACCTATGTTGTCATATTATCAAGAAATTATTAACTAAAAACTAAAAAAAATTCCAAAAAAATGTTTAAAAAATTTCGAATTTTCAAATTTTTTTTTCGCGAAAGAAACCTCATGGGCGTGTTTCTGGGGTTGAACTATACTACCAGTTAAAATACTTCACTTATTTCTGGGACACACTGTATTTGCCAATTTGATCCCGTTTTTTTATTTTGATAAAAAAACCCAAAATAACCAAATTGGCTTGGAAATGGCGATCCATAACATTTACTATATAAAATAACAACGATCTTCATTTCCAAGCCACCTTTGACGTCATTGTTGTTTTGGTTATATCGTATCAACAGTTGAATAGTTTCAATTGTTTATATTTTAGTAGTTCTGCAATATTTGACTATCAATAATTTCAATGTAAGCATGTCATAATTTCATTGTAAATAATAAACTAATAATAAAAATTAACCAATTATTTTTAGGTTAGTTATTTTTAGAAGTTTTATTCTGTTAGTTTTATATATTTTCTAACTTTTTCATGTTCAATTGTTCTATTTTATTCTGTTTTTAGTAGTTTACCTTTTTAATTTAGTAATTATTCTTTTCTACAATATCCCTTTTATTTGACGAATTTATTTTAATTAAAATCATTTAAAGAATACAAAATGACTTTGTGTGGTTTTTCGCTCGAAAAATTGTCAATCTTAATTATTATTGATTTGTTCCTTCGTATTCTTCAATAATATGAAAATGTATGCATAGAATGCATTAAAATGCACACTTTAATATTTATGTAGAAACACAAAAATTAATTTTTGTCATACGCTCCCAAAAACAGCTATTTTACGGACTCATTTCAGTCCGTAAAATGTTTCTTTTTCGGCCTAGGCCGTAAAGGTCATCATGGCAACCTTTATGGACTAAAATGTCTAAATTCGTTATTTGGTTGTTTTATTTTGTCATTCGAAATTTGTCACAAAATCACATAAAATTATACATATATTTATAATTAAATTATTAAATACTAACAATATCAAAAGCTAAGTTATTTGTTTAAAGTAAGTACCTAGGTACTTACTTTTTCGTGGAAATAATTTAGCAATACATCTTCATTTACAACGAATACGCCATTTTTGTCTTTCCATTCATTAAAAACATCATATTCTTTCTGGTAAATGGCACGAGACTTCACAGGAAGTAAATCCAACACGATTTCTTTGGCCTTATTAGCAATATGTTCGGGATTTTGGAACATTTTAAAATTGTTGATGAATTTGTGTGATTTTGTGACAAATTTCGAATGACATGTCAAAATGCGATGAAATAAACAAACTCGTTACTAAGATATGAATTTATAAGCCAACTTTTTCAAACATTATAATTTCAAATATGGAAAATTTGCAAATATGCGTTCTAAAAAACTGTAAAAAGCGTATGACAAAAAATAGTGTATGTAACACGTACCTAAATTATGTTTTTTAGGACTCATCTACTATTTCGGACTCGGCTAACGCCTCGTCCGCAAACAGTAATGATTCGTCCTAAAAAACATCATTTTAGGTACTAGTTACATAAATAGCTATTTTGTCATACGCTCCCAAAAACAGCTATTTTACGGACTCATTTCAGTCCGTAAAATGTTTCTTTTTCGGCCTAGGCCGTAAAGGTCGTCATGGCAACCTTTATGGACTAAAATGTCTAAATTCGTTATTTGGTTGTTTTATTTTGTCATTCGAAATTTGTCACAAAATCACATAAAATTATACATATATTTATAATTAAATTATTAAATACTAACAATATCAAAAGCTAAGTTATTTGTTTAAAGTAAGTACCTAGGTACCTATTTAAAAGAGGCTTTTAAATTAAAATATTCTTAAATTACAGTCACAAACATTCAAACCATCGTCAATTTGGTCGAAATATTCCATGCTGAGAGCAGTGTTAAGTGTTAAAGAAGATATTATATTGACAAATTTCCAAAACTTATTGCTTTTTTGAAGAGGAATTCGGTTGGTTACGAGCCTAAAAAGTCTAAGGTTTTGTCCATAAAAGAGATCGGTGATTTTTTGGCCACGGCTAGTGATGAAACTTATTTACTTACTAAGGTAAGTTTGCGATAATGATTTTTAAAATATATAGATGGTTTCTTATTCCATTGTATTTGATTTTTAAATTATTAAATACTAACAATATCAAAAGCTAAGTTATTTGGAAAAATAAAAATGAAATGAACAATTTTGTGCATTTTGAAAACTTGCATCTGCAATCGAAACGACTCCTCCATTGGCAGGTAAATTTACTTTCTGATGAGGTGGAGTAAATGCGAACGATGATGTACTTGGTAATACATCCGTGGAAGTGGTCGCGATTTTCTTTTCCCCCATTAGCAGTTTGCAAACTTTCTTCTTTTTCTCAATAGATTCTTCTATGTAACCTTCGGCCACTGTGGACGACCTAAATAATTATTGTTGTTTAGAACAAGATCGGAAAATATTAAAATTTTTACCTCCAACCTCCTAGGCGTTTCAGCGATGTAAAATCCACATCTGCATCTGCAGCAAGAGTAGCAGAACTACGTCGGAAACAATGACCTGTATATTCGTTTGGGTTCGACAACTTTAAAAATGCTGCTACAATCGATGGCATCTTCCCAAATGAATGAATGCCGACTCGTTGCACGGTGCATTTTCCTTTACGATAAGAGATGAAGACATAATCATGTGGTACATTTTTTGGCCTAAGACAAGCATATTTTCTATACAACTCAACTGGATTGACAACGTTCCCTTCGTTCACCACCGGAAACACTCTTTTGATATTAGTTTTTGTATCCGCAAGGGTAACTAAAAGGCAGCTGTTGTCTTTTTCTATGATGTCTTGCACTCGTAGAGAGTACAATTCTTCTCTTCTACATGCTCCACAAAGGCCAATGACAAGAGCTACCTAAAAATCAAATACAATGGAATAAGAAACCATCTATATATTTTAAAAATCATTATCGCAAACTTACCTTAGTAAGTAAATAAGTTTCATCACTAGCCGTGGCCAAAAATCACCGATCTCTTTTATGGACAAAACCTTAGACTTTTTAGGCTCGTAACCAACCGAATTCCTCTTCAAAAAAAGCAATAAGTTTTGGAAATTTGTCAATATAAATATCTTCTTTAACACTTAACACTGCTCTCAGCATGGAATATTTCGACCAAATTGACGATGGTTTGAATGTTTGTGACTGTAATTTAAGAATATTTTAATTTAAAAGCCTCTTTTAAATAGGTACCTAGGTACTTACTTTTCGTGGAAATAATTTAGCAATACATCTTCATTTACAACGAATACGCCATTTTGTCTTTCCATTCATTAAAAACATCATATTCTTTCTGGTAAATGGCACGAGACTTCACAGGAAGTAAATCCAACACGATTTCTTTGGCCTTATTAGCAATATGTTCGGGATTTTGGAACATTTTAAAATTGTTGATGAATTTGTGTGATTTTGTGACAAATTTCGAATGACATGTCAAAATGCGATGAAATAAACAAACTCGTTACTAAGATATGAATTTATAAGCCAACTTTTTTTCAAACATTATAATTTCAAATATGGAAAATTTGCAAATATGCGTTCTAAAAAACTGTAAAAAGCGTATGACAAAAAATAGTGTATGTAACACGTACCTAAATTATGTTTTTTAGGACTCATCTACTATTTCGGACTCGGCTAACGCCTCGTCCGCAAACAGTAATGATTCGTCCTAAAAAACATCATTTTAGGTACTAGTTACATAAATAGCTAATATGTAACATTTTTTTAAAAATCTTTTTGGACAAATAATATAACAAAATTTATATTTATCGCGTTCAACTGTTGATTACTTGTCACAAACTGCTATTGTGTACATACCAAAGGTCTTGAACTAATAAGAAATTATAAAAATGCTTTTGATTCAGATTATTTTGTAGTTGCAAAACATGAGATTATGATTAGTGCAGAATACTTAAAATAAATATGTCTATAATGAGACTTTAATTAGTATTTTTTATTATTTGGTGCTACAAAACTTATAAATACTTTTATACACCAGTTATTACTATTCAACAATTGAACAATTCAAACTTTACCTACTGAAATACTAAATTTGATCCAACTTCTAAAATACTTCATTCGACGGTTAAAAAAGTGCTGAATCCTGTTGTTATACCTGGCTATAATTTTAGTACCTTACAAATATGTTTTTTTTTTTAATTTCAGACCAGTCTTATCCAACGTCCAACCAGGCTACCTGGGAGACCTCCTGCCCAAAGATCCTCCACAAAACGGCGAATCATGGAGAGACGTTCTTCAGGACGTGGATCGCATTATAATGCCAGGAATAACCCACTGGCATAGTCCACATTTCCATGCGTATTATCCCACAGCACATTCTTTTCCTGCTGTTGTTGGAGAGTTGATGAGCGCTGGATTTGGCGTTGTTGGATTGAGCTGGGTAAGTTTAGTGTTTAGTGTATATGTTTTAATACTCATAATTGGATTTATTATACAGGGCGTGTCTTAAATAAGTGCAAATATTTTTAGGAGTAGTATATTTCAACCCCAGAAAACACGTCTATGAGGAAAAATTTTAACATTTGGAACTTTTAAAAAAAACATAATATCTTCATAATATGGCGACATATGTAATAGATTAAATTTACAAGAAAGAAAACCCAGGAAAAATATAGTTATTCTCAAAATTTAAGCAAAAAATAAAATTATTTTGAAATAGTCAAATACAGTATCTCGGTTATTTTGAACTTATTTGGAAACCGGTAAAGATAAAATATGTTTCTTTTATGAAGATCTATCAGCCCCGAGAATATTTGCAGCTATTTAAGGCTCACCCTGTATAAGACACTATGAAAATCTTACCAACTAGATGAAGATGTAACATTTAAACATTTGATTAGCTAAGGTTTTTGGTGATAGGCTTCTTTCTGTATTCCTAAAAATAGCTGTAAAAAAGCTATATTCTTAAGATTACTGGGAAATAAATTGAAAACTTTATAAGTCAGAAGTATATTGAAGAATTTTGTATTTTTCTAAAATGTAGTAACGTTGATTACAGTTGTTGGTTGGAACCTTTGGTGTTACACAGCAAAATAAAACCCTAAATCACCACAATACACCAAAACACTTTTATTTTTTACACTGGACGCGCGTTTCGCTAAGCATGTATCATGTATAGTAACGTATTGTATATCAAGTGTAGTAGCGTGTAGTAACTTTAGTTGGGACTGTAAGATTATTTAGTTAGGACACATAAGCCCGGTTTTGACTCTAGGTACTTTTATTTAGGGATATTTTGCTTGCAGTATAAGATTATAAGATGATTAAAAACCTAGTTTAAACTTAGAAAAGGGCTGGCTCAATTTTAATCGTCAAATACCTAATTTTTGAACTAAGTTCAACGAAAAGAAGTTATTAAAATTTTGAACTTGATTTAAATCTGAACTCACCCTGAACCGAGCATTAACAACCGGACCTTAAGAACTACAAACAAATAGCACAAAAATATTGGAGGATAAATTAGAATGATTTTATTGAGGTTCTAGATAAGTTTATAAAAAAAACTGTCAAATTTCGGTCAGAAAGACAAAATATTGTGTCGTAGTTAGTATCGTGTTAAAAAAACAATTAAGTTAAATCTTTTTTATACTGTCATATTCTTTTAATTGCCTATTGTATTTGTTATTATTAATTTTTATTATTTCTTTAATTATTTAATTAACGTTTTATTTTTCTTAATTCCAAACAATTTCGTAGAAAACGTATGAAACATAATATATAGATATTAATTACTGCAAATTATAAATAATTTAATGAGATTTGCGGTGAGAATATAGAATAAAAATGTATAAAACCAACACGATTAACCTTTTATTATGTCATTCTTAATTTGCATTTATATCAAAGATAATTTGATGTTTAATTAAAATCAGAATTATTTACCGCTAAAACACCTATGGTTTTATAATATTTATAATTTTAATTTAAATACCATAATTCAATCTCACTGATTTTATTTTTTTTTTGAAAACGTCTTATATACTGAGGGTGAGTCTTAAATAACTACAAATATTTTCCGGGCTGGTAGATCTCGATAAAAGAAACATATCTTCTCTTTACCGTTTTTCAAATAAATCCAAAATATCCGAGATATTTTACTTTGAAAATTTAAAAAAAAATGATTTTTTTCTTAAATTTTGAGAACCACTGGATCTTTTCTGGGTTTTCTTTCTTGTAAATTTAATCTACTAGCTATGTTGCCATATTATGAAGATATTATGTTTTTTAACTAAAAATTAAAAATATTACAAACATATTTTCAAAAAATTCCAAAATTTCAAAATATTTTTTCGCGACAAAAAACTCAGACGTATATTTGGTGTCGAAATATACTACCCTTAAAAAGATTTGCACTTATCTAAGACTCACCCTGTATTTAATGTACCTAATTTGAGCGTCAAACTTAAATAATAAATTCTGAAAATAATTTTCATTGTCAGCTGTCAATTTCAGATGTAAGAGTAAATTTTATCGAGTAAATTTCGAACTGAAATTTTATTTATAGGCTTACTATGACAACATTTTTTATTCAATCGTACGGAATATTTATTTCAAATTATACAGGGTGTCCCAGAAATAAGTGCAAGTATTTTAACTGGGAGTATAGTTCAACCCCAGAAACGGAATTCTCAAAAGACATTTTTTGAAAAGAATTTTAGATTTTTTTTTAGTTTTTAGTTAAAAAACATAATTTCTTGATAATATGGCAACATAAGTAGTAGATTAAATTTACAGGAAAGAAAACAGATAAAAGATTCAGTGGTTTCTCAAAATTTTATTTAAGTAAAATAACTCCGTTATTTTGGACTTATTTGAAAAACGACAAAGAGAAATTTTTTGTCGGCTTATCTCGATTTTTGGCGATTTTGATGGGTCATATTTTAACATAGCGAATTTGCGCATCTCAATATTGTACTTTTTTCATTTTATATTAGTTTAAAAATTTGCCCCATCTCAAATACTACAATTCTTCGTTATGACGAAGAGACGTATGTTGAGATAGGGCTCTTTGTTATATCAATTATTGTTATACCAATTGTTATACTACAAGAAAGATGGAATTTGAGATAGGTCCTTTTGTTTTAAGTTATGAAAATGCATGCGAGAGAAAATCACACCACAGGAAAATTTTGATCGAAAGCAAAACAACGAAACGAAAATTACCCTGATGGAAAATTTCCCGAAATCATAATTTCTCTAAGAACATTTTAGCGAACCAAAAACTTGCCCGAAAAATACAATAATTTTCATCTCATTATCATTGTCAGGCCATTGGCATTGTCATCCCTACCAATTTTTGGAAAATTTTATTTATTTTGCCTATCATCATCCAGCATAAACACGTAGAATGGAAGTCGAATTTGTTATCAATAAACAGGGAAAACAGAAACTGTTACTCCACAGTTATTTGTATAAAAAAAAACGAATGAAGAAACATGTTTTTTTTTAGTTTAGTTTGGTTTTTATTATATGGACCGTGAGTTTAAATGCCCTGTATTAATGCCCTCAATTAACTAAAAAATTACTAAAAATATATTAGTTAAAAAAATGCATTTTTGCATAAAAAACAATATTAGATATTAAAATAAGCTAGATAAGAGTATTTTAATTGATTATTATTGTCTTTGCTTCTGGCCTGAAAATTGTCTTTGTTTTCAGTTGATCTAATCCAACGCGAATAAAAGTATTTAAAAATATTTGATTCTAATTTTTTGGCGATTTTCAGATTTTATTGTATGTATGTATTGTATTTTCTTGTAAGTATTCTATAATGTGAATATTGTATATTTTTTTTCTTATTAAGAACACTTTACCGTCACTTTTAAATTTATTTTACATGGGCGTATGTATACTATTCGTTCGGGGAAATACATTTATTATTATTATAACAAAAAGGCCTATCTCTATTAAACAACAAAAAATAAATTATTTATTAGAATTTACGCTCAATTTATCTTCAGAACATTTCCTCAATGTCTCCGTTTAAGTGTTAATACAAAAACACTATTAAAAAATTAAAAACTTTACATCTATTGGCCAAATAAAGTAAGTGATTTTCTTTAAATTGCTCTCCTGAAAAGTAGTAAAAATCGAGATAAGCCTTTTCGTCATAAAGCCGACGATTTCACCTAATAATTGACCGTTTCCACCATAGACTTAAAATAAAATATAGACTGAGCATCTCATTCATAAATAGCTGGAACATGCGGTCAGACACTGTCTTGTTATTGTTGTGTTATTGTTTTAGGTTATAACGAGTGCGACACGAGCGATAGATAGGTTGTCTCTGTCGTAACGGTCGTTCCCTGACGACTCTGCCGAGAAACACAACACTGTCTTTCGTTTCTCAAGTACACCTGAACTCTCCGTATCATAGCCGGGTATTTTTTTTATTTTAATGAAGCTATAATAATTAAATTAAAAATATATCGTATTTAAACTTTTTTATATTTTATTGAGATTTAGGACAGGTTTTTTAAATAAAAGTTTAGAAAAAACAATTTAGAGTCCAAAAAGGATAAAAATAATAAAATACACGTTATAGAAGAAATTTTATAATCGAAATTAGGTAATTTTTGAAATTAATAATAAATTATTAATTTTAGTCAAACATTTACAACCCCTAATATTAATCAAAACAGGATCTATTCCACAGATATAATAGAATCGGCGACAGGGAGAGAAAAAAAAATATGATTGTTGTAATTTTTTTTCTGGTTAAGTGATGTCTTATTATGTAAATTAGAGAAAACATAAATCTGTTCCATTAAAGCAAGGAAGGTGATAGGAAGTGGATAAAATAAAAACTACATTTATTTAACTCGGTACTGTCTTTATTATACCGGGTGCGTCTCAAAAGTGGCTCATCCCCCATAATTTTTTTATATTTTCAAATAAAAAAACAAGATTTAGTATGTTAGTATATGAAATAAATTTGGATTGATTGACGCATCAATTGTTTTTGGTCACTTCCTGTTTCACCGGAAATGACTATAACTTTTAATTTTTAAACGGCACCCTCGGTATATTTCTACTTTATTCGATAGAAAATGACACTCTGAATATAATGACATATCATATGTCAACTTTTGACATTTTCGCATATGGTTTAATTGTAATTGTAACACGCGGTTCATAACGACAATTTGACTCGAAATACCAAGTGTGTGGTATCAATATATTCATAAAAAATGCTTTTTCCAAATATGCTAATGAGTCACCCTTGTTCCATTTGAAAAAATTGACATATGTATGATTAAAAATACGATTTGTACATCTTTTAACCGGCCTAGACAAGACACGAAACCTATTAGACGATCAAAACTATATTTCCAAGGCTCCTTGATTAAAACTTAGTGGATTGAAAAAAACTGGATTGAAATTTAAAATAGGATATGTTTTTAAGCGACAATGTCAAAAGTTGACATATGATAAGTCATTCTATTCAGAGTGTCATTTTTTATCGAATAAAGTAGCAATATACCGAGGGTGCCTTTAAAAATCAAAAGATGTAATCATTTCGGTGAAACAGGAAGAGACCAAAAACAATTGCATACGTCAATAAATCCTAATTTATGTCATATACCTACTAACATACAAATCTGTTTTTTATCTGAAAAATAAAAAAGTTATAGGGTTGAACCACTTTTGAGACGACCCGGTATATTAAAAAATATTGTTTCATAATGTAATATCATTTTAAAATTCTTGTACGTTATTTTAGATTCTGAAGATAATTTTAGAATAAACCGGAATATATTTTTAATAAAAACATTATTAATTTTAACAGGGTTATAATTATGATTTTGTTACAATGTAAGTAAGTAAATAATGTAATGTAAAAGAAAAAATTCAGATTTTACATTTTACTAAAATATTATCTAAATAAGCGCCTTTCTACAACAACGCCACTGACTGCCAATGGGTAAATTGAGAGTTGCCTACCGGTCCAAAGTCGTTTCAAGACTTAAATGGATTATTTAAGTCAAATTTCTTGCAAATTTGGCACTGGCGAACCATATTTTATAGTTCCTGAACAGAAAAAGTCAATAAAATAAACACTTAAGGACTACAAGCTAAGAGAATGCGTTAATACAGCCGGGGAGATAGCGGCAACAAAGCTTTACCGCACACGTGCGACACGTACTACAAGGTAATAAATGAATGAATAGGCTCCTCGCCTCTAATCGGTGTTGTCATATTGTAAAGAACTTATCCTTATTAAACAGTATCCGACTTATAATTTAGTAGTATAAGGACTATTTAATACATCTATGGAATATTAAAACCTACTTTATTAAACTGTAGTATTAATATCTCAATATATGTGTATAACAAGAAAAAAAATATTGATAATATTAAAGACGTGACAACCTAGGCTGGATGAGGAAGGCTCGGTCGACTGTATCCAGAAGTAAACATGTGTACAAAAAAGGTTGTTTGTCCGCGTTGAGATGTAAATAGTGTAGTCTATATTTTATTTTAAGTCTATGGTTTCCACACATAACAGCGACCCTGTATAATTTATTAGACCCTGTATAATTTATTAAATACAGGCGACTGTTAAAGTGAAGAATTATTTTATAAACAATTTCAATTAGCAAATAATCTGTTTAAACATGATGCAATAAAATATTAGGTTGTTTACCTTTACGGTAATTAAAAATTAACGCTTAAATTATGTGACAAAATATAATAATTATTGTAAAATAATGTAGGTTTAATTTTAAATCTACTACGTCACCACAAACAACAGTTCAATAAACAACAATGGCACTGACAATGATTTCGTTGGACTCCAGCTCTAGGTCATGGATAGCAAGCTGCGAGCTCCAATTTAATTGATTTTCATTGATTGTAAAACAGAAACTATTTACCCATTTATAAATATATTTTCAAATATTTACAACACAGGAAATTGATTGTTTATTTTGTAATATGCAAAATTACTCATTGTTTAGAGAAAATTATTATTAACCTACATAATATTATATTTTGATTTCTTCATATTTGCATACATCTGAATCTGTAAGTTTCTCATTAAGATGACTTAGCTTTTTTTCAATAGGACAAAAATTAATAAAAAAAAAGAAAAGAGTATTCCGACAATGATGCTTGAATTTCGGAGATAGTCGTTAACCTACAAATTTTGATTGCTTTTAATTTACATACACCTGAGGCTGTAGGTTCCTGATTACATATTGCATGATGATTATATAAAAAGCAGCCTTAAGAGTACCACTCTATTTTTAAATTTTTATTGATGTTCTTTGAATGATAGATAATATACGAGATGATAAACGAATTATAGATAATAAAGGACAAGAAAACCATACCACAAACCACAAACAATACTCTTATAACTGCTATACCTATAATATCAATAATATTTTGAAGAGAGTTAAAAACACAGGTTTAAAAATATTAAATAATATTTTGAAAAGGACGTCTAAACCAGAAGTAAAGAATTTGTGTGGTTTGTGGTCTAACACTTGTCAAAACATTGTTTTATATAAATTAATGGGAACTTGCTAAAAACAAGTTTAATTTAAAATCTGCCGAAATTTAATTATTAAAGAAAGTCAAAATTTGTTTCACAACTATAGCAAATGTTATAATAATATTATAAACCGACCCCGTGAAAATTTGCACGTTTACCAAAAATTGTTTTTGCAACTTTTGTTTGTGTAACATTTTGAGAGAAATTAAATTATTTTAATTGTGGTCAGGATTGTTAAATGTATATACAGGGTAGCGCCTCTAATACGACACGGAGGCTACAATGAGAACGGTAGCAACGGTAATTTGTATTTAAATGAAATTTTGGGAGCATAATATGTAGGTTAATTGAAAGCATTTTATAAAAATATAACGGTAGGCATATCAGAACCACCTATATTTTATCAAATAATAAAGAATTACTAACACTAAATCATAAAAATGAAAATCTTTTTCTAAGGGGTAGGCAACCTTAATAGTATTTGAAGAGACGTGAATTCCCCATTGAACATACTGCGTTTTCAATTTAAAATAACAGTAACTTGCTTTTAAAATTGGACAATATTCAATATTAATTTTGTCTCGCCCTGTATAACCTTTCGAGTCAAGTTTTAATTTGATTTAAAGAACAATGATTATTTTAACTCCATAAAGATAGAATCAGACATAGCTACTTTTGTTGCGCAGCACATTAAAAAACTGCGCAACTTGATCTGCTGCAAGTGTGAATATCTAGGCAACCTGCAACGTTGCGATCGCAGCTTGGTTGCGTAGGCTACCTTTTTGTTGCGCGCAGTTTAAGAAATAGCCGTGTGTGAACAATTGTTGAGGAAGGTTGCAAGTGCAGCAAAAGATTACTAATCAGCTGAAACTTTTACTGCCGACATCGGTGCAGTATTCTGTTGGTATGCCCGAAATGTATACACTTTTTTCAGTTAACTCCAGGATTTATATGTAGGTATTTAGTAAAGAATTAATCGACAAATTGCGATGTCGTCGAAGTCAAAACAAGCGATTTGGAACACAGAACAGGTAAAATGTTTAATAGAAGCGGTAAAAGCAAGGGAGTGTTTATGGAATATAAAAAGTCCATTCTATCACAACCAAACGAAAAGAGGAGCCGCTATTTCGGAAATTTCTTCTGAATTACATATGCCCGATGAAGACATAAAAAAGAAAATTCACACGTTGCGTGCACAATATTCGAAAGAAAGTTCAGAAGTGAAAAGTTCCAAATCCGGTTTGCTCTCCCAAAAGGTACACACACGATACCTTGAGCTGTGGGTGGTGTACTAATGAATGATGCCCAAGGCTGCAGCTACTAAAATATGTTGCAAAAGTAGCGCTTTGGTGTGAACATATGAAAAGCATGTAGTGTCGACCTGCAACTTTTTTATGCAGCTGTTGCATAAATACTGCGCGTTTTGGGCTACTTTCTGCTGATGTATGAACACTGTCTGCAACTTCTGTAGCGGCTGCAAAAAAATTGCGCAACAAAAGTAGCTGTGTCTGATACTACCTTAAGGTTATACCGGGAAAATTCCAACTTTTATTGAAGAGATATTATACATGTCAAAAACCTTACCTTTTAATTATTTGCTTCTGTAATGAAACTCATCCATACTTTTTTCTTAGAATCCGATATTAAATTAATATACAGGGTGAGTCTTAAATAAGAGCAAATATTTTTAGAGATAGTATATTTCGAGCTCTGAAACTATGAGGTTTTTCTCGTAAAAAAAAAATTGGAATTTTAGACTTAATTTTTAGTTAAAAACAATATCTTCATAATACGGCAACATAGGTACTAGATTAAATTTACAAGAAAGAAAAGATCGAGTGGTTCTCAAAATTTTCAAAAAATTATTTTTTTTTAATTTTGAAAGTAAAATATGGGTTATTTTGGACCTATTTGAAAAACGGTAAAGAAATATGTTTCTTCTATCGAAATCAATCAGTCCTAAAAATATATTTGTACTTATTTAAGACTCACCCTGTATAGAATGTTCCATTACAAAAGAAAAACATAATTTTGATGTGTAACTTTTTGGGAACACCCAGTAGAACATTAAATATTTTAAAAAAATGTTCTAAATTAACATACATACCTATGCTCATCAAATTTCATTTCAATTCAAACTGTTGTTCTTTTTGGAGCTTCCGCTTTTTATGAGCGACGCGACGCCACCCTGTACGATGTACTAGGTCACCATATATTTTGAACAAATTACTGTCTAGATAGAAAACAACTAACGATCCCATTACAGGAACAAAAAATCACAGAATATTTTTTTCAAAATGCAACTGGAGTCGTTCAATCTAATGGAAATTATATTTAAGTGGTTTTCTACTATCTGGCCAAAAAATGGCTATTTTAATTTATACATGATATTTATTTCTTCATTTTTTTCAGATTGCCAGTCCAGCTATGACCGAACTTGAAGTAGTCATGATGAACTGGTTAGGAAGAATGTTAGGACTTCCAGAAGAGTTTTTAAATTGCTCAGAAGGACCAGGAGGTGGTGTTATACAGGTAGATAAACCTCCTTTAAAAAAAATCTGAATAATTTTTAATTAAATTTTTATTTAAAAGGGTTCAGCCAGTGAAGCGACTTACGTTGGTTTGCTAACAGCGAAAGAAAAGAAAGTTAAAGACTTGATGGAAGAAGATAAAAACCTAACTGAAGCCGAAATCAAAGGAAAACTGATTGCTTATTCTTCAGATCAGTCAAACTCCTCAGTAGAAAAAGCAGGTTTATTAGGTAAGAATGATAAAATAATATAAATAATATAGTATATGCTATATTCTTTATATTATACTACCACTATACATGGTGGTTTTATGTCAATTTTTCGTAAATAATGTCTAGAGATTCGCCTTGCCAAAATTATTATCGATTGTCATTCACCTGGCGTTTTATGACGCCGTTTTTTTTTTCGAACATACGGTATATGATATGAACAGATTTTTCTGGTATATATTTAAATTTTTATCTATTTGAAGATCCCGAAACTACCCCAGTGCCGTTGAAATATGTTGGAAAAAGAATTATACCGGGTGCGTCTCAAAAGTGGCTCACCCCTATAACTTTTTTTATTTTTTTTCAGATAAAAAACGAGATTTGATATGTTAGTAATTGGCATAAATTTGTTTTCGGTCACTTTCCGTTCTTAAATGGTACCCTCGGTATTTTTTTACTTAATTCAATAGAAAATGACTCTGAATAGAATAAAAAATCGTATTTTAAATTTCAATCTAGAATGCCACAGTTGTGTTTGCCATATAGTGCCATATGTGTGTGCCATAATAGTGCCATAGTTGTGTTAAAAAAACACTATTCTTTTACCAAGGATACTTAGAAACATTTATTTCATCATCTAATGTTTTTAGTGTCTTGTCCTGGGCGGTTAAAAGATGCCCAAATCGTATTTTTAATCATATCTCGATTTTTTCAAATGGAACGAGGATGGCTCATTAGCATATTTGGAAAAAGAATATTTTTACGAATAATTTGGTAAACCACACACTTGGTATTTCGTGTCAAATTGTCGTTATGAACCGCATGTTACAATTCCAAATAAACCGTTTGTCAAACGAGAAAAGAAATGTCAAAAGGTGACATATGATATGTCATTCTATTCAGAGTGGCATTTCTTATCGAATAAAGTAGAAATATACCGAGGGTGCCATTTAAAAATCAAAAGTTGTCATCATTTCCGGTGAAACAGGAAGTAATCAAAAACAACTGAATACGTCAATGAATCCTAATTTATGTCATATACTAACATACCAAATCTCGTTTTTTATCTGAAAAAATAAAAAAGTTATGGGGTGAGGGGTGAGCCACTTTTGAGACGCACCTGGTATGTAGGAGTCTTCATTTCTTGCAAAAAGTCCGATTTTTCGCTGGAAAAGAATCCTACGAATTAAAAAAGTTATCTTTGGGAAACACTAACTATGTGTGGGTACCTATCTATTTCAAAAATGAAATCTTGTCTTCAAAAGTTTTAAATTTAACTGAAAAAAAATTATAACTAAACATAACAAAATATCCTATATCAGCTTCAAAAAGAAAAATTTTTTAGTTTTTTGAACTATTATTTATTATAAATTATAACTATTTATATTATCTGCTGGTAATCCAGCCCTGAAGACTGCTCCTTGTTTAAACTCTTTTGTATTTCATTCAACGCTAACAGTACTCTAAAAATAAAAACGCACTTAGCAACCAGATCATACATATACGTTCTTATAAATCTATGATTTAGCGATATAATTTACAATCACTTGCTGTTAGGCAAAACTGCATAAAAAACCTCATTAGTTAGTTATACCTACCATTTTTTCATATAAATATAAGAGAAAAATCCTAGCTTATTCAAGGTTGACAGTAATTATTGAATTTTTCCACAATTCTTTCAACTTTTAATAATCGTTTTGATATATAATTTTTTGCATTTATCATAGAACAAGATACATTTCTTAGAACTATCTAAAATAACGTAGCTAAATCAAAACCTCATTAACATACTGCCTAATTAGCAATATTCAGTGGATTTCTTTAATTAACTTATAGCTATTAGTTTTTGCTTTACTTGTATATAAATCATGCAGTTATGTGCATGTTACATTTTAAATTCTGTTATAATTAACCTTAGCTAATGACAGAGTACGTAAACTATGTTGTGAGAGTAACAAGGGGCAAGAGTTATTTATGTTATTGCGAACAAAGCATGTTGTGCTAATAAGGCAATAATTTATTTTCAGGATCCATGGTTATGAGACTGTTGCCAACGAACAAAGAGGGACAGTTAACAGGAGAAACTTTACAAGAAGCTATAAATAAAGATAAGGCAGCCGGATTAATACCATGCTATGTAGTAGCAAATTTAGGTAAGATATAAGTGATATATCAACAGGAGAGTATCTTAGACCGTATACTGCTTTGCATAAAAGTTAAAAAAATTACCGAATTTTTCGGCTTGGGCGGTTGTTATTATTGGGAATATTTAGATTGATCTCTTCCACATCTTATACATATATATTTTTAAGATTTTTATTAGCATTATTTTAATAGAAATATCAAATTTTCAAACGTCTTGCAAATGGCACGATTCAGGACACTATAGGCTTCCTATATCGAACCTACTTATTCTTCTTCTTCTTTAGGCCTCTTCTAGGTTTTTCCATTTACGCGATCTCTAGCCAATTTCATCCATTGTGTTCCTGCCAATGTTTTGACGCCATCGACCCATCTTTTTTTTGGTCGGTCCACACTTCTTTAAGTTCCTCTTGGTCTCCATAGTGTATGACATTTTGGGTACATCATCGGTCTGGATCCTGTTGTGCCCCATGTCCGATCCATTGCCATTTCAGTCTTGCCACTCTTTTAAGATTACAGTTGCGGGTTGGAATCTTTGGTGCTACAACAACAAAACAGAACACTAAATCACCACAATACACCAAAACACTTTTACTTTTACACTGGACGCGCGTTTCGCTAACCATGTTAGCATCATCAGCTGATTAAAATTAGTTTTTTAACTGTAATTCATAATAACCTCGATCATAACAAAACTCAAATTCGAAAAATCATATGTCATATACCGGGTGTGTCTCAAAAGTGGCTCAAACCTATAACTTCTTTATTTTTTCAGATAATATAACGAGATTTGGAATGTTAGTATAACAGCATATCACATAAATTAGGATTTGGGCGTATTCAATTATTTTTGGTCGCTTTCTGTTACACCGGAAATGACTACAACTTTTGATTTTTAAATGGCACCCTCGGTATTCTTTTACTTTATTCGATAGAAAAGGACACTCTGAATATAATGACATATCATATATCAATTTTCGACATTTTCTCATCTAGTTTATTTGAAAATTTAACATGCGGTTCTTAACGCCAATTTGACTCGAAATACCGAGTGTGTGGTACCAAATTATTCCTAAAAAAATGCTTTTTCCAAATGTGGTAATGAGCCACCCTCGTTCCATTTGAAAAATATGACATATGGTTAAAAATATGATTTGGGCATAGTTTAACCGAACAGAACAAGCCACGAAAAACATTAGACGATCAAATCTATTTTTTCAAGGCTCCTTGATAAAAATTAGTATTTTTAACACAGTCATGGCACTCTAGATTGAAATTTAAAATAAGATTTTTTAAAAGGAAAATGTTAAAAGTTGACATATAATATGCCATTCTATTCAGAGTGTCATTTTCTATCGAATAAAGTAAAAAAAATGCCGATGGTGCCATTTAAAAATCAAAATTTCCCGTGAAATGGGAAGTGACCAAAAAAACGACTGAATACGTCAATCAATCCAAATTTATGTCATATACTAACATACGAAATCTCGTTTTTTATCTGAAAAAATAAAAAAGTTATAGGGGGTGATCCACTTTGGTATGACGCACACGGTATGTCAGTTTTCGTCTTCGAAAATGCAATTTGATAACACGACGTTTGTTTATTTACAAGCTAGGATCTTAGAGATTTTGTTTTGTTACCATTTTTATTTTATTTTTTGAAAATAAGACAAAAATTCTGCGCTACAAACCATACAGAGTCCATGATGTAGAATGTTTAAGAGGGTTAGAGTTGATCACCGCGACCTTATAGATCTATTGTGTGTTCCCCTTTCTTGAGTTATAACGAGTTATAACTCATCAGACAGTCTCAGGGCTTTAACAAAAGCCAGTATCTGAGACGGCTCCACAGAGGCCAGCTCTCCATCCTCGACATCAGCCGTACCAAAGTTCATGGCACGAATGGTCGTCGTTTCGGCGCACTCAGTGATAAAGTGTTTCCCCATTTTTCCTACAGAATCTGCGCCTTGTTTCTCAGCTTGGGCCTACTGAGGTGTTCGTTGAGGAGACAGTGTCCTGTTAGAAACCCCGTGACAATCCAAAGATTGTTTTTACTTAAATCAAGGAAAATCTTTGATTTTTCTCGGTCGTAAGTTCTGAGGAATTTTTTCGAGTGTCTTAGACCGTTGGAGGACACCTATTCCAAGTTAACGGATGGAGTCTTCCAGATTCTTCAGTTCCGCTTTCAGTTGGTTCCCGTTTGGAAAACAGAACGGTTCTGGTCCAGTTAGTGGAGTGTTCGCTTCTTTCCTAGCTAGAGCATTTGCTTTTTCATTGCATTCTATCCCTTGGTGAGCAGACACCCAGAGTAGGAGGACTATTTTTTTACGTCCATGATCTTAATGAGTGAAATCTACAACAAAAAATAAAACATAACTTTTTACAAGTTAGTATTTTGGACAGTAGGGTACATTAGTGCCAGTCCGCATTCTATGGGTTGAGTTGCATTCTACAGGGTGTTCCTTAATGACATGCATGACATTTAAGGAGATGATGCTTGGACCTTTTCTAAGAAAAAAATTTTTGTATGAATATATGTATGTCCTAAACATCTTAAATTTTCAGATACAGGGTGGTAAAATTTTCTTTTTTTTTTAAAATATATCTGATGTTATATTTGATACGCGTCTTCCATGCATTAAAATATTGCAGAAATGATTCCACACAAGTCACCGCATCAGATTTTCAGCGATTTGACCCTGAAGTAAACTGACTTTAATTTTTTTAAGCAAAAATTATGCGTAGAAGAAATAGAAACGAACGGAGATTTCGAAAATAATTTTTATTTTAAGAGGAGTCAGTGCTTTAACCACTTTTTTCTCTAAAAATATTTAATGTAAAACCCGTATGGACGACACTGGTTGAAATAAATAAAATTCTTTCTACATGATGATAAAAGAACATAGTACATAATGCATAGCAGATGTGTATCAAGTTTCATAAAAATATCTATAATAAAAAAGAGTTACTAAAAAAATTAGACTAATTATTATGTTTTATTAGAATTAATTATACCATACCACCCTGTATCTCAGAAATTAAGATGTTTAGGATATACATTCATAATATGAAGATTTTCTGTTAGAATAGGTTCAAGAATCACCCCCTTAAATATTAGCATGTCATGAAGGAACATCCTGTATAATTATTTTTTCAGTCTTTAATCTATGTATAAAAATATAGTACTTGTCTTTTGTCTTTGAGTTTTTTGTTCAATGTTAATAATTAATTAATACACTTGGAGATCTACCTATAGTATATTAAAATAGTATTTTAACAAAGTAGTAATTAATTTAACTTATCTTTTCAGGTACGACACCAACCTGTGCCTTCGACAACTTGGAAGAACTCGGCCCAATATGCAAAAAAGAAAATGTATGGCTCCACGTCGACGCAGCATATGCCGGTACCGCCTTCGTATGCCCAGAATACAGGCATTTGATGAAAGGCGTTGAAATGTCCGACTCCTTCAACTTCAACCCCCACAAATGGATGTTGGTCAACTTCGATTGCTCAGCGATGTGGATCAGAGATGCCAAATATCTCGTCGAAGCTTTCAACGTGGAAAGGATTTACCTGAAAGACCAACACAAAGGGTTAGCACCCGAATACAGACACTGGCAGATCGCTTTGGGTAGACGATTTAGGGCGTTGAAGATCTGGTTTGTCTTGAGAATCTATGGTGTGGAAGGAATTCAGAAACATGTCAGAAACCAAATCGGTCTAGCCAAGTACCTGGAAGATCTTGTAAAGAAAGACAGTCGATTTGAATCTTGCAGTTGCAGCATGGGTTTGGTTACGTTCCGACTTAAAGGTGACGATTCCCTAAGCAAAAAACTTTTGCAGAAGATTTCAGATAGAAAGAATGTATTTTAATTGCGGGACATTTGAACGGAAAATTTGTCATAAGGTATGCGGTTTGCAGTAGACTAACTGAGAAAAGGGATGTAGATTTTTCGTGGAAAGAGATCACAGAAGCGGCAGAAGAAATAGTACCATCAAAGATCAGTTCCCAAGATATACCAGACAAAAAGAGTATTCACGCTTTAGATATTAAGACCTTAAATGGGAACATTGAGAAGTCAAAATAGGTTAATTTCTATGTCTAGTTTAAATAAGTATTTTATTGTTATTATTTGTTAAACTTACTAGCAGTAGTTAATTTTTGAATTTGAAAGACTTTTAGCGAATTCAACGTTATTTAAATAGATTTTGTACATATTATATATGAATCTACCTAAGATAATAAGAGTTTTAAGTTGATTACATTGAGTTTTATTTGTTTATTTCCTTTAAATGTAGTTTAAGTTTGTCTAAAAGAGAAGCGACAATTTCGACAGACGATATCTAAAAACTACAGAAAATGTAAACTACTTTAGAATTAAAATGACACACAACAACTGTCAATTTGGTGGAATATCATTGGAATATCCTTGAATCGTTGAAATAGATTGGGCTTTTAATTTTTGAATGCTAAATATCTCGTTGAAGCTTTCAACGTGGAAAGGATTTACCTGAAAGACCAACACAAAGGCTTAGCACCCGAATACAGACACTGGCAGATCGCTTTGGGTAGACGATTTAGGCGTTGAAGATCTGGTTTGTCTTGAGAATCTATGGTGTGGAAGGAATTCAGAAACATGTCAGAAACCAAATCGGTCTAGCCAAGTACCTGGAAGATCTTGTAAAGAAAGACAGTCGATTTGAATCTTGCAGTTGCAGCATGGGTTTGGTTACGTTCCGACTTAAAGGTGACGATTCCCTAAGCAAAAACTTTTGCAGAAGATTTCAGATAGAAAGAATGTATTTTTAATTGCGGGACATTTGAACGGAAAATTTGTTATAAGGTACGCGGTTTGCAGTAGACTAACTGAGAAAAGGGATGTAGATTTTTCGTGGAAAGAGATCACAGAAGCGGCAGAAGAAATAGTACCATCAAAGATCAGTTCCCAAGATATACCAGACAAAAAGAGTATTCACGCTTTAGATATTAAGACCTTAAACGGGAACATTGAGAAGTCAAAATAGGTTAATTTCTATGTCTAGTTTAAATAAGTATTTTATTGTTATTATTTGTTAAACTTACTAGCAGTAGTTAATTTTTGAATTTGAAAGACTTTTAGCGAATTCAATGTTATTTAAATAGATTTTGTACATATTATATATGAATCTACCTAAGATAATAAGAGTTTTAAGTTGATTACATTGAGTTTTATTTGTTTATTTCCCTTTTAAATGTAGTTTAAGTTTGTCTAAAAGAGAAGCGACAATTTCGACAGACGATATCTAAAAAAACTACAGAAAATGTAAACTACTTTAGAATTAAAATGACACACAACAACTGTCAATTTGGTGGAATATCATTGGAATATCCTTGAATCGTTGAAATAGATTGGGCTTTTAATTTTTGAATGCTAAATATCTCGTTGAAGCTTTCAACGTGGAAAGGATTTACCTGAAAGACCAACACAAAGGCTTAGCACCCGAATACAGACACTGGCAGATCGCTTTGGGTAGACGATTTAGGGCGTTGAAGATCTGGTTTGTCTTGAGAATCTATGGTGTGGAAGGAATTCAGAAACATGTCAGAAACCAAATCGGTCTAGCCAAGTACCTGGAAGATCTTGTAAAGAAAGACAGTCGATTTGAATCTTGCAGTTGCAGCATGGGTTTGGTTACGTTCCGACTTAAAGGTGACGATTCCCTAAGCAAAAAACTTTTGCAGAAGATTTCAGATAGAAAGAATGTATTTTTAATTGCGGGACATTTGAACGGAAAATTTGTTATAAGGTACGCGGTTTGCAGTAGACTAACTGAGAAAAGGGATGTAGATTTTTCGTGGAAAGAGATCACAGAAGCGGCAGAAGAAATAGTACCATCAAAGATCAGTTCCCAAGATATACCAGACAAAAAGAGTATTCACGCTTTAGATATTAAGACCTTAAACGGGAACATTGAGAAGTCAAAATAGGTTAATTTCTATGTCTAGTTTAAATAAGTATTTTATTGTTATTATTTGTTAAACTTACTAGCAGTAGTTAATTTTTGAATTTGAAAGACTTTTAGCGAATTCAATGTTATTTAAATAGATTTTGTACATATTATATATGAATCTACCTAAGATAATAAGAGTTTTAAGTTGATTACATTGAGTTTTATTTGTTTATTTCCTTTAAATGTAGTTTAAGTTTGTCTAAAAGAGAAGCGACAATTTCGACAGACGATATCTAAAAAACTACAGAAAATGTAAACTACTTTAGAATTAAAATGACACACAACAACTGTCAATTTGGTGGAATATCATTGGAATATCCTTGAATCGTTGAAATAGATTGGGCTTTTAATTTTTGAATGCTAAATATCTCGTTGAAGCTTTCAACGTGGAAAGGATTTACCTGAAAGACCAACACAAAGGCTTAGCACCCGAATACAGACACTGGCAGATCGCTTTGGGTAGACGATTTAGGGCGTTGAAGATCTGGTTTGTCTTGAGAATCTATGGTGTGGAAGGAATTCAGAAACATGTCAGAAACCAAATCGGTCTAGCCAAGTACCTGGAAGATCTTGTAAAGAAAGACAGTCGATTTGAATCTTGCAGTTGCAGCATGGGTTTGGTTACGTTCCGACTTAAAGGTGACGATTCCCTAAGCAAAAAACTTTTGCAGAAGATTTCAGATAGAAAGAATGTATTTTTAATTGCGGGACATTTGAACGGAAAATTTGTCATAAGGTATGCGGTTTGCAGTAGACTAACTGAGAAAAGGGATGTAGATTTTTCGTGGAAAGAGATCACAGAAGCGGCAGAAGAAATAGTACCATCAAAGATCAGTTCCCAAGATATACCAGACAAAAAGAGTATTCACGCTTTAGATATTAAGACCTTAAATGGGAACATTGAGAAGTCAAAATAGGTTAATTTCTATGTCTAGTTTAAATAAGTATTTTATTGTTATTATTTGTTAAACTTACTAGCAGTAGTTAATTTTGAATTTGAAAGACTTTTAGCGAATTCAACGTTATTTAAATAGATTTTGTACATATTATATATGAATCTACCTAAGATAATAAGAGTTTTAAGTTGATTACATTGAGTTTTATTTGTTTATTTCCTTTAAATGTAGTTTAAGTTTGTCTAAAAGAGAAGCGACAATTTCGACAGACGATATCTAAAAAACTACAGAAAATGTAAACTACTTTAGAATTAAAATGACACACAACAACTGTCAATTTGGTGGAATATCATTGGAATATCCTTGAATCGTTGAAATAGATTGGGCTTTTAATTTTTGAATGCTAAATATCTCGTTGAAGCTTTCAACGTGGAAAGGATTTACCTGAAAGACCAACACAAAGGCTTAGCACCCGAATACAGACACTGGCAGATCGCTTTGGGTAGACGATTTAGGGCGTTGAAGATCTGGTTTGTCTTGAGAATCTATGGTGTGGAAGGAATTCAGAAACATGTCAGAAACCAAATCGGTCTAGCCAAGTACCTGGAAGATCTTGTAAAGAAAGACAGTCGATTTGAATCTTGCAGTTGCAGCATGGGTTTGGTTACGTTCCGACTTAAAGGTGACGATTCCCTAAGCAAAAACTTTTGCAGAAGATTTCAGATAGAAAGAATGTATTTTTAATTGCGGGACATTTGAACGGAAAATTTGTTATAAGGTACGCGGTTTGCAGTAGACTAACTGAGAAAAGGGATGTAGATTTTTCGTGGAAAGAGATCACAGAAGCGGCAGAAGAAATAGTACCATCAAAGATCAGTTCCCAAGATATACCAGACAAAAAAGAGTATTCACGCTTTAGATATTAAGACCTTAAACGGGAACATTGAGAAGTCAAAATAGGTTAATTTCTATGTCTAGTTTAAATAAGTATTTTATTGTTATTATTTGTTAAACTTACTAGCAGTAGTTAATTTTTGAATTTGAAAGACTTTTAGCGAATTCAATGTTATTTAAATAGATTTTGTACATATTATATATGAATCTACCTAAGATAATAAGAGTTTTAAGTTGATTACATTGAGTTTTATTTGTTTATTTCCTTTAAATGTAGTTTAAGTTTGTCTAAAAGAGAAGCGACAATTTCGACAGACGATATCTAAAAAACTACAGAAAATGTAAACTACTTTAGAATTAAAATGACACACAACAACTGTCAATTTGGTGGAATATCATTGGAATATCCTTGAATCGTTGAAATAGATTGGGCTTTTAATTTTTTGAATGCTAAATATCTCGTTGAAGCTTTCAACGTGGAAAGGATTTACCTGAAAGACCAACACAAAGGCTTAGCACCCGAATACAGACACTGGCAGATCGCTTTGGGTAGACGATTTAGGGCGTTGAAGATCTGGTTTGTCTTGAGAATCTATGGTGTGGAAGGAATTCAGAAACATGTCAGAAACCAAATCGGTCTAGCCAAGTACCTGGAAGATCTTGTAAAGAAAGACAGTCGATTTGAATCTTGCAGTTGCAGCATGGGTTTGGTTACGTTCCGACTTAAAGGTGACGATTCCCTAAGCAAAAAACTTTTGCAGAAGATTTCAGATAGAAAGAATGTATTTTTAATTGCGGGACATTTGAACGGAAAATTTGTCATAAGGTATGCGGTTTGCAGTAGACTAACTGAGAAAAGGGATGTAGATTTTTCGTGGAAAGAGATCACAGAAGCGGCAGAAGAAATAGTACCATCAAAGATCAGTTCCCAAGATATACCAGACAAAAAGAGTATTCACGCTTTAGATATTAAGACCTTAAATGGGAACATTGAGAAGTCAAAATAGGTTAATTTCTATGTCTAGTTTAAATAAGTATTTTATTGTTATTATTTGTTAAACTTACTAGCAGTAGTTAATTTTTGAATTTGAAAGACTTTTAGCGAATTCAACGTTATTTAAATAGATTTTGTACATATTATATATGAATCTACCTAAGATAATAAGAGTTTTAAGTTGATTACATTGAGTTTTATTTGTTTATTTCCTTTAAATGTAGTTTAAGTTTGTCTAAAAGAGAAGCGACAATTTCGACAGACGATATCTAAAAAAACTACAGAAAATGTAAACTACTTTAGAATTAAAATGACACACAACAACTGTCAATTTGGTGGAATATCATTGGAATATCCTTGAATCGTTGAAATAGATTGGGCTTTTAATTTTTGAATGCTAAATATCTCGTTGAAGCTTTCAACGTGGAAAGGATTTACCTGAAAGACCAACACAAAGGCTTAGCACCCGAATACAGACACTGGCAGATCGCTTTGGGTAGACGATTAGGGCGTTGAAGATCTGGTTTGTCTTGAGAATCTATGGTGTGGAAGGAATTCAGAAACATGTCAGAAACCAAATCGGTCTAGCCAAGTACCTGGAAGATCTTGTAAAGAAAGACAGTCGATTTGAATCTTGCAGTTGCAGCATGGGTTTGGTTACGTTCCGACTTAAAGGTGACGATTCCCTAAGCAAAAACTTTTGCAGAAGATTTCAGATAGAAAGAATGTATTTTTAATTGCGGGACATTTGAACGGAAAATTTGTTATAAGGTACGCGGTTTGCAGTAGACTAACTGAGAAAAGGGATGTAGATTTTTCGTGGAAAGAGATCACAGAAGCGGCAGAAGAAATAGTACCATCAAAGATCAGTTCCCAAGATATACCAGACAAAAAGAGTATTCACGCTTTTAGATATTAAGACCTTAAACGGGAACATTGAGAAGTCAAAATAGGTTAATTTCTATGTCTAGTTTAAATAAGTATTTTATTGTTATTATTTGTTAAACTTACTAGCAGTAGTTAATTTTTGAATTTGAAAGACTTTTAGCGAATTCAATGTTATTTAAATAGATTTTGTACATATTATATATGAATCTACCTAAGATAATAAGAGTTTTAAGTTGATTACATTGAGTTTTATTTGTTTATTTCCTTTAAATGTAGTTTAAGTTTGTCTAAAAGAGAAGCGACAATTTCGACAGACGATATCTAAAAAACTACAGAAAATGTAAACTACTTTAGAATTAAAATGACACACAACAACTGTCAATTTGGTGGAATATCATTGGAATATCCTTGAATCGTTGAAATAGATTGGGCTTTTAATTTTTGAATGCTAAATATCTCGTTGAAGCTTTCAACGTGGAAAGGATTTACCTGAAAGACCAACACAAAGGCTTAGCACCCGAATACAGACACTGGCAGATCGCTTTGGGTAGACGATTTAGGCGTTGAAGATCTGGTTTGTCTTGAGAATCTATGGTGTGGAAGGAATTCAGAAACATGTCAGAAACCAAATCGGTCTAGCCAAGTACCTGGAAGATCTTGTAAAGAAAGACAGTCGATTTGAATCTTGCAGTTGCAGCATGGGTTTGGTTACGTTCCGACTTAAAGGTGACGATTCCCTAAGCAAAAAAAACTTTTGCAGAAGATTTCAGATAGAAAGAATGTATTTTTAATTGCGGGACATTTGAACGGAAAATTTGTTATAAGGTACGCGGTTTGCAGTAGACTAACTGAGAAAAGGGATGTAGATTTTTCGTGGAAAGAGATCACAGAAGCGGCAGAAGAAATAGTACCATCAAAGATCAGTTCCCAAGATATACCAGACAAAAAGAGTATTCACGCTTTAGATATTAAGACCTTAAACGGGAACATTGAGAAGTCAAAATAGGTTAATTTCTATGTCTAGTTTAAATAAGTATTTTATTGTTATTATTTGTTAAACTTACTAGCAGTAGTTAATTTTTGAATTTGAAAGACTTTTAGCGAATTCAATGTTATTTAAATAGATTTTGTACATATTATATATGAATCTACCTAAGATAATAAGAGTTTTAAGTTGATTACATTGAGTTTTATTTGTTTATTTCCTTTAAATGTAGTTTAAGTTTGTCTAAAAGAGAAGCGACAATTTCGACAGACGATATCTAAAAAACTACAGAAAATGTAAACTACTTTAGAATTAAAATGACACACAACAACTGTCAATTTGGTGGAATATCATTGGAATATCCTTGAATCGTTGAAATAGATTGGGCTTTTTAATTTTTGAATGCTAAATATCTCGTTGAAGCTTTCAACGTGGAAAGGATTTACCTGAAAGACCAACACAAAGGCTTAGCACCCGAATACAGACACTGGCAGATCGCTTTGGGTAGACGATTTAGGGCGTTGAAGATCTGGTTTGTCTTGAGAATCTATGGTGTGGAAGGAATTCAGAAACATGTCAGAAACCAAATCGGTCTAGCCAAGTACCTGGAAGATCTTGTAAAGAAAGACAGTCGATTTGAATCTTGCAGTTGCAGCATGGGTTTGGTTACGTTCCGACTTAAAGGCGACGATTCCCTAAGCAAAAAACTTTTGCAGAAGATTTCAGATAGAAAGAATGTATTTTTAATTGCCGGACATTTGAACGGAAAATTTGTCATAAGGTATGCGGTTTGCAGTAGACTAACTGAGAAAAGGGATGTAGATTTTTCGTGGAAAGAGATCACAGAAGCGGCAGAAGAAATAGTACCATCAAAGATCAGTTCCCAAGATATACCAGACAAAAAGAGTATTCACGCTTTAGATATTAAGACCTTAAATGGGAACATTGAGAAGTCAAAATAGGTTAATTTCTATGTCTAGTTTAAATAAGTATTTTATTGTTATTATTTGTTAAACTTACTAGCAGTAGTTAATTTTGAATTTGAAAGACTTTTAGCGAATTCAATGTTATTTAAATAGATTTTGTACATATTATATATGAATCTACCTAAGATAATAAGAGTTTTAAGTTGATTACATTGAGTTTTATTTGTTTATTTCCTTTAAATGTAGTTTAAGTTTGTCTAAAAGAGAAGCGACAATTTCGACAGACGATATCTAAAAAAACTACAGAAAATGTAAACTACTTTAGAATTAAAATGACACACAACAACTGTCAATTTGGTGGAATATCATTGGAATATCCTTGAATCGTTGAAATAGATTGGGCTTTTAATTTTTGAATGCTAAATATCTCGTTGAAGCTTTCAACGTGGAAAGATTATACTTAAAAGTTAAAAGACCAACACATAGGCTTAGCGCCCGAATAACACTCTGGCACATCGCTTTAGGTAGACGATTTAAAGCCTTTAAGATCTTACTCAGCTGTTTCAAACTATATTAGGGTTTCCTATACCTATCTAGCTCAGATTTTGAATAAAGAGCAATTTTTCAATAAAATGGCAACCAAGCGAGCTGATGTCATGGCAATTTTCTAATGACAGTTAGTAGTTATTTTCAAAATCGAAATTAGTTTATGGATTTTATTTAAATTTATAGCAGTTTATTTTTATTTAATTTACCTACGATAGTTTAATAAATAATATGTATTTAATATTCTATCAAGAAACACGAAGAAGTAGTTCTTTGATTTATTTTACGATGACTTGAAGATATATGAATTTTCTATAAAAGAGCCAATTACGGCAAATTCATTTTCTTCACTTCCAACGACAGGTTTCTGCCTAATAGGTTTTTTTGAAACCACACTACCAGCTCTGCAAAATAGGACAATTAGTTTTTCAGAGGAACGCTTATCAGGAATATTCCTATTTGAGTATCTTTGCATAATATAGTATCTTGCTCAAAGGCATAAGCCTTTGAGGCCAAAAAGCAATTTTGCTCACAAAATAAAATGACTCACAACCTAGAATTTTTTAGAATTTAGAATGAGTGGGAGGGGGGTTAATCACTTCGACCTTACAGATCCATTGTGTCCCCCTTTCTTGAATCATAACTCATCATACAGTCCCAAGGCTTTGACAAAAGCCAGTATCTGGGACGGTTTTATAGAGGGTAGTTCTCCATCTCCAATATCAGTCGTACCAAAATTCATGGCACGAATGGTTGTCGTCTCGGCGCACTCAGTGATGAGGTGTACTGGTGTTTTCCCATCTTCCCCACAGAATCTGCATTCGCCGTTTCTTCTTAGTTTCAATCTACTAAGGTGTTCATTGAGGAGACAGTGTCCTGTTAAAAACCACGTGACAATCCGAAGATTGTTCTTACTCAGACCCAGGAAGATCTGTGATTTTTCTTGATCATAAGCCCTCAGAAACATTTTCGAGTGTCTTAGACCATTGCAAGATTTCCATTCCAGGTTGCGGATGGAATCTTCCAAGTTCTTGAGTTCCGCCTTGAGTTGGTTACCACTTGGAAAGCAGAACGGTTCTGGTCCAGTTAGTGGAGTGTTCGCTCCTTTCCTAGCTAGATTATTTGCTTTTTCATTGCCTTCTATCCCTTGGTGAGCAGGCACCCAGTGTAGGAGGACTTTGTTTTCTTTGCCTAATTTATTCAGCTTCTATGCATTCTTTGACCAATTTCGAATTGATTGATACTGAGTTGATCGCCTTTAACGCTGCTTGACTATCAGATAAGATGGCTATTTCTTGTTTCCGATAGTTCCTATCTAAGATAAGTTGTACGCATCTCTCGATAGCGTAGATTTCTGCCTGTAGGATACGAGGGTAAGTGCCCATTGGGTCGGAGTAATTAGCTCTCGGCCCAAACACTCCGATCCCTGTTCCCGTATTGGTTTTGGAAGCATCAGTATACCAAGTTATGGTATGGTCTTTTAACTGCTGGGCAAGCGTTTCGCTCTTTCAATCCTTCTTATTGCTCAATACTACATTGACATGTTTGTCAAAGTTGTACGTTCTTGGCATATTGTCCACTGGGAGTTGCAGGAGTGTACTCACAACCTAACATATCCATTCGTTCCGATATTGCAGATACTTCAGATACTGATTTATTTTTGTCAGTTTAATAAGATTTATGAGATAGTAATCAAGTATTAACTATTAAGCTAAAATGTAAGCCATTTATTTTAATTCGTTTACTACACAACTAATTACTGTCAATATTTTTTTAATTATATTTACTTTTAAAGTCTTTAGCTAACTTATTTTTAATTGTTAACACGCGGTATTATTAAATAAATTGTATTATTAAAATTACTGAAATGCAAATATTCTTTGATATTTTCAATTATAATGTTTTTAGTTTTTTTGTTTATCATGCAATTTTTTTATAAGATACAAGTACAATTTTATTTCAAAGCGCCTATTTCTTATTCAGTACTATTCCATTGGGGAAAAATATCTAATGAAGCATTTATTATTATTTTTAAGAATATTGTGCTATTATTAATTATTTTAATTTCAGGCTTATATCACTTTGTTAATTGTTAATTGATTATAATTGGCCGTAATTCTTTTGATCTCTGGAACTCCAGTCTGTCAGATTCTTGCGCATTTTTTTTTGTGGTAGTATTTTTTGTATGTAATCTTATTTGCTATTTAAATGAAAAAATGCTTATTACCCACCGAATAATCGACGAATCTATACTAATATATAAAATCCTTAAGTGACTGACTCACTGATTAATCACGATCCGGCTCAAACCACTCAACGTAAGAAGTTCAATTTTGGCATACAGGTTGATTCTAGGGTGTAGAGGTTCGATAAGAAGGGATTTTTCGAAATTCCAGTTCCAAGGGGGTGAAACCACCCCTCAAATATTACAATATTTTTTTATTTAAAAAACGGTCAAGTTACCGAAAAAACGCTTAAACACGTATAATTTATTTTGTTTTTTTACATATTTTAAGTTTTTTTAAAAATGTTTACAGGGTGTTTTGCAAAATCTGATCATTGATTAATCACAGTACTGCTTAAAGCGCTTTACATAAAAAGCTGATTTTTGGAAAATGGATTGATTTTAGGGTGTAGAGGTTCGATAAGAAGGGATTTTTTGAAACTCGAATTCTAAGGGGGTGAAACCACCCCTCAAATATTAGAATATTTTTTATTTAAAAACCGGTGAGTTTTTCGGAAAAACTCTTAAACACATATATTTTATTTTGTTGTTTTACATATTTTAAGATTTTTTAAAAATTTATACAGGGTGTTTCATCAAATATGACCATTGGGTAATTACGATTCTGCTTAAACTGATTGACGTTTAAAGCTGATTTTTGGCAAACGGATTGACTGTGGGGAGTAGAGGTTCGATAAGGAGGGGTTTCTCGAATCTTAAATTCCAAGAGGGTGAAAACGCCCCTCAAATATTACAATATTTGTTGTTTAAAAAACGGTTAGTCTTTCGGGAAAACGCTTGGACAAGCATAATTTATTTGTCTTTTTACATATTTTGAAATTTTTTAAAAAATCACACAGGGTGTTCCAAAAAGTTGGGTAATTGATTAACCACGATTCTGCTTAAACTGCTTGACGTAAAAAGCTTATTTTTGGCAAACGGATTTTTCGAAAGTCAAATTCCAACGAAATGAAACTACCCCGCAAATATTACCAAATTATATAATAATATCGCCATATTGTTTTTTCTCATGCTTTCTAAATGTGAGAAAATTTTATCCAGTTTGTATGTTAATGGAAATTCTTGCTTTGCTTTATCATCACCATTACAAATGATTAATTCATTCGTTGTCGCTGATATTTTAATAACCTTATCAGTAAAGAAAACTAAATCAATATATGTATTAGGCCAGTTTTGCCAAATGTAGAGCTAGGTTACCTAAGTAGAGAATTTCCATAAACGGCACCACAAAAAAGGGAATCATAGAAACACATAATGGAAGATATAAACACATATATCGTTCCTGGATTGCCGCAGTGGCATTCTCCATATTTCCATGATCTCCAGATTCTACTTAAACAGCTTGACGTAAAAAGCTTATTTTTGGCAAACGGATTTTTCGAAAGTCAAATTCCAACGAGATGAAACTACCCCTCAAGTATTACCAAATTATATAATAATATCGCCATATTCTTTTTTCTCATGCTGACATAAATGTGAGAAAATTTTATCCAGTTTGTATGTTAATGGAAATTCTTGCTTTGCTTTATCATCACCATTACAAATGATTAATTCGACGCGAACGAAGTCGCGGGTACACGCTAGTTTGTTTATAAAGAGTTTGGTACTCTTAATGTCGTCTCGCGAGTACCCTACTTCGGATGTGGCGGTACGTTACGCGCTCTTTTTCGCTACGATAAAATTATGACATCGCGTCTATTACGTGTTTCGGTGATTTAACAGCTGCGGACGAGGGAGAAAGTGGATTCGCCGCGATTACTTCCTTCATTAAAAGAAGAATTGACCGCATTTCTTCGCTGGCCATTCGACGTCGCGCGATGGACGTCGCACAGTTTAAAGAGTTCGCCGACGCGTCCCTGGACTTCATCGCGGATTACTGTGAGAATATTCGACAATTGTGAGTAGATTTCAGTGATTTATTTATCAATTGAATGCATTCATTACCTATTTTTTCTTAATTTTTCTGGTGGAGAAAAAGTGAAAATTAAGGCCTGTAAAACGCTCTACTTTTTGTTATTTCGGTACAGTTGTTTCATTAGTATTTTTTCCTTTTTTTCTGTATTTGATTCATCAATAAAAAAACTTATAAATAATGTAAAAAGAAAAATACCAAGTGACCCAGTGTTTCTAGAAAGCTTCAAAGTTTTCTTTTATCGCATTTATAGAGCAATCTTTATTACAAAATATGCGTACAGTGCTAGGGTACCATGATGACACCAATACCGGGTGCGTCTCAAAAGTGGCTCACCCCTATAACTTTTTTATTTTTTCAGATAAAAAAACGAGATTTGGTATGTTAATATACGACATAAATTGGGATTGATTGACGTGTTCACTTGTTTTTGGTCACTTCCTGTTTCACTGGAAATGACTACAACTTTTGATTTTTAAATGGCTCCCTCGGTATTTTTTTACTTTATTCGATAGAAAATGATATTCTGAACAGAATGACATATCATATGTCAACTTTTGACATTCTCGCTTAATATAAAATAGTATTTTAAATTTCAATCTAGAGTGCCGTGGTTATGTTAAAAACACTAATCCTTAATCAAGGAGCTTTGGAAAAATAGATTTGATCGTCTAATGTTTTTGATGTCTTGTCTTGGCCGGTTGAAAGATGCCCAAATCGTATTTTTAATCATATCTCAATTTTTTCAAATGGAACGAGGGTGGCTCATTAGCATATTTGGCAAAAGCATTTTTTTACGAATAATTTGATACCACACACTTGGTATTTCGAGTCAAATTATAACAATATAATTTCAAATAAACCATATGCAAAAATGTCAAAAGTTGACATATGACATTTCATTCTATTCAGAGTGTTATTTTCTATCGAATAAAGCAAAAAAATACTGAGGGTGCCATTTAAAAATCAAAAGTTTTAGGCATTTCCGGTGAAACAGGAAGTGACCGAAAACAATTGAATACGTCAATCAATACTAATTTATGTCATACACTAACACACCCAATCTCGTTTTTTTAACTGAAAAAATAAAAAAGTTATACGGGTGAGCCACTTTTGAGATGCACCCGGTATATTAATCTTTTAATCTGTGATTTTTTCAAGATATTTTATGATTCCTTCTGTAGGATAAAATATAAACTATGGCGTGTATAATTTACTAAATTCTTGTAAAAAGATTTTTTCAATACTGGTCTGTCGATGTGTGTTTCCAACTTCTTAAAAGAAAATTTAATATATCGTAATTTTAATTTTTGCAAATTCGACATTAATTTTTAAATTTAAAGATTACTAATATTATTTTAATATTTCGTATTTTTCCCTAAAATCTTAAGGTCCTTGAAAAATATTCCGTTTTTAAATATTCAGTGATTTATAATAAACTAGGCTTTGATCTCCGAAATTATTAAAAAATGCCCAGTAGATATAAGCCAGTCAGTATACTTAATTTAAATTAAAATATAAAGCGATTCACAAAGAATATTAATAATATAAATCTGCGTTATGGATTTATTATTATTGTCATTGATCTATTCAAGTAAATGGAAGATCAAAAAGTTGTGATTAACATTGAACTTGATAACAATTGACAATTATTGAAATCCCAAAAAAAAAGCAAAATCTAACATAATTTCATTTAATCTAACATTTCATTATTCTTGTATATAAAATATTTGGATATTTATTTTCTTATTTTGATAAGGTAAAAAAATAATATGCTTACAAATGATTTGACAAAACATATTGAAACTACTCATATCACTAATTACCGGTAAAAATCAAAGATAAATTTCTGTTATTTTTTAGGCCAGTTTTACCAAATGTGGAGCCAGGTTACCTAAGTAGAGAATTTCCACAAACGGCACCACAGAAAGGAGAATCATGGAAACACATAATGGAAGATATAAACACATCTATCGTTCCTGGATTGACGCAGTGGCATTCTCCATATTTCCATGCGTTCTTTCCGACAGGCCAGTCATATCCTGCTATCATTGGAGAATTGTTCATGGCAGGAATTGGAGCAGTAGCATCAAACTGGGTAAGTATAAATTTTCTGACAGAAGGAATAACGTTTTTAGTAAAAAAATAGTAATTTAAATAAATTCAACTATTTCAATATTCATCATCTGCAATTCATACCAAACAAACTTTTAATCACGTGATTAAGCTTGATCGGCACAGCGTTGCCCACTTTTATAAATTTTTTTTATAATCAAAATATTTTATAAAACAAAAATAAATTATTTATAAGCATGATATGAAATATATATAATTTAACTTATGGATAACTCTCTGGATATTAAATTAATGAAAAATTTGTTACCACCATTATAACGTGATATCTATTTTGTAAATTTCTTTTTTATACAATTATTTTAGGAATCCAGTCCTGCGGTAGTTGAATTAGAAGTTCGAGTTATGGATTGGTTAGCAAAAATTTTGGGACTTCCAGAAGAATTCCTTAATTCTTCAGATGGTCCTGGAGGAGGTGTAATTCAGGTAAATAAATTATTCAGAAGTATTAGAATTATTAGTAGTATTAGATTTCTCGAGATAATATGCGAAAACTGTTTTAGCTAACTGATAACTAATAATTAATATTTAATTTTTAAAGAGAAAAAACGCAAAAATAATTTGGATAAGGCGGGTTTTGTTGCAGTATGATGCATATTGCTGGTTTTGCTAAAGCAAGATATTTGCAATTTGATTTATTAGATATGGTATTTTATTAAAAATAGATAAGGATTTGAAATGGATAATCGTCAGTAGTAATATTATACTTGTGTTAAAAACCTATGAAAAATGCGGGATTTGCTACAATAATGACAATAAAAAGCAAATATATGTAGATAAGGTAAATATTGCTGCAGTAACATAATTTGTAGTGAATTATAGGAATAAGCGACTTTTGCTGCAGTTCGATACTATATTTTTATGTAGATTTCAGGGTCCACTATGAATATTATGTCATTAGGACATTTTTTTAAATGTCTCAAATAATATCGATGTTTAATAATTTTTTATACATTATTAAAAGTGAACATTGTTAAAATAATAATGTTAAAAATATATAGGTTGTGATATTTTCATGACCCTGTATAATAATTCTTATAAAGATTTTACAATATATTTTTATGAGAAATACAAAATGGAGATAAAATGTAAATTAAGAAGTCTAGAGTATATATTTTGAGTTAGTTAAAGTAACTTTGAATGAATATGAATACTCCTAATTCTACGAAGTAACTCGGCTGTTGGCGAGAACCGGTCAGCGAACCATTACCTACATCACGTTCATTAGAATTATTTTTAAAATATATTTGATGCAATTTAATAATAATAACTGGAAATAACAATAGGGTCGACGTAACAACCAGTAATTGAAGGCTAAACTCAATCGGGGTCATCAGCTGTTTGTAAAATTATGTTTTATTATATTTAATATGGTAATATTAAATAATAATAAATTTTAATTTATGTAATTTAGAATATTTTTCCACCAAACCATGCGTAGTGTTTACTCATGTGTTTACATGAGTTTAATAAATACTAACTAGACGAATTATTCTTCAGTCAATTTATTAGTAATCTTGTATGTACAGGGTGGGCCAAATTGGACACTTTTAAAGAGAAACACCTTTTGCTATAGGAGATAGACGAAAACCAATATCAGTATCCGGAGATCATTTTTTATCAAAAACGTGATGTTAAAAACCGGACATCGATATCTGTTACCGTTCGGGAGTTACGGGGTGTTTCTGAAAAATGTCCATTTTTAACAATCACTGTAACTTTTTTGCTATGAAAAATTTTGTATTTTTATGAAAATATCTCCAAAGCACCTTTTTACCTAGAATTTAATGGTTTCAGTATAATTTTTTTTAAATTAATAATTCAAAGAGTTATAAACGGAAAAAAAATTATTTGGAAAACCCTGTATATTTTTTATAATTAACTGAAAAGAACTTAAAATGGCCATTCTAAAAATATATAGTCACCTTCAAAATACAGAATTTTTAAAATTTGCCACTTTTAACTAGTAGGCTTTGGACCCCTTATTTTTGGAAAGGTAATTTTAAATTCTTTTGGATGAAATAAAAATATACAGGGCGTCCAACTGAAAAAATTAAATTTTCTGTTCATAACTCTTAAATTATTAAATTTAAAAAATTATACTTAAACCATAAAATTCTACGTAAAAAGGTGCTTTGGAAATGTTTTCATAAAAATTAAAAAAATTCCAGAGCAAAAAAGTTACAGCGGTTTGTTAAAAAAGCACATTTTTGAGAAACACCCTGTAACTCCGGAACGGTAACAAATATCGATGTACGGTTTAACCATCATGTTTTTGATAAAAATTGAGCTCCAGACACCGATATTAGCTATCTCCTATCGAAAAGGGTGTTTCCCTTTAGTAGTGTCCAATTTGGCTCATCCTATACATCTTTCTACTAATCTATTGTGATTTTGACGATATACAAATGATTCTCCCATCTATGTATTGAAAATACTTTTCTATATCACATATCATGTTTATTTTATTTTTTTCGCTGGATGACTTAATAAAACAACATGATCGAAAAAAAACGGCGTCAAAGACTACTGGGAAGTGGCAAGCGTTGATAATTTTGGCAAGATCAATCTCTAGACGTCATTTACTATAAATTGTCAAAAATTAGCACTACTTATAGAAAGATTAAAAAGGATAGAATATTTCCAAACCCACAAATCTATTTCAAAAAAATATTTTTTTGTCTTGAGAAACTACATCATTTAAAAATAATTTTCTTCTTCTAACTGTGCCTATCATCTCCTTTTCCTACTTTGGTAGTATCTTAAATTGTAAAATATATATTCAATCTTTTACAAATAAATACTATTCGTTTAAGTAAAATTCTAATTTTGGATTTGGAATGTCTTTATTACATTTTGTAATAAGGTGCCGAACAGGTGAATTTCTGATCATCTTCATACTGAAGCTGGTAATAAATGTCAGAGACTCACCTGTTCGAAACTTAGTTACAAAATTAGACACTGCAAGTCCAATATCAAAGTTTTACTCAAGAAAAATCTAACAAATACTTATTTGTTATTTTCCAGACCGCTGCTAGTGAATCAACCTTGGTGGGTCTACTCGTCGGAAAACACAGAAAACTTCAAGAAGTAAAATCCAGCAATCCCAACCTACAAGACTGTGGCATTTTAGGAAAACTAGTTGCCTACACTTCCAAAGAGTCTAACTCTTCAGTAGAAAAATCCGGAATTATAGCTTCCGTTAAGATGAAACTCTTACCAACTGATGCTGATGGCAGTCTTCGCGGTAGCGTTTTGGAAGAAGCTATAAGAAAAGATAAAGAAGATGGTTTAATACCTTGTTGCGTGGTGGCTTCCTTAGGAACTACAGGAACTTGCGCTTTTGATAACATCGAAGAGCTAGGAAAGATCTGTCAAAGAGAGAACATGTGGCTTCATATTGATGCAGCTTATGCAGGCACAGCTTTATCTTGCCCAGAATACAGATACCTTCTCAATGGAATAGAATACGTAGATTCCTTCAATTTTAACGCCCACAAATGGTTTTTAGTAAACGGTGATTGTTCAGCTTTATGGTTTAGGAACACCAAACAAGTAGAAGATGCCTTTAAATTAAAGAATATCGTAGACCTACCTCAATTCCTGCCCGAATTAGAACACTGGCAAATACCAGACCATCGTAGATTTAGGGCTTTAAAACTCTGGTTTGTTATCAGAATCTATGGTGTACAGGGTATTCAGAAACACGTGCGACATCACATTAGTTTAGCGAAACATTTTCGATCTTTAGTGGAGTCAGATTTGCGTTTTGAAGTGATTACGTCGAATTTAGGAGTGATATGTTTCAAACTACGTCAGAGTGAAGCTGTGACTCAAAGAATATTGGAGAATATCGCTAAAAGGAGAAAAATTTATATTATGCCGTATTATTATAAGAAACAACTGCTGTTCAGGTTCGTGATATGTAGCCGGTTTATCACTGTGGAAGATGTTGAATGCTCCTGGAGGGAGATTTCATCTCAAACATCTGAAGTTTTAAAAACTTTAGAGGAAGCGTGACAAAGGTCTCAGAGGCAAGGGCCAGTTGTTGAAATGTTCCTTATTGTTACTGTAAATATTGTTGATGAAATATTATACACTTTATTAAAAAAAAATGTTTTGTTTTATTATATAGTTTATAAAATGTTTTTATTTTTATTTTTTGAGCTGGAAATGTTCATATCAGGTTTTAACTGGTATTTTCAAAAATAATATACGGAGTCAAATATTACTGTTATTGATATAAACCATATTTTTGAAATATATATGCCACCCTATAATTAATTTTCCAAAGTTTTCAGCAAGAGTGTCTAAAAATTTATATTAAATAATTATTAGCTTTAAACGGCAATAACCTACAAGACTGTGGCATTTTAGGTATTTTAAATCAAAACGTAAATATTTCAAACGTCGACAAGATTAAAAATGCGGTAAACCTTAATCAAATTTTTCTTTATTTTAACCGTAGAAGCTAAAAATGGAATAATATACAGAGTGTTCCATTTAAAAATACAAATTTAATATTTTATATTTGTTTGGGACACTCTGCATCTTTTAAAAATATTTTGAAATTGAAGCTATAATAGTCCTTCAACGAACCCAAACTTACAATTTGTAAAAATCTGATCGTTTAGCGACAATGCTCCGTGTTGTATGTTATGAATAACCCTGTATACATTAACAACACAGGTAATATAATGAGTAAAATAAAGAAAGTATTACCTTACATATTGCTTTAAGCTCTTTTGGCATTTTTGTGCATGTCAAATGATCAACCTTTTAACGTCACTGTCGTCAAAAAGCACAAACTCAAAATTTTAGTATAAAAATGATAATACCTCTATTTTCATCGATCAGACCAATGTTAGTGAAACAGTCGAGATGGTAATTTGTATCAAAAGTAGGTACTACGTAGAGGTATACATTAACATTAATAATTTCTAGCTTTACAAAAACGTTCGAGAAATTATTAAGAACGTTTGCCACAGCAGGTGACGGCAAACCAACTGGAAATTTCCAACAATGCACCATCACAGAGAATATGGTGGATCCTTGTAAGCCTGAGCCACGGGTTGTGATCATAGGAGCTGGAATAGCTGGATTGAGCGTAGCTCAAAGATTAGCGCAATGCGGTTTGAGCAAATTTGTGGTTTTGGAAGCAACTGATAGGTATTTTAAATCAATAGTAATTAATTATACACTTAGCTACTTAGAACTTAAAGAAGTTAATGACTTTACTAAATGGCTAATTCTGTGACGACAGTCACTAATATAGAGTTTCTTCTTCTTCTTCTTCTTCTTTTAGAAGGCGTATCGCCTGTTTAGTTCCGGTTTCCTCCTCGTCTAAGCAACTCTTGCGAGGTTGACTGCCAACTGTCTTGCCAACGTTTAGGTGGTCGTCCCGTAGGTCTTCTGCCATGGGGTACGTTGTTGCGAATTATTATGGCCATTCTGTCGGGGCCCATTCTATTGACATGCTGGTTCCATTCTCTTCTTCTCTGCCTTATCCATCTGACAACGTCGTTTGTTTGGCACTTTTCTCTTATCTCTACATTTCTCTGTCTGTCCCTCAATGTGTATCCAGTTATCATTCTTAAGGTCTTCATTTCAGTAGTTCGTAGGATTCTCTTTGTTACTGATGTTTCAGCTCTGGTTTCCGCACCATATGTCATCACTGGTCGTATGCAGGTTTTGTATATTCTTGACTTACATTCTGTACTCAAATGTTTGTTTTTCCATATGGGATATTTAAGATGTCCTGATATTGCGGCAGCTTTATTGGCTTGTTTCCTTACTTCCAGGAATCCTGAGCTTGTAATTTTGCATCTGAGGTATTCGAATGACATTATCTGATCAATAGTTTTGTTTTTTATTACCAATTTGCACCGTAGAGGCTCCTTTGTAATGGTCATGCATTTGGTCTTATTTGTAGAAATTTGCATGTTAATTTTTTTTGCCTGTCTGTTAAAAGTTTGTAGCATTCTTTGGAGGTCGTCCTCTGACTCTGCAATAAGTACTGCGTCATCGGCATAGCATAATATGTTTACTTTATGCATTCCCATTCGATATCCTAATCCAGTATCTAATAGAGTTTATTTAAATAAAGTGAAGACAAGCTTTGATACAAAATTTAGAGTAATATGATTGAACATTAGATTTAAAACTTTTAACCTTTTTTTGAATTTGAAAGTGTCGACGAAATATTAATACCTACAGGTATTCTTTCCCATGGATAATTGATTATAAAATAAAATGATTAAACCATGTCGAAAGATTGAAAAAAATAGTATCACTGTTAGGTTATGACAATATGGTCTAATGACAAAATAAACTTTCGTTATTTTCAACAAAACATTTCAAATTCAATTACTTAAAGTAAATCAAATTAAATCATGGAACTGAACACATAATTTTTTTTAAACATAGCCATTCGTTTTGGAACTAGTTTATTTTAAATTGCTCGAAACTAAAAAGAAAGTACAGATTATACCGGGTGCGTCTTAAAAGTGGCTCACTTTTAAAGTTTTTGTATTTTTTCAGATAAAAAAACGAGATTTGTATGTTAGTATATGATATAAAATAGGATTGATTGACGCATTCAATTGTTTTAGGGCACTTCCTGTTTCACCGGAAATGACTACAACTTTTGATTTTTAAATGGCACTCTTATTTTTTTACTTTATTCGATAGAAAATTACATTCTGAATAGAATGACATATCAACAGGTTCATAAACACAGTTTGACTCGAAATACTAAGTGTGTGGTACCAAATTATTCGTAAAAAATGTTTTTTTCCAAATATGCTAATGAGCCACCTTTATTAATTGATTTGAAAAAATTGAGATATGATTAAGAATATGATTTCGGCATGTTTTAACCGACCAGGACAAGAGACGAAAAACATTAGACCATCAAACCAATTTTTCCAAAGCTCCTTGATTAAAAATTAGTACACTGCCATGGCACTCTGGATTGAAATATAAAATACAATTTTTATTTTTTACGAATTTACTCATTTATTTTTATGCATTTTTTACGAATAATTTGGTACCACACACCTGGAGTCAAATTATCGTTATGAACAGCAAGTTAGAATATCAAATAAACCATATGAGAAAATGTCAAAAGTTGACATATGATATGTCATTCTATTCTATACAGGAGTGCCATTTAAAAATCAAAATTTGTAGTCATTTCCGGTGAAACAATAAGTGACCAAAAACAATTGAATAGTCAATCCTAATTTATGTAATATACTAACACACGCAATTTGTTTTTTTTTATCTGATAAAATAAAAAAGTTATAGGGGTGAGCCAATTTTGAGACGCACCCGGTATAAAGTGTACTATTTCAAACTAAAATATATTTATTGAGTTTTTTTATAAAGTATTAAATAATTGAATTAAACCACATTTCAGTTTGTAGTTTTTATGCAATTCTTAAATAATATTGTAGAGAAGTCAAACTAAGCTTTTCAGACTAACATTAAAGACATATTAAGGTTAAATATTAAAAAGACAAAACAAAAACATTATTTTTTTTATTAATAAAACACTAATGCTTATACATTTTCCAACCATAAATATAACATTAACAAGACAAAGACAAAAACTGTCGCCATCTATTGAGCTAACAACCTGTTACACGTTCCTTCGTTAAAAACTGGAACTCTTATTGATTTACTTTACAGGCCAGGCGGCAGAATCCATTCCTGCTGGTTAGGGGATGTTGTAGCTGAAATGGGTTGTCAGTTTATTCACGGCGCCTGCATAGGCAACCCGGTATACACCCTAGCTGCTCAGGAAGGTCTTTTGAAAAGTCCATTGAAGAGAATCACCTATTCAGATGGGTATTGTTCGTTGTTTCATTAGTATTTTAAAAACGTAATTTTAGAAACGTCTCTTAATAAAAATAGCCACTAGTAATGGTTCTCCAGATATTTGGAATCGAAATTATCATTGACATATATTAAACATGTTGACTAAATAGTTATTAGACTGAAATCATAAATTCGAAATGTTTCTGTGCCAAAAGTTCAAAAGAAACTGTTTTATCCTCATTTTTTCGGAGAAAAATTTATGATAAATTTTTAAAAAAATAAAAAGTTCCCAAATTTACCATTTCAGTAAAATAACTATCTACTCAGCCTGTTATTTTTTTGTCAATAATGACATGTATTGACTATTTCCGTTCTAAATATCTTGAGAATGGTTGCTGGTAGCGATTTTTACGTAAAGACATTTTTTGCGTAAAAAATCATGAAAATGTATATTTTTCACTCATTAGTTTTATACAGGCACAGACAAAAACTTCTTACTCCTCAAAACAGTTAAAACACGTGTAGGCGGCGCCCCTATAAATAGGAGTCATATTAACACCAAAATCAAATTTCTCATGTCAAAAAACTCCCACACACCAATTTTTATCCAAATATTGACTTTAATTCAAAAATTATTTGGAAAAAATCGAAATAAAAATGAAACTTCTACACCCTATATCTCCGAAATTAAGCATTTTAGGACATACATTTATAAAAACTTTTTTACTTATTTTTATCTGCAGAATATGCTGCCGAAGTTTCCGGAATACAGTTCGGACCACCCTGTCTAATATACTAATTACATTTCTAGTGTATATTGCACAAGCGATGGAAGATGCGTGGACAATTCGGTAGCCCTGCTAGGACAGCACGTGTTCAAACAAATCTTATCTGAAGCTTCCAATCTATTTACAATGGGATGTGGAAAAGAGCACGGAAACCTTTATAATTTCTTAAGTAATGCACCACAATAATTGCCTAAATCATACTACAATTACACAAGTGTTTCGTAGCTCTAAGAATTCAACAGGAGTTACAGTTATTCCCCGAAGAACAGAGATATGACTTGGCTCGTGTCATGTATGGAAAAACAAACCAAATTAGATATATTACTGGAGAGGATTTAACTAAAGTCAGTGCCGATAATTTCGGTAGCTACATTAATATTCCAGGGGGTAGTATTCAGATTCCAGTTGGATTTGTCGGTATATTAATCCTTTGTTATACAGGGTGTTTCAAAACAAATGCGAAAAACATCAGGGGGTGATTCCTTGTTCAAAATAAAGAGTAGTTTGCTTTATAAACATTGGGTTAAAAGTCAACCATTAGGGAGATATCGCGGTACAAAGATGGCGGAAAAATAATGTTTTTATTTTTTATCTTGAAAACGAAAAGAGATAGACTAATGACATTTTACGGAAGCATTACTGTTATGAAAACACACTTTCTGGTAATTTTTTCACTTTTTTAAAATGAGTGGAAGGGGTTGAAATAAACTACCCCTATCATTCTTGTTAATTAAATTTAAAGAAAAATCTTATCAAACACATGCAAAAAAATTAATTTTGATAGTTGAGTTTATTTAGAAACTTTTTTATCTCTTGTGTTTTTTTGATAAAACTCACCGATTTGAAATTAAAAAATAAAATGTAAAGCATTACATGTCAGGACAAAAAACATTTTTAGATAAAGAATCTAGTGGGCAGCTGTAATTTTTTAGGAAAAAATCTAGTCGGCCGCTGTCACTTTTTAGGATGTTTCTAATATTGTTTTATTTGACATTACCCTACTGCAATACGTTATTATCTAGATTATTATTATTATCATTATTATCACTAGATTCTTAATCTAAAAATACTTTTAGTCCTGACATGTAATGCTTTACATTTTATTTTTTAATTTCAAATCGGTGAGTTTTATAAAAAAAATACAAGAGATAAAAAAGTTTCTAAACAAACCAAACTATCAAAATTAATTTTTTTGCATGTGTTTGATAAGATTTTTCTTTAAATTTCATTAACAAGAATGATAGGGGTAGTTTATTTCAACCCCTTCCACTCATTTTAAAAAAGTAAAAAAATTACCCGAAAGTGTGTTTTCATAACAGTAATGCTTCCATAAAATTTCATTAGTCTATCTCTTTTCGTTTTCAAGATAAAAAATAAGAACATTATTTTTCCACCATCTTTGTACCGCGATATCTCCCTAATGGTTGACTTTTGACCCAACGTTTATAAAGCAAACTACCCTTTATTTTGAACAAGGAATCACCCCCTGAAGTTTTTCGCATTTGTTTTGAAACACCCTGTATATTATTTTAAAATTGCACAAATCTACTATTTTATATACTATATACATATGTTACAGTTGAGGGTTGGAACCTTTGGTGTTCTTCTTAAGGTGTGGTACAGATTTCTCGCGTTGGTAATGCTAACACGCTGCGTAGGCGTTCATCTTTTTCTTCCTCATCAGATTTTACCCTGGAGAATGTAGTATGTGTCCCAAATATGTATTTTCCTCTTCTTAGTGATTTCGAAGAGTTCACGTTCTTCTAGACCAGCTCTTCTGAGAATGTCTTCATTCCTCACACGTAGGGTCCACATTGTGAAGGCTTCAATTTTGTTTATTGTTGCTACTTTCAGTGTCCATGCTTCCACACCATATAACAAAACGGACCAGATATAGCACTTTAACATTATGTGTCTAAGGCCAAAGTTCAAGTTCCTATCTGTGAGAAACCTTCGAAGTTTTAGAAAAGTTGTTCTTGCTTGTTCGATCTTGCATTCGATCTCCTGATCTGGATTTCACGTTTGGTTAACCATCCATCCCAAGTATTTAAGTTGTGTGACCTGCTTGATGAACTATCCATTTAAATAAATTCTGGTGGTTGGACTGTTGAACAGCCATAAATTTAGTTTTTCTAATATTAATGTTTAAATCCAGTCTTTGGCTTTCGTTGATAATCTTATTTAAAAGAATTTGGAGATCATTTGCATTGTCTGCCAACCATTTGCATTGTAATTGTCTGACAGTATCTGCCAATACCATTGTCTGCCGCATATTGGATATTATTAATTGGAATGCCATTTATTTTGAAACTAATGGGACTTTCGGTGATTGACTCAGTGAATGCTCTTTCCACATATAAGTTAAACAACATTTGATACAGTATAAACCCCTGCCTTTTTTATTTCAAAATCTTCTTCTTTGGTGTTACAACAGTAAAATAAAACACAAACACAAACACACAATTTACCACAATACACTAAAACTCTTTACTTTAGAATTTGGAACTGGACGCGCGTTTTGCCATGTTAGAATCATCAGCAGATGATGCTTGATTGAAACTAACTGAGTTTATATCAGTCAGTTAGTTAATTCACCATTTCCGAAATTAGTTGTACCAAAGTTTATATCACGAATGGTTGTGGTTTCTGCGCACTCAATGATGAGGTGTTCTAGTGTTTCTCCATTTTCCTCACAGAATCTACATTTTTGCTGTTGTTTTTTGGCTTCAATCTACTGAGGTGTTCATTGAGGAGATAATGTTCTGTTAACAATCCCGTGATAATCCGAAGATTATTCTTACTTAAATCAAGGAAATTCTTTCATTTTTCTCGGTCGTAAGTTCTTCTATGTTTCTGATCTTTGGTTTGGCAAACCTTTTGCAGGCATTCGTTTTAGAGTACTTCCATATTTTGCTTCAAAATAATTAATAAACAATATCGTAGGCACTTAGTCACAATTCACAACACAAAATGAAATATTTATACACTATATAGCTCGAAAAACTTTAAAACACTTATTTCACAATTAAAATCGACAAAAATTATTAACTCACACATACACATAGCCTGCTACTGACGTCACAAAGCGAGAAGTTTTTGCATACACATGGCAGACACTTTCGGCTGAGTGAGCAATTCTATTAGGTTAACTATTGGTTAGGTTAACTGTTGGTAACTGTGTATTAAAAGTGTTAGAATTCACTGATTTCTGGCTTCTACTGTAACATATTTTAAATTTATTATCTTAAAGATTTCAACTAAATAAAATAATTATTTTCAGGTGTTCTATCACCCTTATTAAAAGAACTCCCCGAATGCGCTGTCAAGTTCGGTAAACCAGTTGGTCTAATCAGATGGGGAGCTGTCCAAAGCAGAAAAAAAGGTCCTAGAGCTATCGTTCAATGCTGTGATGGTGAGGAATACTGTGCCGACTACGTAGTGGTCACCGTTTCTTTGGGCGTGTTGAAGGAACACGCTGAAAAAATGTTTTGTCCAGCTTTGCCTACTAATAAAATGGAAGCTATTTCCGCACTAGGTTAGGCATATTTTTAAGCATAATATTAATAGTGAATAATAATTATTATGTTACAATTTTAGGCTATGGGAATGTAGATAAGATATATTTGGATTACGATAGGCCGTTTTGGGTTTGGTCGGAAGGCGGTATTAAGTTTGCTTGGTCTCCAGATGAATTGGCTCAAAGATCAGATTGGACTAAAGGTAAACTGTCTTCTTCTTAATATATCTGTTAATTAATTTTAACGGTATTTTTAGACTTTTTTTAAAATACAGATAAAAATAATATCTTACATAATTATTGAGGATATGATTCTCTTTTCGTTATTTAATTTTTACGTTATTTAATTACTCTCAGCTACCCTCAATACTTTTGTGAGTTTGAAAAAAAATATTTTACTTTTATGATAATCGGGACATCTAAAAGTCGGATTAAATTATTGCATAATTAATTAATTTGGTTTTATTTTAATAATTAATAATACAACATATTGTATTAATTAAACAATACACTATATTTAGGTTTAGTATCTGTAGAAGAAGTAGAAGGCAGCAAGCATGTATTGTGTGCTTTTATTTCGGGTCCAGAAGCTGTTATAATGGAACAAGCATCCGATGAACAGGTAGCGGAAGGTAAGGACGATTTTTGACACAGCTTATTAAGTACCAGCTGGTCATTTTCGCTTGTACTTGAGTAATGTAAAGGCTGTAGTTTTTTACTATCCTAATTCTAATTTATAATTAACATAAAAACCTATTATTAATGAATAATTATGTTATTGTGGTACTCAAAATGACTACATGTAATCAGATCAAGAATTTTGATCTGATTATTCAAGTGGCTTGGAAATGACGACCCAATAACAATCAACTTTCATATACAAAATTCCAATTCTATTCCATTTCCAAGCCACCTCTAATTCCGTTTCTTTTTTAATTGTTTGGTATGTCTTTTTTTTTTTTATAGGTATAACAAAACTTCTACGACAATTTACTGGAGACGCTTCTCTGCCGTATCCATCGACTATCCTTCGATCCAAGTGGGCTTCGGATCCATATTTTTGCGGATCTTATTCGTACATGAATATCAACTCAAATGTGGGACATCAATGCGATCTCAGCTGTCCTGTCCCGGGATCATGTGATCCTGTTCCTCCGATCCTTTTGTTTGCTGGTGAAGCAACATGTGCAGGTAAAAAAAACAAGAACTGTGTAAATAATAAATATCTTATTTTTAAGACATATCTTTTAATGTTTGCCATTTAATAATTAACTTCTTTTCTGCATTTTTGAAAGATTTCTTATATGTAATATGTAACGTATGATCGAAAAAAAAGTCTGCGATGACTATAAAACGAAAATCGCTGTTATTTTATATGTAAAAATTATTCGCAATAATGTCACTGTTAATTTAAATTCTGACACAGCTTTCTTCTAGATTTACAACCAATACCAACTGTAGAATAAATAATAAATAACATAAAATATGCTCAGAAAATTTTAACAAATACGCAAAATTTCAAATCAAATTCAAATATTGTGTTAAAAGTTTAAAAGAACCTTCAGATTCTAAATGCGGCATAATTTTTATTTTGTGCTATTCCAAAAAACAACAATTTTAGGGTAAATGTTATTTTACAAAATTATTATATAATTTTGTATGTAATTTGTTTTATTTTTTAAAATTACAAAATAAGTTTTATGTATGGAGATAAAATTAAAAAACACAATACAGGGTGTCCGGAAATTAATCCAACAAAATTTGGTCATAGATTCTTGAAAAAAATAGGTGGCCCGTATTTTTTATTTTTAGCCAGTGACCCCCCTTTTCGGAATTTCGCCCCAAAAAAGAGGTTTTTTTTAATATCTCAGGGCCCTTTTGGACGAAAATCACTAAATTTGGTACACGTTGTTTTACCATAAAATGACATTTTTTGATGCTATTAACTTTTTTTTATTTTCATCAGTGACGTCCCTACGGTATTTAAACTAAATATTATTGAAGAAAAAAATGGTACGCCACTGTTTTTTTTAATAAAAATTACTTTTAAAATCTACATTAAATTTGGAACAAATTTGATCTCTTGACTTTTTTTCGTACGACGCGACGCACCGTTTTCGCGTAAAAAAATAAAAACCATTTTTATACATGACCAAATCGCTAAAATTTTGTAAAAAATATAAATTTTCGTAGCAAGATTTAAAAAACGGCAATTTAGGTTTTTGGTCATTTTGGTACTCACTTAGGTAATAAAAACAAGATTTTGAAAAATAAAAAATAATTTTAAACTTAAGTTTGGCGTTTTAAAAATGTTGCCATTGAAATTTTTTTTTGTTGCGGTAAAATTTTAGCGATTTTGTCATTGCCAGTTAGTCTAATGAAAATGGTTTTTATTTTTTTACGCGAAAACGGTTCGTCGTACGAAAAAAGTTAAGAAATCAAATTTGTTCCAAATTTAATGTAGATTTCAAAATAAAATATTTTTATTTAAAAAGAAAACAACGTGTACCAAATTTAGTGATTTTCGTCCAACATGGCCCTGAGATATTAAAAAAAAAACCTCTTTTTAGGGGCGAAATTCAGGGGGCTGTAAATCCGAAAAGGGAGGCCACTCGCCAAAAATAAAAAATACGGGTCACCTATTTTTTTTCAAGAATCTATGACCAAATTTTGTTGCATTAATTTCCGGACACCCTGTATATTTTGCACTTTATAGAGTTTTTCTTGATAAAATGGCGAAGGAGAATAAAGTGCTATTGAAATATTTTCAAGAGAGTATGTCTCACCTCTCTCAATAATAAATTATATTCGTATAAAAAACATCTTTCCTTTGACATAGATTTAATGAGGACTTCGCAAAAGAAATATACAGGGTGGTCCGAACTGTATTCCCGAAACTTCGGCTGCAAATTCTGCAGATAAAAATAAGTAAAAAAGTTTGTATAAATGTATGTTCTAATAATAATATATATATATATATATATATATATATATATATATATATATATATATATATATATATATATATATATATATATATATATATATATATATATATATATATATATATATATATATATATATATATATATATATATATATATATATTAAGGATTTTTATTATTAAATATATATTTTTTACTCAGTAGTATACAGATACGGACGAAAAGTTACTCTTCAAACCAGATAAAAATTATGTAGGTGGCGTTCTCTAGAAGTAGGTGTCATATTGACATCCAAATCAAATTTCTTATGTCAAAAAACTCCTAGATACCAATTTTCATATAAATATTGACGTTACTTCAAAAATTATTTGGAAAAAATAGAAAAAAATGAAACTCCTACACCCTGTATCTCCGAAACTAAGGACATACATTTATACGAAGTTTTTTACTTATTTTTATTTGCAGAATATGCTGCCGAAGTTCAGAAATACAGTTCGGACCACCCTGTATATTTCTGTTGCTTAGGTTAGTGTTCATAGAAAAAAATAATATATTTTTTGGAAAAAAAAACGGCGTTAAGTTGGCTTAAAAATGATGATATTTACCGTATAATATTACATATAAAATGACAGCAAACTTTATTTCCAAGCTATATTTGATGTTTTTCTTTTGATCAAATTGGATTTCTTTATTAATAACTAATGATAATAAGAAATAAACGATAATATTTTATTTTCCTTATAATTAGGTCATCACTCTACTGTCCACGGTGCCAGACTGAGTGGTATACGTGAAGCCGAAAGAATAGTCCAACTAACCAGAAAATTCGGTGGACCTCCACCTCAACTATAATGGTCGAAGGAATATTAAAACCCTGTAATGAATTCTGCAGATAATAATTATATATTTTTGTATTTTTTTAAGATTTAACAATTAATACTTTTTTGACACATGTAATATACATTTATTGTTTATTTGGTCGTTTTTTATTACCTCTTAAATCTATGCACTTATAACTAAGAAAAATATATAGATAAATGTCTTTTGCTTTACAAAAAGGAAATAAATAAATAATTAATACAATACACACATGTAAATAAATACATCTTTTATCTCTAAAAAAAATATTCACATCAAATGCACAATTAGTTTGGTCGTTTTATATTATAAGTATATAATACATATAAAACTGGATATGATTGAATAAAGTTAAAATCGAGTTAGCTTGGAGATCAATAGACCTACTCTATTTTATCATAGTATATTGTTTTAAGCTTGATTTTCATGCATCCGTTAAGCCGGAGTCTCATGCATCCGAAATCCGATGACACGACGATGCGACGGTGCTGCTATTGGTCGAAATATTTTGACAACAATTTTTATCCGATAATTTTATCCAAACCAAACTAATCATCCGACGTCGTATAAAGTTAAATTTTGTTTAACTTTTGTACAATATCGTGTGTTTTTTAACCTCACTTTTTTTGAAAACATTTGTTTTTAAAAACAAGTTTAGTGGGAAGTGGGCAATTTCGGGATATTTGGCGAGGAAGTTATTTTTATAAGTGTTTCTCCAATAAAACATGACATGAATCTCTATTCAGCGCAGCAGAAAAATGTCAAAACTGTCAAATTTCGGAACGAACTTTCGGATGCATGTGACAGGCTTTTTTTATTTCACACGATAACTTCAAATTTCGGATGTTGTACCATCGGATTTCGGATGCATGAGACTCCGGCTTTATACGTTGGTACGATGGTCCGACGATGCTATGATTGGTCATACCGTTTTCGCGCCACTTTTCATCCGTAAATATTTTACTTCAGCCCGTCAACGGACCCGTTCATACGATAACGGACGTTTTGATACTTTTTGGACAAATTTAATCTAACCTTAATAAAAATATAAGTAAAATAGCAAAATCGATGGAAACGAAAATATAAAATGACACGAACGTATATCCCATAAAAGGAGGCATGAAAATGCAATACATTTAAAACCTGCGTTATTTTCTAACCATTCAAAGTCTTTAAATTCTACCAATAAAATTAATATCATATCAACGTATCGATGGACAACGGATGCATGAAAATCAAGCTTTACGATACAGTTCGAAATAAAATGATTTTTCAAAGCTCCAGAGTAAACAGACAATTTTTATTATAAAATAATAAAGATTAATAATTAAATTTTAAATTAAAATATTTAAGATATCTCCAATAGATCGGAAATTTTATATATGCTGTCGTGACCAACATTTTTCGAAAAGAGATATTTTTATAGTTTTATTACTTTGTTTCGTAATGGCAGTTTAGGATTTGACAACTCGATTCTAGTTTTATTCAACCATACAATCACTAACCCTTATATAATGAGCAAAAATCAACGTGTTTTAGCGAAATATATCCAAATAACATGATTGCCAAAGCTGTAATATTCTGGTACGTAGTCTGTGGAAGATTCTCGGCCATTTTCATTGTTTCTGTTCGGCAAGAACTTCGTCGGCAGCTTCCTTAACTTCCTTCCAAGATACGTCTATGTCATTTTCTTCAGTGAATCTTGAACATATAGCCAACCTGAGGAAATAGGTATCGCGGATTTTTGATGGTACCAAGTGAATAACACCTGAAATTATTAATAATTATTATTAAATACGAGAAATCATATTCGTCATTATTAATTATTATTAAATCGGGAAATACCGGGTGCGTCTCAAAAATGGCTTGATATGAAATATATACAGTATAAGTATATACAGTGTGGTCCGAACTGTATTCCGGAAACTTCGGCAGCATATTCTACACATAAAAATAAGTAAAAAAAGTTCGTATAAATGTATATCCAAAAATGCTTAGTTTCGGAGATACAGGGTGTACAAATCGCATTTTTATTTCGATTTTTTCCCAATAATTCCTGAACTAAATTTGATATTGGGATGAAAATTGGTGTCTGGGAGTTTTTTGACATCAGAAATTTGATTTTCATGTCGATAAGACTCCTACTTGTAGAAGGCGCTACTTACACATTTTTTAACTGGTTTGAAATGTAATAACTTTTTGTCCGTACCTGTATAAAGCTATTGAGTATACAAATATACATTTCCGCTGTTTTTTATGTAAAAAAGGTCTCTTGGTAAAAATTGCTACGAGTAATGGGTTTCGAGATATTTGGAATCGAAATTATCAATACCTGTCATCATTAGCATAAACTAACAATACTAACATATTAACTATAAAATAGTTATTAGACTAAAAGATGTCTATACCTAACTAAAAGTTTGATTAGTTATTAGACTGAAATCATAAATTTGAAATATTTGTGCCAAAAGTTCAAAGGAAACTGTTTTATCATCATTTTTCGCAGAAACATTTATGACTAATTTAAAAAAATAAAATTTTCCCAAATTTGTTATTTCAGTCATATAACTATCCACTCAACGTGTTTATTTTTTGTCAATAATGACATGTATTGACTATTTCCGTTCTAAATATCTTTGCTAGTAGTAATTTTTACCAAGAGACATTTTTTACGTAAAAAGTCACGGAAATGTATATTTTTTCACTTAGTAGTTTTATACAGGTATAGTAAACTTCTCTGGAACAGGCATATTAAGAACATTACCAGCAAAGCCACAAAGGTTCTCATGATATGCAGAAGACTGGCGGAAAATAGGTGGGGCTGCACCTCTAACATTTTGCGCTGGATGTATACCATGATAGTAAGACCCATGATTACTTATGGAGCAGTTGCTTGGTATACAAAACTAGAGCACTGTACAGCAAGGCAAAACCTGTGCAAAGTACAGAGACTGGCATGTATCTGCATCACAGGTGCCATGAGAACATGTTCAACAGCAGCAATGGAGGTCATTCTAGACCTAACACCCCTGCACATTGTCGTCGGTAGTTATGTCAATGTCAATGTTCAATGATTAGAATGGTCATTGACGGAAACAGTACTGGGAGAATTTTCAGGTCAGGGGCTTGGAACACCCTCAAAAAGAAAATTCCATTTCTCCAACTCCCAGTGGATGACATACCAAGAATTTACAACTTTGAGAAACACCTCACTGTAGTATTGAGTAATAAAAAGGATTGGGAAGAAAGAAACGCTTACTCAGCAAATAAAAGACCATAACATCACGTGGTATACTGATGCTTCCAAAACCAAAGCAGGGACAGGGATAGGAGTATTTGGGGCGAAAACTAAATACTCCGAACCAATGGGCACCTACCCCAGTATCCTTCAGGCAGAAATTTGCGCTATCGAAAGATGCGTACAATTTATCTTAGATAGGAACTATCGAAAACAGGAAATTGCCATCCTATCCGATAGTCAAGCAGCACTTAACGCGATCAACTCAGTAACCATCAATTCGAAGTTGGCCAAAGAATGCCTAGAGAAGCTCAACAAGTGAGCAAGAAAATAAGTCCTCCTACTCTGAGTGCCTGCTGCGAGGATAGAAGGCAATCTAGCGCAAATGATCTAGAGAAAAGGAGCGAACACTCCACTAACTGGACCAGAACCGTTCTGTTTTCCAAACGGGAACCAACTAAAAGCGGAACTGAAGAATCTGGAAGACTCCATCCGTAACTTGGAATGGGTGTCCTCCAACGGTCTAAGATACTCGAAAAAGTTTCTCAGAACTTATGACCGAGAAAAATCAAAGATTTTCCTTGATTTAAGTAAAAACAATCTTCGGATTGTCACGGGGTTTCTAACAGGACGCTGTCTCCTCAACGAACACCTCAGTAGGCTGAAACTGAGAAACAACGGCGAATGCAGATTTTGTGGGGAAAACGGGGAAACACCAGAACACCTTATCACTGAGTGCACCGAGACGACGACCATTCGTGCCATGAACCTTGGTACGTCTGATGTCGAGGATGGAGAGGTGGCCTCTGTCGAGCCGTCTCAGATACTGGCTTTTGTTAAAGCCCTGAGACTGTATGATGAGTTATAACTCGTTATAACTCAAGAAAGGGGAATACACAATAGATCTATAAGGTCGCGGTGATTACTCTTCAAAACAGTTAAAACACGTGTAGGTGGCGCCCCCTAAAAATAGGACTCATATTAACACCAAAATCAAATTTATCATGTCAAAAAACTCCCACTAATTTTCTTTAAAATATTGATGTTACTTCAGAAATTATTTGGAAAAAATCGAAATAAAAATGAAACTTCTACACCCTGTATCTCCGAAACTAAACATTTTAGGACATACATTTATACGAACTTTTTTACTTATTTTATCTGCAGAATATGCTGCCGAAGTTTGCGAAATACAGTTCGGTTAGAGAAACTTACTAGCTACCATGAATACACTTTTAGTTTTTACCTTTTCCATTGATCTTTTTCAATAAAACCTCATTAAGCTCGTTGGTTCCTTTGAGCCTGAAACACACCAATCCCATAAGAACTTCTTCCGTTATTTCGAATCTGTCATCTCCACGGACTTTAGACTCGAAGTAATGGGCTAAAGCAATGTGTTTGCGAATGTGAGCTTGCAAGTTTTCGAGTCCGTATAGCCTGAGAACGAACCACAACTTCAGTGCTCTGAATCGACGACCTAGGGGTATTTGCCAATGGCGGTAGTCAGGTGCGGATCCTAAATAAAGAAAGAGGAATTGTAGAGGAAATATAAACGGGATTAACCATTTTAGAAGAAGCAATTTTTTTATGAAGAACGCATTTTTATCAAAATGTCAATAATAACAAAGTTTTTCCTCTTGTAAACACAATCCGGGGACACACTGTATATTCAATAATAGGTACACATCAATATAAATTCCGAGATAGCTCATTTTTACCTTGTTGCTCATGCTTAAGATATAATGGGTCCACATTGAAAGCATTCACCAGCCATGATGGATCCTTTAACCACATCGCGGAACAATCAAAATTCACTAGCAGCCATTTGTGTGGATTGAAATTGAATGAATCGGCCCTTTCAATGCCTTTCATTAAGTACCTAGAAAATATTAATACATTTGCTTATTGAATTAAGGATTAATGTGTTTGTTTGTACCTATATTCAGGACAAATGAAAGAAGATCCAGCATAGGCGGCGTCTACATGAAGCCAAACTTCGTTTTCGTTGCACACTGGGCCAATTTCGTCCAAACGGTCGAAAGTACAAGATGAGGTTGTTCCTAAAGTTGCTACGCACTGAAAGAAATATATTAAATCAAAAAATAATTACAACAAAAATATATTTTATTAGTTACTGCTAGTAGTTAATTAGCCACAAAGCCCGGTTACAAAGTGTATTTGAGCCAAATACACTTGGACTGTGCTTGGATCTCGGAGCTGATTTAAAGCCCGGATGACACGGTACAAGGGTACTTGGATCAAATACACTAACTTGGATTCTGCCATTTAAATATACTTATACGGATATTTAGCGCGCCTCACTTGTACGCTGTTTGTATGGTATCACATGTTTTATTCAAGTCGAGTTGTAAAGCTTCGTAGCATCCAAGAAAGTAGACTTGTTGCTAACTAAACCTTCCAACTCAACTTGGATAAAACAGGTAATAAGATACAAGCAGTATCCAAGTGCACTTGCTCCAAGTACAAGTAGACAGTGCCAACGCGCCAATGAAAAAAATAATGAAAATTTCAACTGTTATCTAGAAACCACTCACACCAACAACGAGTGTTTATAAGAAGCAGTGAAAGAGAGATCTTTTCATAAAATTGTAAAAATATGTAGCCTATATCATATACATATACCTACTTAGATGATCTGGGCTTAAATTTTGTTAGTATTGATTTCCAGACATATGTCTATTTAATCTTTTCTTTATAAAGTGAGGTAACGAATCATCTTATAAAGTGTTTTACGAATATAAAAGACACCTTTAGAACGGCTTTTTAATGTTATAGTATTTGCGATGATAAATTTTAATATCGATATTATTTTTTTCGAATTTTTTTGTCGCAATTTGTACAAACTCTTTTCATTCATTACTGATAAAATCTAAACTCGTTCTCTTACGTAAAAAGGAATAAGGCCAGCTTCACGGTCCTCCTTAATGGCCTGTTCCACCGTCTCTCCCCTGAGTTTGTTGCTGGCGTCCGGCTGAAGAGAACGTAATCTAACCCCTCCCAGGAGACCGGCACGTTCAACAGACGAGTGACTTTGACCTGGAAAATGTCGATAAAATACATACAATATGATACAAATCGAAAACAAGACAGTTTTAAGTTTTTGATTAATTTATTTCATATAGACACTGTAAAGCTTTTTGTTAGAACCATTGATCAGAACGTTACATTTTGACAGTTTTCTATAGAGCAACTGTCCGTAACTAACTATGATACAGGGTGTTCCTTAATGACTTTATAATAAAATAATTAAATATAATATTTATGATTAAACTTTTTTTCATAATATCTCTGATTTTATTATAGATATATTTATGAAACTTGATACACGTCTTCTGTGCATCAAAATACCTTTTTCGGTGTACGAAGAATTTTATTTATTTCAACCAGTGCCGTCCATACGAGTTTTACCTTCAATATTTTTGGAGAAAAAAGTGGTACACCACTGACTTCTCTTAAAATAAAAATTATTTTCAAAATCACCATTCATTTCTAAACAATTTGTTTTATCAAAATAAGCATTTTGTTGCATGGAAGACGCGTATCAAATATATTATCAGATATATTTAAAAAAAAAACGATTTGAACGACTCGAAATACCAAGCGTGTAGTACCAAATTATTCGCAAAAAATGATTTTCCAAATATGCCAATCAGCCATCCATGTTCCATTTGAAAGAATTGAGATATATGATTTAAAATACGATTTGGGCATCTTTTAACCGGCCAGGATAAGACACGAAAAAGATTAAACCATCAAATTAATTATTCTAAGGCTCATTGATCAAAAATTAGTGTTTTTAACACAGCCATGACACTTTAAATTAAAATTTATAATACGATTTTTTAAACAAAAATGTCAAAAGTTGACATATGATATGACGTTCTACTCAGAGTGTCATTTTCTCTAAAAAATCAAAAGTTGTAGTCATTTCTGGTGAAACAGGAAGAGGCCAAAAACAATTGTGACCAACAACCAAATCTCGTTTTTTTATCTGAAAAAATAAAAGTTATAGAGGGGGGAATAAACCCTCTACAAAGACAGAGACATAACCTATTTAATAATACTGATATTTTGAGAGCGTATAAGTTTCAGAATGTTATTCATCTAGTAGAAAGTAACTACAAACAATTAAAAAAAACACTGATATTGATATGCCTATTCACAAAGTGTTCTTGACCCGAAACATAGACTGTCAGGGATTGGGTTATGTTTCACTAATAATTAAAAGGTATATCTTAGCTGATCGAATATTTTGATAAGCCACAGAAAAAAATTATGCAACGCTGCTTGCCAGTATATTATAGGAATTAAATATGTTCATAATAATTATTTTTATGAATTGAAATTTTCATTTAAATTCTTTATTTTGAAACAATTCTAATATTTAATTTACTGTTACTAATTACTAACAAGATTTGTTTTAATCTTTAATTTACTCCAATTATTAGTATTTAATCCTCAAAGTTTTTAATGCGTTTTATATTTTTGGAAGTATCCAATAAGAAATTATATTCATAAATTGTATTCATTTTATACTGAAATCTAAAAGATGCCTGTATTGATTTAAACCTTTACGTGACTTCCAAGATTTTATCCAAAAGAATCGCAACGTTTTTAACGTGATATTCATCAGATTTAGCCAATAACTCTGTAAAAATACTTACTAGAAGTATAACCGACAAGCTTTGCGATAATTTCGGATTCTTTCATTTCGGGGTGTTTTTTCTTCTCTACTGCTATAGCTTTAGCTTTAGCTCCTAACAAAGCTACTAAAGTTGCTTCACTGGCCGTACCTTGTATCACTCCACCACCTTAAAAGAATAGAAAATTAATTTTTATTAAATTAGTATTTTTGAAAATATAGACAAATTCCAATTGAATTTTTGAAATAATTTAATATACAGGGTGGTCCGAATTGTATTCGGAAAATTTCGGCAGTATATTCTTCTGAGAAAAATAAGTAAAAAAGTTGTTATAAATGCATGTCCTAAAATGCTTCGTTTCGGTGATACAGACTGTAGAAAGTTAATTTTTATTTCGGTTTTTTCCAAATAATTCCGGAACAGTAGTCGATTTTTGGATGAAAATCGGTGTCTGGATTTTTTTTTTGACGTGAGGATGTCAATATGACTCCTACTTGTAGAGGGCATAGCCTATATGTTTTTTCGCTGTTTTGAAGTGTCTTTCATTTTAGGACACGAGTTTATACGATTTGGACCATCCTGTATATTTCATATCCCATTTAAAAGCCAAATGCACGGCAAATTAAAAAAAAAACAAGTCCTATACAGCATGCAAGTATTATAATTTTTCATTTTTTTTACAGTTAAATTTAATATTTTACTTATTTTGTATCTTTATTTTTAGTATTTTTGTAATTTTTTTTGTAAATAAGTTTTACCTTTGCCTCCAGAACAAGCCAGAAATTCTTTGGGAAGACCTAATGCTTTTCCTAACCAATCCAACATTACAACTTCAAGTTCTGTACAAGCAGGACTGGCAATCTAAAAAATGAGGATTTATTTAAATACCATTATAACATTACTTATTACTATAATTTTATTTTTACTGAATATGAATTGACTTTTAAGTGAATACAGCATTATACTTATTGGTAGTAGGTACTCCACAGATAATGAGCAACGGTTTTTGCACACGACCCTATTAGGACCGTATAGTTAAAAAATTCATTTTGCTCTTAAAAATCATGATTTATTATCATGAAAATCGAATTTAAATATTTAGAGATTTTTTTATTTACAAAATTAATTTTTGATCTGTTTTTGTGATACTGCCGATAAATATTCAGATTCATTTATTGCCCACTGAAGAGCAAAATCAGAATAGGCAACTATTTCAATCATTATTGATCGTTCTGTATAAAAATAATTATTGTAGCTGAAAACATAATATTCAAATAAATGTTTTTTTGCTAATTTAAGTTATTTTCTATCAATATTAATATATTTATAATGAAACAGAAAAGTACCATTAACTTCTTTAGATGGATTCTTTCAATTTCTTGGGCAAATGGAAATTAAAATCAAGTAGATTACAGATCCACTTTTCGTATGAAAGAATGAAAATTAACCTCGTTCCAGCATTAAACGACGGAAAGCACGCTCGAGAAAATCCTTTATAAATCGGAAATGTGCCGTTGAAACTCGGGAGAACAGGCTTTTCATTTTAGTCCAGGATAAAAGGAAGAATTTTACCGTTACGAGGGATCATTAAATACGATGGAAGGATGGCAGAAACAATGATGCTTATATGAATCATGTATGAAAGTAAATTATAATAACTATTGAAAAAAATACAAAAAGTTATTATTCATTTTTTTTATTTATTAATTTCATTATTTAACATAGTTGTTAAAAGATCTGGAGCAAAATAATTGACTTTAATTTTTTTTTTACTTAGATTACTTTATTACTCTATTAGACTTACTTTAGATTTTTAGGTAAAAAAACTTGATGTGGTTTCTTAGTATCGAGGTTAGTATATGACATAAATTAGAATTGATTGACATATTCAATTGTTCTTGGGCACTTTCTGTTTCACCGGAAATGACTACAACTTTTGATTTTTAAATGGCACCTTCGGTATATTGCTATTATATTGCTTATTCGATAGAAAATGACACTCTGAATAGAATGACATATCATATGTCCACTTCATTTTCGCTTAAAAAATCGCATATTAAATTCCAATCTGGATCAGCAAAGAATGGTTGTGTATGTAAAAACACTAATTTTTCATTAAGGAGCCTTGGAAAAATAGTTTTGATTATTTAATCGATTTTTTAAGCAAATTACAATTTTTTCTAATCGAACGAGGGTGGCTCATTAGCATATTTGAAAAAAAAACATTTTTTACGAATAATTTGGTACCACACACTTGGTATTTCGAGTTAAATTGTCGTTATGAACCGCATGTTACAATTTCAACTAAACCACATGTAAAAATGTCAAAAGTTGACATATGATATGTCATTATATCAAAGCATTATATTTAAAGTGTCATTTTCTATTGAATAAAGTAGAGATATACCAAAGATGCCATTTATTAATCAAAATTTGTAGTCATTTCCAGTGAAACAGGAAGTGATCAAAAACAATTAATTGAATACGTCAATCAATTCTAATTTATGTCATATACTAACATGCCAAATCTCGTTTTTATCTAAAAAATAAAAAAAAGTTGTAAGGATGGGCTACTTTTGAGACGCACCCGGTATATATGTATTTATAATAATTTTTATACATACAAATAACTGTGGAGAAAGAGTTCCTGTTTGCCCTTTTTACTGGCTACAAATTCAAGTGCCATACTAGGCATTTATACTAGGATGGTGATAAGCACAATAAATACAATTTTACAAAAATTGGCAGGGATGGCAATGATAAAGGCCTAAAGGCCTGATAATGACAGTGACCTGACAATTATTTTTTTTAGGTCAATTTTCCTTCGGCCATTTGCTTTCGGGAAAATTTTCTGATAGGGCTGTTTAATGTTAGGAAACTTAAAAAACAGATGAATTTATTATAATCGGTTCTGTTCGATGGATGAAGTGTAATACAAAAAAAATGCAGCACTTAGGACTCATTGTTTCTTGAAAGTCATAGGAGAATAGAGTCGCTACTTTATTGAGATATACTGCAAAATTTTTAGTCAATTTGCAACAGACTGCTTTATCCCAATACTTTTTGTTTTGTATGGTGATGTCCCTTGATTTTATCAGTGTCTGTCTTAGCATTGGGGATACAACATTACACAGGAAAATGTACAGGGTGATTTTTTCGTAAAATCTTACCGAAAACACCAGGTTTTGGGACCTTGGAAGCTCTCTTCTTCATAAAAAAATCCTGGGCCGTTTTTATAAAAAGAAAGTGGATGATAGGTGGTGATGTTTAAAAATGTGATAACATCTTGGAGAACAAAAAAGAAGAAGTTGCAATAAGAATGTATTTTTTTTGTTATAAGTCTTCGAAAGTATTCGGACTTTAAAATGGCATTTTGATTGGCATTTAATTCAACTTTGTCTCTATTTAACCCATCCCGTATCTCTTTTAGTTTTCGAGATCTCAATGAGAACTCTATAGCTCTGATTTGGGAAACTGTACAGGTCTCTTTGATCTAGAGATAAAAGATACATCTTCTCCGCTAAGATCTCATTAATTTTGTCTACAGGAATCGAGTTTTGAAATCTAGATAAAACAGACGGTTAGAATATAGAGAGCAACCAGACCTATCTTCTCCCTCAGATGTAGTCCGCTTTTCAATTCTCAGTCCCATATTATATCCCAAATCCGAATGATTTTTAACTAAAGTTAGAGACCAGTTTATATAGTTTTTTCCATAGCGACTGTTAAAATTGCCCTAAAATGATACTTTAACAGCGAGGATAGGTTAAAAACTTTATTTCTTCTCGCACGTTTTTTAGTTGCTTCCATTTGTGAAAATGGTTGTATACCTTTTCATGAGTTATTCGGGATTTAAATGGAAGTAGTTTGGATATGGCGTTTGTCGCCTCAGCCTGAATATCTGTTGGTAATTTACTTATTTCGTTTTGAGTCATTTCTGGCTCCAATTCAATCAGCAATCGACACGAAAGAGAATTAAAAAATATTGACTCAAAACTGACAACTAAAGAGACAGCTTTATTTATTTGTCAAATTACATAGAAACCAACGCCAACCCAGCACAATATTTTTTCTACTTGTAATAAACTCCTTGAAATAATAATTTCTGAATATTGTTATATACATGACGATAATTGCATTAACGCAACGTCTCCCGAATAATTTTGAATCTTTTCGGCCAACGATAAAATACCATTTTATCGTCTTATATAAAAAATAACTATTAATTAAGGGGAAAACTCCCAACAAAGAGTAGAAATATAACACTCGCAGAGATTGGGACAATTTTTATTTTTTTTTATTCCTCTAATGCCTTAAGTAGACATTATCTGTCGGCAACAGATAGTCTCTGGTTCTATTTACATGTCCAAAAATGCGAAATATCACATAACCACTTAATCAGGCATTTTATTTCATGTTTTTGGGAACTTGCTTGCTCTCCTCCCTTTGTTCAGTACATCTTATTGTTTAAAAAAACACCTGTACTCTTCATAGACTATTCTTGCCAGGCGTTTCCGACCATGTATATGGTTTTCATTAGAACAACTATTAAAATAAATAACTGCTTTGTAAGAACTCAATATCTTGTATAATAGCATTGGATTCATATTATTTATAGAATCAAGTTTTTTTTATTAATTATCCAGTAGCAATAAAAAGTCTATTATAAATAGCTCTAAATATTTTATTTTAAAATAACGTCCTTTATATTCTTGCATTACTTACAAAACGTTATAAGCACATTAAATAAAACTAGAAGCACATTATTGATAATAATGATTGTCATAAACTAAGCAATTTGCAATTCAACGTTATTGCTTTTAAAGAGTGCCTATTGGAAAGGCACAAACACGATTTATCGTTGGTAATGAAAATTTATAGTATGAAATTGCGATACTTACCCATGTAAATCCTATACAGGCTATAGCTCCGCTAAGAATATCTGCCACGATAGCTGGGTACGAATTGGCAGTTGGAAAATAGGCATGGAATCTAGGCGAATGCCAATGAGTTATCTGGAAATAATGCAGTAGATATAATAATAGTAGTGTATACATAACAATAAGAGTAAAAATACTGAAGTTCAATTTTTTGTCTAAAAAGGTTCAATTATACTGAAAAATTGACTTAACTTAGGTTTGAATTTAGACTACAACTTCAGTTGAAAATTTTTACCTTTATGTTGAAAGATATGATGTAAAATAAAATATTCTTAAAAATATGTTAGTAACGCACGGCAATTACTTCTTTGATGTTTTTTAGAACAACAAACAACACCACATAATATCTATAAATAACCCATTGAATATAGGTACAATTAGCATGAGCATTGGCCACCCCAAGTACTGCTGGGCACCATCCAGATAAATCTTGAATTTTGACTAAATTATGACTATCTTGGCTAAATATTAATTTTTATTTGCTTGTGATGTAGTAAAAATGACTTTTTCTAGTTTTGTTTATGTAAAATTATTTTGTTTTGTTCAAAAAAAGTGTGTTAGTTTTTATTTTTTTACCACTGGAACACGGTTTGTTAACCAAGTCTATCAAATTTATTGATTAAGAAAATCAGGTAAACGTTTTATTCAAAAAATGTGTTTATTTTTTAATATAATTATTCCTGGTGTAAAAAAAGACAAAAGCCCTAGGCCTTCTAAGTCTGTCATACAAGTCAGGAAAAAATTTGACAGATGACGTTAAAAAATGACAGAAAATACAATTTATTTGTTAATTAAAAACACAGGCACAAGTGTCAGTGTAATTGCTTTTTGGATAGACTTATATTCATAAAGCGCACGTAGTCATAACAAAATAAAGCCAAAACTTCACATCCACAGGGGCACCGAAAATGAAAAATTAGACAGATAGATATAGGTACTTTCTAACAATGTCAATCTAGTAGATATGTGACATCGTAACAATTACAATATGCAACAAAGTTAAGTCGTTTTTAGTGTTAGATTTAAAATATACAATATATATTTTAAAATTTCTGTCCGTATAGGTTTTGTCCATACTTCTTCATATAATTTTTGTCACTGGGATCCTATAAAATGGCATTCTATAAATTCATAATTGCTTAAAATTCATCAAAATCGGTCCACTAGAACACAGTATATAAAACTTTAAAATACATGAAAATTTTAAGGTGTCCGTTTTTCGTGACGGTGAGTGTAATAAGCATCCCTAAGTAGTGCAAATATTCGGCACTAAAAAAGCACTTAAAATAAAAGTCCACTAAAAGTGACTCACTCTGTTAATATAATTCAAGTTACTGTGAAACCAATCGTTTTTACCAATATTAAACAACATTTCACAGCGAGTTCAATGCTACTAGCAATTAAAAAAATCTGTAAAAGATTAAGTTAACTTGACCTACATAATAATAATAGTGGCAAAACAAAGCCTATTGCTTAATCTAATTTGAAAGTAAACGAGCTATATTTTGAGTTAATTGTGTGTGGAACATTAGCTTTAGTAATAAAATAATAGTAGTGTTAAAATAACTACAGTAATGATATGCATCTTCGAAGGTTTCCCTTCAGATCCTTTGGAAAGATAATATTAATTAAAAAAGAATCATTTTCTAATATCAATTAAACACAAAAATTCTTTTCCATTACAATATTAGATAAATCACAATTCAATCATCAGAATGTCAACATTTTTATTAAATATAAGCAGTGGCGGCTGGTCCTAAAGGGCACAGGGTTCTAAAGCACAAATGCGATACTAACCGTCAAAATAAGAAGAACAAAAATAAGTATATAATTGTGTGTATTATGAAATTTTCACGGAACACTTTATAAGATTAAATAATCATGTGATTTCTTGCATGAAATCTAGGATAGATTTTATTTACCAAAAATAGTATTTAGATATGTTTTCCCACGAGCCGCCACTTAGAAAATAGCTACTATGTGTAAACTATTATCAATGGAACTAAATTTAGCAATTTTAAATAGTTTTTTCTTTATTCTCATCGCTTTATGCCCTTGATGATGAAAGAGATATGTCCCCTGAAACCTTAATTCTTTATTAAGTAACTAGTTGAAGCCTGGCGCATCCGCCACGACATGCGACATAAGGGAAAAAATACTTAACTTACCCCAGGCATTATAACTTTTTCGACGTCCTTTAACACGTCTTCCCATTTTTCTGGTTTTTCTGGAGCATTTTCAGGAATTAATGGTCTTAAATATCCAGGTTCAACTGTAGGCAGAACTCGGCTATAAATAAAAAAGTATTACTTAATAATGAAAACAAATAAACAGAAAGAAGTTAAATATACATTGATTTCTAATAGTAATAATTAAAATGCTTTTATAGGAAAGAAAAAAACACAAATATTTAGGAAACTATTTCGTAAAGTATTTAGGCCTATTTTTCCTCTGTCTAACTAATGTGTCTATTATACGAGGAAAAACTAAATGTTCATATACAGGCGAAAGGTTGAAACATCCTTCGGAATGGTTTAGCAAAGTAAAGAATTAAAAACTACTTCATCATGAAGGTGCATCTTTTCTCGATAGATGTTTTTTGACTCATCACAATAGCTATTTTCGTTGGAGATGTTCGCTTTTGAACAAAACAGTAACAATTAATAACAATAAAGGCTAATAGTTAATTAATAAACAATTTATTATTGTTTTCGTAATGTCACTGTCATGACAAGAAGACTTATTACACAAGTATACACGGTTTTGGACCTGAGCAACTAAAAGCAATTTCTAAGATAATTTTTGGAGCTGAATCCAAATCAGCAGTCCATTTTTTAAGATTTGTTCTAGTTTTCAAAATATTCAATAAATTCATTATTTTTCTATTTTTGACAGTTAACGGTCATTTATTGAATTAGTCAATATAAATCAGAAATGAACAAAGGTTGAACTGAGTCTTTTATACTGCTTGGGATCTGTTTCACGGATTAGGGTCCAACATTAATCGCTCATCATGCCTTCGTCCCAAAATCCTTGGTATCGCCTTTCGATTTTCGCTATATTTTGGTGTAGCCGCTCTCCTTGCTCGTCGTTCGTGTCGCCCAAGTTTTGTGGAAAAAAATCAAGATGTGAATGCAGAAAATGTATCTTGAGAAACATTCGAGCTCCAATCTTGTAGTAATTTTGCAACAAATTGTCGATTACTTGCTTGTAATCCGGTGATTTATGATTACCGAGAAAGTTGTGAACAACACTTTGAAACGATGCCCATGCTGCTGCCTCATCAAGCGTTAAACATTTTGTAAACGTTGCGTCAGCCATTAGTTTTCGAATATCATGTCCGACAAATATTCCTTCTTTGATTTTTGTGTATGACAGTTTTGGAAACAACTTGATTAAGTACTGGAAAGCCGGTCCTTCGCGATTGAGCGCTTTGACAAAGTTCTTAATAAGGCCAAGTTTAATGTGAAGGCCAAGTTTGTTGTCAGTGCTACTGCCATGCGCGGACTCGAAAACTAGAGCCAATCTTGATAAACGGATTGAAGATCTGATTTCAGGGCATCAAATAACGTTAAGAATCGATCTCATCCAAAAAAAAGGTCCAAAAGTTGACCCGAATTTGTAAACTTGTGTTATTATTACTGTTTGTATGTTGGAAGTTACCCTAGCAGAAGCATGATTTTAATGCTAAAATTCCTTTAAGTCGTTACTCTGTCTTCATTAAAAGCGAACATCTCCAATTAAAATAAAGCTATTGACAAAAATCACAAAAAGGAACTATCAGGAAAAAACGCTTTCACCTAAATGACATTTTGATTTTTCTTGTATAATAGACAGATGAGCACTTCAATTTTTAATTTAAAAAGATGTTAAAAAGTCAAATAGTTAAGCTACATATTTCTTAAAAAATCAAAATCGGTTCTACTAGAACAAAATTTATTGAACTTTAAAATGCATGTATTGATGTCAAAAATATGTGTGTATTATTTATTTAACCAATAATTTCCTAAATTTTTATTTTTTTTTTGAGAGAGAATTTAAATTTTCTTTAAAAATAAAGTGGCTCTATATAACTTTTCATTTCTAATAATCTACTTACCGATCTCGAATATTCTCCAGATATTCGGCCGTGTAGTCTATCATGGCCTTTCCGAACTCCCTAAACTGATTTGCCTCCATTTCTGCAACACGAGAACTGTGTAATTATAATCAAAAGGGCTGTTAAAACGCGAGGAGACGTTTAAGTGCGTCTTTCAATGCAGCCCTCCAATTTAACAATTTACAGCCAAGGGAACATAATTGAATACTGAGTAAAATAAAATAACAAGCATCATGCAACAATGAATATTATGTTCCTATTTGTACATAGTAGATAAATATATTACGTAATATTTAAACTTCTAAAATAGTGTAAAATAAAAAGAGTTTTTTACGAGTATTTATATACAGGGTGTAAATGAATTTGTATACGAAAAAAGTCAGGAGGTGATAGCTTTTCAGATATCTAATGCGTTTTTTTCGTACGCCTTAAATAATACGAGTATTTTGATCTAACATTTTTATGCAAATGTGTCTTATTATATAGGGCAAACCAAAATAACAATATTAACGATAATTTTTTCCTAAACGGTTCATAGCAAGGAGTTGAAATTTATTTTATAGGTATAATACTAATCAAATCCTGCTTTTAGGTAGAATGATTATACAGATATGTTTTCTTATATTTTTTTTTCGATTAGTAATCAATTTTGAACATTTTTGTCTGTCCATGATTCGTTTCTACATAAAGTAGTTTTGATAATTCCACGTTAAATTCACAGAAAAAATGATAAGTAGACGTCTGTCAATATTTTCAACTACAGTAGGTCTTCAGTTAAAACAAAATTCCCAAATTTATTATTTCAGTCAAATAACTATCTACTCAACATGTTTATTTTTTGTCAATAATGACATGTATTGACTATTTTCATTCAAAATATCTTGGAAACGGTTGCTCGTAGAGATTCTTACCAAGAGACATTTTTTACGTAAAAAAACGTGACAAATATATATTTTTTTACTCAGTAGTTTTATACAGATACGGACGAACAAGTATTAGTCTTCAAAACAGTTAAAAAACATGTAAGTGGCGCCCTCTACAAGTAGGAGTCATATTGATATCAAAATCAAATATAGCATGTTAAAAAACTCCCAGATACCAAATATTGACGTTACTTCAGAAATTATTTGAAAAAAAAAGAAATAAAAATGGAACTTCGACACACCCTATATCTCCGAAACTAACGCATTTTAGGACATATTTATTCGAACTTTTTTACTTATTTTTATCTGCAGAATATGCTGCCGAAGTTTCCGGAATACAGTTTGGACCATCCTGTATATTCTAGGCATGTATATTAACTGTATCTTCCATAATTTTTCATGCCAAAAGCATCTAAATATGTGATTTTTAAAACATAGATGAATATAATATAATGTTTCAAAATTAATGGTCACAAAATTGTATTATATAGCCATACATAACGAAAAGCTGGATAACTAACACAAACATACAAATAATAAATGAAAAAAATGTTGAAATGACCAGAACGAATTAAACTAAATTAATTTTTGACAAACCATCCATTTGAGATCCTCTTCTTATTGTGCGGCATAGAAAATATATGTGTATGATTAGCAAACATTTCAAAAGCTTTAAAATCTAAAAAACTAACAAAACTTGACCAAAAAATTCTATAATTTGTTTTCTAATAAAAGTAAACACCAAAAATAAAAATCATATTGTCCGCTAAAAGTGAGAAAAAATAAAATGTAAACACTGTAAGTACTGGTCCAAGTAATAAAATATATACAGCAGTTTTCTAGAATACATTTTTTGTAACAATTAAATATTTCTGAGATCTATTTAAAACACCATTCAATCAATTCACAATATTTTAAAAAAATTCTGCTCCCCAATTTTGGCGCTCTTTTTTTTCAGACACTCAAAACAATATTATATGTATATTGAAACATTATACACAAACTCAAACACAATTATTTACCTTTCTATAAGATAATATCACTGATCAAAGAAACCTTTAAACAAAACTAGCACTTAATACAAAATCTACGAAATATTCAGTCAAGAAGAATAAATCACAGACTCACTGACGGTCGTTTTAAATCCTGCTGGAACGAGTGACGGCCGCAGGAGCGCTTTTGACTGAATTCGCGCGGTCGACAGCAGGCTTTCTGGGTGATTTTGATTTGAACAGAGAGCGTGCCGACCGTTGGGGTGGTGGGGAGCATGGGGGAGAACCCATCGATTCTTCGAGGTGTATATGGTAGCGCTGGTAAAACCCCAACGGGCTCAGTGAACGTATCAAACGGTATTTTTTATGTTTTGTGTTTGTTTTTTGGAAACGAATGACGTTCGAACCAATACAGTGAATAACTTCTTCGTATTGATCATATTTAATAGAGCATTATAGTTCATATTTAATGAACTTTTGGTCAGGTGATTAAGCTTGACCGGCACAGCGTTGTCCACTTTTAAATATTTTTTTCTCTTTTATTATTTAAATTATTTTATCTTTTTTATATTAAAACCAACTGATAATATACAATTAATTATATATACAACATTTTATAAAATCACACACATATTACACTGTCAAATTTTTCATAAAATATATTTTAAATAAAATCTTTGACAAAGAAATTTGATAGTGTAATAGTTAAGTCAAACGTACAGCCTCGCCAGAAAAAGTATCATTTTTACTCTTAATAAAATAATGTACTATTATTTTGACGCACTTATATGCATTTAATGGTCAGTAATTTGGTATTTGTTTGATTAATTTTAAATTATTACGTACTGATAGGAATGGTAAAATAAATAAATATTCTTTTCATGTCGAAAAACATATGATGTGATTGTAATAAAACCAACTATAGTAAATCTAAATTAAAATTATTGACCTAGTTTTGTAATTGTAGTAGTGATTGATGATAACCTACTTTATTGATACGGTCAAATGATCAAAATTAAATTTATTTTTTTTCGTTATTTATTTAGATAGCCAGTTATAAAAATGCATTGAAATGTAGCTAATTTGGTTAAAAAAAATGGAGGGACGAATAGCCGCCCATAATTGATATTTTTTTAACTGCGACTTTGACTGATTTTGATGTTATTACAAATTTTGTTGCAAATATTATTCCTAATCTTAAATTGAAAACCGCGTTTCGCTAGCTAATGTAATTTTGAAGTTACGATTTTTTTTAATTTTTAACCCCCTCCCATACCCCCTTACCAACACTCCACCCCCACCAAAAACTAATGGACAGATTCTCGGGTGCCACAGTATTTTTGTGCCAAATTTGGTTAAAATAGGTTTAGCGGTTTTTGAATTATCGTGTTACAGACGGACAGACAGACAAACAGACACCACGAAAATATTTTGTATTTAGGTCTATACTCATAATAATAACTCATTTTGAATAAAATTAAAAAAACTTTTTTTTGTCGATCTTAATAGCCTACCATACCTGTCGGTATGCTCGGCTAAAAATAACAATTAGCATTAACAATTTAATATAGTAGCTAATATATTATACGGCAAAGTTATTTTTATACCATTAAAAAAATAAAGAAGATATTAGTCGGAAAATATGACCCATTAATAAGCAACATAAAATATACATTAGCTTCCTCTGAAAGCAAAAATTCAATTAATTTTATCCTTTCTAATAAAACTAAGGTGCTTAAAACACCACTGCAACGAATATAAAAGCCTAATTCAGAATCAACTCCTCGTTCATTCTTTGGGTTATCCGTTTCCATGGATACAAAGAGTCGCTTAAATCAGCACACACTGGGCTAATGCACGTGAATTTTTCGTAGAAGTAATCAGAAAATCGATAAAAAAGTAAATTTAATCATTGCAACTTTCAGGGATAATGCCAATAAAAATAAAAAGCTATTTTTGAAGTGAAACTTCTCTACGCGCGATGGGATTAAAAATAATTGAATGCCGGTGACACTACGAGACGCAATGAAAAGTGGTAACGTTGACTTTTTGACCTTGGAGCGTCGTAACTCGGGCCCTATTTGAGCTAAGGGGGCTGAAAGTCGGAATGTATGTTGACGACGTTTCGTGCACTATGAAAACCCATCATCAATGAATCTAATCAAAAAATCGTCCGACTTAAATAAAACTTGGTATATCGATAGATTAGACCAAGGTCAACTTTACCGTGTACGATACGTGTCATTGTAACAGTTAATTTTGACGTAAGAAACGTCAAAAATTGATGTTGTTCGATTGCGACCAACTTTGGTGGGTATATAGTAGGGGATTCAATCCCGGACAATTTTATGTTGACGGGATCCCGGGATTCTTAACCCCGAATCTCGGGATCCCGGGATTTCAGTAATAATGTTACCAATGTTACTTTCAAAGAACATTTTATTAAAATTAACGTTAATTAGTTAAAACAAAAACAAAGTCTTTGGAACACAAAAATACACTATGAAAATATGAACCCTTCCTGGACACAAACGGTACATTGTGAGACAGGAAATTGTAGAGAGAAACAAGCCCTATATCATAGGATACAACATTTTAATGAACAGTGCTTTCCATAAAATCAATAAAGTGAAATATATACGAAATAAAATAAATGTACTGATTTCTTTCGAAAATGGACAACTATGAAAATATGAACCCTTCCTGGACACAAACGGTACATTGTGTGACAGGAAATTGTAGAAAGAAACAAGCCCTATAACATAGGATACAACATTTTAATGAACAGTGCTTTCCATGAAATCAATAAAATGAAAAATATACGAAAAAAAATAAATGTACCGATTTCTTTCGAAAATCGACATCTATGAAAATATGAACCCTTCCTGAACACCATCAGTACATTGTGAGACAGGAAATTGTAGAGAGAAACAAGCGCTATAACATAGGATACAACATTTTAATGAACAGTGCTTTCCATAAAATCAATAAAATGAAAAATATACGAAATAAAATAAATGTACCGATTTCTTTCGAAAATCGACATCTATGAAACTATGAACCCTTCCTGGACACAAACGGTACATTGTGATGGGCTATGTGAGCGACGGCGCACACGGTCCCACCCTGCAAAGTTGGATTCGATGTTTCGTTTACATCTTCATCAGGGTGGGACTAAAGCGGCTCATATATTATCAAACAAATTGCGCAACACAGGCTGTTGCGCAACGAGTTGCCAATGTATGGCCCTGTTTGATGCGTTGCGCAATTGTTTGATAAGTTTCAAGAATGTTTTAATTTTTTTGTCCAACGGGACTATTTGCGCAGCACGTTGTGTAGTGTATGTGTGTGTTGCGCTTCGTTGTGCAATATTTTAGTTGCCATCAGCCGGTTTTTAGCGGGACGTCGCTTGTTTCTCGAACAATGCACAACTTTAAATAAAAAGTTTGACCAAAATGTTACCAAGTGTATGGGTGATGATGGAGTTGTGCAACGCAACGTTGCGCATCGCTTTGTTGCGCAATTTGTTTGATAATGTATGGGTCGCTTAAGGATTTGATATTGAAAAAAAATGTAGGTCGATTTCGGCATAATTGGGGACGGGCTACAGGATGACGCCTTCGACGTTTCGAACCGATGCCTCTAAATGGACGAAATCATCAGGATTTTTCTTATTATGGGTCGATTGGAACCAAACTCGGCACGTGGATAGAGGTACCTGAATGGAGTTCCCAGACGGACAGACAGACAGACGGTAGTTTCACTTCAAATATGCGCACATAGTACACACACAATTTCTTCTAATACAAACAGCATGTCGATATACTAGACAAAATTGAAACGAACAAAATTACTTCATGAATAAACAGTCAAATATGTCAGTATTATCTGATTTATATCGGAAAATTATGGAAACCCTACTTATATTAACATAAGCAATTTTATTATTTCCAATATATCGCACGTATTGACCTTTAAGTAAATTTGCATTTATGGTTTACTCGTTTAAAGAATTTTGTTTCTATGTTTTCAGTCAGTATTACATGAAAAGCCACATCGAACTACTTGTTACAACATTCTTTTATTGTATTGCATAAAAAATATCTGTGTAACTTTCCATGCCACACTGAAATGCATAATAATGACAAAGAAGAATTATTCAAATTCTCATTATTTTAAGAATTGTAAATAACAGCGATTTTGATGGATATTTAACAACTGAATGACCGGATATCAATTAATTTTTCATTCAAAAGTTATTAGCGAAAGCAGTATATTCTCTTGCGGTCAAATTCTGCGTATTGTCATTGCTTTCCACTTGGCGTCAGAAACAGAAGCTGAATATCGAGAATTATCGAGTTATTCACCGGGGAAATCCACTCGTTTTAACGTTTATTTGACGCGCGACGAATCGTTTTTTACATAATTATACCGTTGATAAAGGAAAAGAGAGATGTTCAATCAACTATACTTACAATCATCTCATACGTATGGTAATATATTTCATGAATAAAACCTACAGTACTAAACAAATCTATGGACGTTGATGACTGAATATTTTCTAATAAGACTATAAGTAATATATGACTATATTACTCAGGCTGAAATAGTAAATTACACAATAATACAATCAGTCATGAAACTACCTATAATTTTGAATTAGTATAATATAATTAGTAATATGGCTGTCGTTTAAACAAGGCAGGGGCGGATACAGAAAATTATTTTAGGGGGGGCCAAAATAAAAAATAATGCAAAATATGCCTTTTAGGGCGCTATTTTTTACCCAAAAGCCTAATATTTAAGCCAATTTGTAGTACTGCTATTAAAAATGAGTTAGCTCACCTTGAAGGAGTAAATGTTTCAAGAGAGACCATAGCAAGAAGACTCCATGAAAGAGGATTACATTTAAAGAGGCCTCTACGTGTTCTGAAGCTTAATTTATAGCACAAAATTACGCGACTACAATGGGCTGAGGAGATGAGAGCAAATGGACCTAATTGGAATTTCGTCATGTTTAGTGATGAAACAAGAATAGGCCTAGTGTCAGACTTGCGACGAACTTTGGTCTGGAGAGTATTTGGAAGACGAGCACGCTTGAATGCAGCTCAACCCCGTGTCCCGTTTCAAGAGCGAAGCATTATGGTATGGGCAGGTATAATGCACGGAGCTCAAACTCCTTTTGTTTTTATTGATGGCACAATAACAGGTGCCTCA